CGATCGAAACAAAATCTAAGAAGAAAATAGTGAGTGTTACCCATTCCACTGGCACTAATCTCTCCAGAGGGTTGAAGGGTAACTGTTTTTGCGCGGTGGAAATGAACTACTGATCCTTTGATGAAGCCTTCGACTAGAATATCCTCAACTCGGCAAATCTATAAAGAAAGAAAAATTATCAGAACTTCCATGCTAGAGCATGTTAGTTTAAGTACGGTTGGAATACCTGTAGAGTAAAGGACAGAGATGCATTGACATTGCAATCCTCTGGAGGAATCAGGAGTTCATAGGGGCAATCTTGCCGATCACAATAGAGCTTTGGTGTACTGCAAAGCATGTGAGTTCAATTATTGTTAGCTTTGAAGAATAATTGAACCAAACTAAGCATAAATATGGCATTTTCCTTCAAACTTACATAGCTTCTCGGGATGCATTCAGTAGAGGAGCACGTAAAAGAGATCCGGGCCCAACCTTCAATTGGCAGAGAGAAAAAAAATCATTACCTCCTAAACGGCCTAATATAATACCTTACAATATCTATTATTTAAAAGCCAGTATAGCCTTCAAATGAGACTGATTGTCAAATTATGCATGTATCCACCGCATTTTCAGAGCTATACACACCAACTATTTTTGCATCATCTTGTGCAGGATTGTCACCAAACTAAACACAAGGAAACCACTTACATAAATCCGGTAAAACAGTGACAAAACAAGTCGTTGTGCTTCAATTGAATCCCCTGGTCCCGTTAGATTCAAGAAACCTTGTCCATGGACTCCAAGATTTGCATTTGACCGAATTGCAGATGATTCCTATATACAAATGGACATGTTACACGAACAAATTAGATGAAAAGGTTTGTCACATATTACTTTAAGCAGAAAAAACAGTGACATGCATTTGTGAGTACCCGAAGAACGAATAAATTGCTAGCCTCAAGATTGGAAGTCGAAACACTTGTATCTCCTCCTCCTGCATCTATATGCAATTCTGAATTCCACATCAAGAACATCTTGACAGTCATGCGTAATGCTCCATAAACCTGGTAAGATAAAGCATGATGAACAGATTATTTACATGACCAAGAATGAAGCAGATAGTAGCAACGCAGATATATTCATATCTAGCGTAAACAAAAAACAATGCTGCTGCATCAGTATTTCCCGAAAAGGTGGAGAACCAGATAAAACTCACCTTGATAGTGGAATCACTCATCAAGAGTTCTTCAGCCAACAACTCAAATACTGATGTACCATAATGAGCTAATCCAAAGCTCAAAACACCACCGCCCAACAAGCTAATTTGTCCTTGAACCTACATATTAAATTCTGCCTTGAGTACTACATCTTTAGTTTTGCAATATAATCTGCTGGAAACTCCACTGAATACCTAAAAAATGCGTATATAGAAGCAACAAAAAACTCTAGAGAAAAGACTCTAGAACTGCAGAAACAAAATATTATATCCTTGAATATAAAATCACAAATAGTCTTAGCATTAACACTGCTAAAGGTGATAAAACAGTTGGCCTACAAAACACATGAACTGGAAATTCATTGGTAAATACCTGGACACGGCTCCATAGCAGAGGACAAGTTGCTCGCGCTTTATCCTGAATATAAACATTGGTCCAAAGAGGCTGGAAGGGAAATTCTAAGAGAAGCGTATAAGTATCTGTCGTCAGATTGTAGTTGCTAACGAAAAGGCTTCGGGGAACAGCATCATATAGCGTCCCAGCAGCACCAGAGTTATCTGGACATCCGATACTGTGTCCGCCTGCATGTAGGAGAATGACATTTAGTTCACATGATTGAGAATGTTAAGCAAGTACGTCATGGAAATACTATTATGATGGCCAGAAAGAAACAGTGACCATAAGTAAGAGAATCTAACCATGCGCATAGATCTTCGGGTCATCATGCCTGCTAAAAATATCCACAGATACTCTTCCACCACCCCCACCACCGTAACCACTTCCACCACATGCACTTATCTGTCCAATTCCAGTCCTGCACTTCAAACAACAGCAAAGCAGAGGATGCTAGCTGATTACCAACCTTCGAAATAAGCTTAGAAAACGAGTAGTTTCATGTGTACTATACAATAACAAATATCTCCAAATGAGAACAGAAACCCAGAAGCACAGTTCTAGCATCAGAAAATGTATTTCCTTCACTGCAGACTAGAAAGACTTGAAAATCCGTGGAAATCAAATTAACAGCTACTGCATAGAAACGAAAGTTCCTTACATCTTATTTGCCTTGATGTAGATGCTGCCACCAGCCCCACCACCGCCTTTGGCTCCTCCATAAGCTCCGTCTGCCAAAAGGGTTCCGTTAAGATCCAGCAATTGCAGAATCTCCATCTTCACTCTCCCTCCACCTCCTCCTCCGTAATCAATCTCGTCGCTCGTTGACCCACCTTTACTACCGTAGCTCCACGGCTTATTCAGAGTTGACCACGAGTATGCATCACCTCCCCATACATCTTCGGGAAGCTTTTTAGTGTCGGTCAAACAGCCAGCGCCTCTACCACCATGTCCACCGCCAGCACCTTCGACCCCCTGCGGCGTCCCGCTGGTCTGTGGCGGAGGGTTCCCGGCCAAGCCCGTCGTGTTCACTGCCGACCCGTTGGCAAAGCTAGCGTTACCAGCTGTAAGCTCCAATGTCCCGGCGACAATTGTAGATTTCGCGCCCAGAGAGAAGTTTCCAGAAACATTGATAGCTATGGAGCATCCAGGGATCGGGCAGTGAAACTTAACCCCAGGTAGGATGATAAAATTTCCCTTCCCAGCTATATAAACATCGCGTGTAAGGTTCAAATCGGCGACAATCTTACAAGTAGTATCCAATAATCCAACGCCGCCGAGATCCTCGCTGCAAGATACCGACGGTCCATGCGGAGGTGGCGGTGGCGGAGCCGGCGGCGAGTAATCCTGATGATAAAGTAGCGACTCCGATTCCGCGTCCAAACCCGAATCAGAACCCGAATTCGGTTCCACAATGGCAAATCGATAGCTTGAACTAGGTTTTACCACAAAAACCGCAACAGCGACCAAGAAGAAGATGAATTGAAATCGAGCCATCTACTAGTATCAAGAGTCATCACAGACGAAGTCCAGTGAGGTTTTCGATTCGACCCCAATTCGGGTCATTGAGCATAGGGGTTGACGAAACTGAAAACCCAGAGACCCAATTAACAAGCCCTCTCCCTTTCTAATCCAACACACACACCTATGCATACATCAACATACACGTATATGTATGCATGTATACGTATAGTCGTCTTGCCCAAAGAAGATTTGAAGAAAAGCGCATAAACCCCCACCGAAAATGGCTGTTAGAGAGAGAAATGTTGCTTTTACTTTCTCGGAGGAGAGAGAAAAGGAGGGAAGAGAGAGCTTCCAAGGAGAAGGAAACAGGTTGGAACGGAGAGTAGTTACGATCAGGTACGTGCGGCTCCACCGTAATCACGAAGACTCGGCTAAATCTTCTTTTGGCTGTTTCTATTCTTAACAAATCGGATTACGCCACGTCGTTCTCTAGAATTCCCCAAAGGTAATACTGCTCTGCGTCGCGGTACACACTGAACTGGAAATGTCAGTAGACTCTTAATTTAAGTTTCTCATCGAATGGTTTGATGACATGTGTCATATTACGTTTAAGTACGCTTTTGCTGTTTAACAATCTTCGTTTTAAGGGGGTTAATGACTGGATTTAAAATGAACGTCAGGGCATACGTTCAGACATTAAACGGTGTTTAGATTGGGCTTGATGGGCCATGTTTCCGAAGGAGGTTGGTGTACACGTGCCAAGCTTGAGCGTGAGTGTTCAATTTTGAGAAACAGAAAAGAAAGGCGTGTGACCTGCACGAAGTAAAAACAAAAATTAACAAATCTGGCTGGCCCAATAGAAAACTAGCAGCATTATCAATACCAAAAATCATTTATCAAACAAATCTAAGTAGGATATTTACGTTCTCGATCATATTGTCCCACAAGTTGAAAATGGAAAATGGTACTTATATGACTTTTAACTTATGCTTTTAGCAAAAAAATATAAGAACTGGTGTGATAGATCGTAGCTAAGCAACCTACACCTTCAAAATATATGAAAACACACAAAATTTAACTTTAGCGATGAGACTTTTATTACATGGGATATGCATGGCTTATGGACACTCTGTGTTTAAGTAAGCGATTGTGGTCAACAATACCAATTTAAATTAGTGGGGTACGTGATGTATAATTTGATACTATGTGGTTTATTTTATTGGTACCAGATTAAATACAAATGCAATTTGGCTTTTCAATGACTCATCTCGCCGACTTCTTCAATAAAACTATGTTTGTTTATAGTAATTTGCTGGCTATAATGTCACTGGCTTAATCTTATTTTGACCAACATCCAATCGGATTACTTCGTTTAGTTGTTCGAATAACCATATTTGGATACAAACGTGAACTCCCCATTTTGCAATCCTGTGTTTAAACAGTACAATACAAACCTATATGTCTAAATTCTCGTTGTATTGTTGAAATGGAAGGAAAATGATACGAGTGTAAAATCCATAAAGGTGCATGCCATTAACGGTGAAGGAATTGTCGGTTTAAAAGAAACTAAACACAAAGCAACAAAAAGAAATGATAACACACTGTCGCATTTATATATCTTAATGCACATATGGAAAAGCATTATCGAATGATGATCCAAACAAGTAATTTAAACCAACCATCAGGGCATGGTGAGTTTTGGACGGGTGAGGTCGAATTACCCGAGAGTCACAGTTATTTGACGCCTTAAAAAATCAGTTTACCGCATAAATCGATTTTTTACTTTTTAGGTGCTACCTTTTTTTGTTGCTGCTTTAAAAAAACAAAAAAAAAAAAAACCATAAAAACATAAACGAGCCATCCCTGATCAGATCTACACTTCTCCTCGCACCAAATTTTGCCAGAGTTCGTTCCTTTGTTTGTTCATAACATTTTCGCGAATTCGAAATGGATTTCATGAAGGTCTTCGATCAAACGGTTCGAGAGATGTGGGTTTGCCGTTTTGTCTTTCCATTTTTCTCCGATTTCGATTGAATAGATTTAGTTTCGATTCATATCCGTATATCCTTGTTTGAATATCTTCAATTGATCTCGATTAATTTGTCCACTTACAGAAAGCGGGAGGTGAATCTGAAAGTTTTGAAGGTCCCTGAGATGGAGCAAAAGGTGAATTCATTTGATTCGTATCTATATTTGCCAACTGTTTTCATGTTTGCTTGGTTGATTCTTGGGAAAATGATCGAGAACCTTCTATAGGGCTAGCGATTGCACGAAATGACACTATTCCTGAGCAGTTGAGCTGGATTTGTTATGATTCGGTGTTCTGATTCGAAATGTGTTCTTAGGATGTTATTTCGTGATGCAGTACCAGGAATTAGATATATCTTACTGCTCATAAATCTTGAGTTTCAGTTTAATGGATCATAATTTAAGCTCGAGCCTTGATGTTTGTATTGGTTTTGCAAAGCTTAGGATGAACGCCAATGTGTATTATCCTAGTTTCCAGATTCAAGTTTGTGATAATTTTGGGATGTGTTTAGTACAGGTATTGGATGCTACAGATAATGAACCTTGGGGTCCACATGGTACTGCATTGGCAGAGATAGCACAGGCCACGAAGAAATTGTAATCTATTTACTTCTTTCACTTACTTTCTTTTTTTTGTTCTTCCAAAGAACTTTCACTTTAACATCTCATTCGGCTTGGAAAGGATTTTGATTATTTATTGCTTACCTTATACGTTTTGCAATATGTTTAGCTCGGAGTGCCAGATGGTTATGAGTGTTTTGTGGAGTAGACTGGCCGAGACAGGAAAGGATTGGCGATACGTCTACAAGGTGAGAATCTTCTTGACATTTTCCTGAAATATTTGGAAGTTACAGATTGTTATTTGGTGTAACCCGAGGTTGTTTTTTTTCTGCCAGGCACTGGCTGTTATTGACTATCTGATTTCAAACGGATCAGAACGAGCAGTTGATGAGATTATTGAGCATACTTACCAAATATCTGTCAGTATATTTCTCTTACGCATTGGTTGATAGTTCTCTTGTGGTGAACGTTAGTGGTTTTTTTTACTGACTTGATCTTTGTTTGTGATTTTTCATCCATGTAGTCACTCACGAGTTTTGAGTATGTTGAACCGAATGGAAAAGATATGGGAATCAATGTGAGAAAGAAGGCAGAAAACATAGTTGCTCTCTTGAATAATAAGGAGAAAATCTCGGAAATCAGAGACAAGGCAACAGTTAATCGTAACAAGTTAGTTTTTATACAAGTGAATATAACTAGTTTGCCCATTCTTCTCTATGCGTTTCTTTGATCAGTTATGCTGCCTCCAATTAGGTATGTTGGCCTCTCATCAACGGGAATAACATATAAATCTGGTTCAGCTTCAGCTTCGTTTGGTGGTAGTTTTCAAAGTGGTTCAAGCAATTACGACAGCTACAAGGATTCCAAAGAAGAAGACAAGAATGACTATGAGTCTTTTCAAAGGTCAAGGCGCGGTGTTAAAAGTGAAGAGCAAGGCTACAGTTCGAAGAAAAGTTTTTCACGCTATGGCAGGTTTTGTCTCGACCCATTGATTTGCTGATAGTATTATATTTGTTACGGAATTTGCGTATATTGATTTGAAAGGGTTGTTTTCCAGCTGAGGATGCTCTTATGCTTCTTCTGTTTGTTTTTGACTCATTTTGACAAATTAAGCTTGCATTCTTGCTCAGTCGGTTTCAATTCTGAATGTGTGTGCAGCACGGACCATGATAATCTATCTAGTGGGAAAAAGCCAACTGGTTCCATACCTTCACATGCATCCGCAGCTCCTTCAAACGACGATGATGATTTTGATGATTTTGATCCACGTGGAACTTCCAGCAATAGTATGTTCTTCCTTTCTACGGCTGCTGAACTTGCAGATTGTATATCATTCGTTGAAGTGAAAGTTTGTTTAGTAAACTATAGCGCACAACTTGTATATATCTATAGACGTATGTCCATGTCTTATTTGTATGGTTTTCCCTTTTCTACAGAGCCTTCCACAGTCAGTGCCAACCAAGTAGACCTTTTTGGAGGAGATCTGATAGGTGACCTCATGGATTCTGGGCCAACGGAAACATCTTCCACCAACAACAACGGGAAGTTTCAAGAGGCGGACTTGTTTGCTGATGCAACTTTTGTATCAGCCACGGCTCCGGGAACAGAATTTGGGTCGCAGAAACAGGTGGGTGACTCCTTTCATCCAAGCTGGTATACAGCTTTTAACAATGGGAATTCCCGATAAAATGTCCATTCATGTGATGCATTTTCGCTGCTCAAGTCAATACAACTCACAATGACATGTGCTGTTGAATTGTAGACTGATACGTTTCCGCATGTCTGTTTCTACAGAAAGAAGTTGATCTTTTCTCTACGTCCGAACCTTCTGTCACAGTTTCTTCACCTCCTCCAACGGTTGATCTTTTTGCATCACATGAATCAGTTGCAAGCCCAGAGGCCAAGATTCCTAAACCTGAGCCTATGACCACTCCAACCATTGTTGACCCATTTGCTGCACTTCCCATGGACAATTTTGATGGATCTGATCCTTTTGGTGCCTTCACTTCTCACTCGGCTTCAGTCTCTACAGGTCCACAGGCTCCCGCAACAAGCACCACAAGCCCACTGTCTTCAGCAGACTCAAAGCCACAACAGTTGCAGAAGAAGGATCCTTTCCAAGTGAAATCTGGAATCTGGGCAGATTCGCTGACCCGTGGACTGATTGATCTCAATATAACTGCTCGTAAGTCAAACCTTCCTCTTTGTGTTTTTCATCAAGAACTCTCTCCTGTTCTGCGCACTAGTTTGTTTTACTCATGAACCAATTTAGATGCAGATATTGAACAATTCCATTCCAACTAATTGTCGAATATGAGTCAAAATTCATGTAGCTCGACTTCGCATTGAAGTCCTGTTTTGGACCCGACTAATTTATTTTATCTGTAATCAGCCAAAAAAGCTTCTCTTGCTGATGTGGGGGTTGTGGGTGGTCTCGGGAATGAGGAAGGAAACAAGGCATCTGCTGCTACTTACTACTCAGGGTGGTCCATGGGCGCAGGATCAGGGCTCGGTAAAACCGGGCTATACAGTGCACAGCAGCAACAACAACAACAAGCACCTGAGATCTCAGATGATTTCTTCTCCAGCCTCAGTAACCAAAGTTACCAATCTGGAGGGTTTAAACAGTGAATTTGTCTGTGAGATATGGTGTTGAGATGGAAAAAAGCAAATCAGGTTTGAATTCTACATTTAATATTGGAAATCTATGTTTTGTTGTTTGAGGGATTTGTTGTTCTTGCACTTAAATTCATGGGACAATCTGGTCGGTGGCCGATGGTGCCATTGTTGTTGTGGCCTTTACTTTGGGTTTTAAATGAGAATTGTCTTATAGTTTTCGATAAGAGGGTATGAATATTGGTTTTTAAGTTTTGTTTTGTTCATAGAACATTTCTATATGTATTTCGTCCGACCGACTCTACGAGAATTTATTGTGTGTGATTCTAAATCAACAGAGACTCCAACTTTCTTCTTAGTTTTGTTTTATGTTTCTACTTCATCTAATAATTAAAGAATTGTATATCACACTGACCAACTACATTCTTAATGATTGTACTAACACTAATCTTATCTTTCACAATCTGTCTGGTTCGCTCATTCACTGGTCACCGCCAGTTCATAACGTGCAGGTTCATCTTATCTACAAAGAAAACGTTTACTTTACACCCTAAAAAAAGGAAAACGTTTACTTTAGACCCAAAAGAAGGAAAATGTTCACTTTAGACCCAGAAATAAGAGTGTACACTTCGATGAAGAGAAAACAAAAAACGGTCTAAAATAAAAACAAAAATGTCATCGCTTCAGTCGGTTCCTACTACCCTCATTGTTCTCGTCTTCTTCTTCTTCTTCTGTAGCTTAGCTTTATCATCACATGGAAGTTCACAAGCTGTAACAGAAGATGCCACAGTCGTTGGATACGGCTACGTCGTTTCATCAGTGGACGTTGACTCCAACCAGAATGTTTTGACGGCCAAGCTTGATCTGATTAAACCGTCCTCCGTTTACGCTCCAGATGTTCAAACGCTTAACCTTCATGTTAGGTAACTCAAATCAATCTTCAGAAATATTGATTGTGCCAATAATTTTGAAATCTGCGATAATTTAGGAAACTTCCGCCATTGTATGATATAAATGTATATATACGTGCAGCTTGGAGACAAGTGAGCGTTTGAGAATCAGACTCACAGATTCTAGTCAACCAAGATGGGAGATACCGGAAACCGTCATTCCTCGCGCCGGGGACAACTCTCCTCGCCGTCGTTTCTCCCATACCACCATTTCATTTTCCCCCCCTCCATCCCCATTTCCCCACCCTCCCTCCAGCCCACCACTACCCATCCCCCCCACATTTTCCCATCCACCATTCCACATCACCCCCACCCACCACCTCCCCCATTTCATCCAACCACCCTCAACCCCTCATTTTCCATTTTTTGTTTGAGAATCAGACTCACAGATTCTAGTCAACCAAGATGGGAGATACCGGAAACCGTCATTCCTCGCGCCGGGGACAACTCTCCTCGCCGTCGTTTCTTATCGGAAGAGGACGGTGGAATCTCGTCGGAGAAAAACGTCCTGGAAAATCAATCATCGGACTTGGTTTTCACCCTCCACAACACGACGCCGTTCGGTTTCTCCGTCTCCCGACGATCCTCCGGCGATGTCCTCTTCGACACATCACCGGATCCATCAAATCCAAACACCTTCTTCCTCTTCAAAGACCAATTCCTCCAACTATCTTCCTCGCTACCGGCGAACCGATCGAATCTGTACGGTCTCGGAGAGCACACGAAGCGGTCGTTCAAGCTAATTCCCGGCGACACCAAGACTATGTGGAACGCCGACATCGGCAGTGAGAATCCGAATGTTAACCTCTACGGATCTCACCCGTTCTACATGGATGTAAGAGGATCAAACGGCCACGGCGAAGCAGGGACGACTCACGGCGTCCTCTTGCTCAACAGCAACGGAATGGACGTGAAATACGAAGGAAGCAAAATTACTTACAATGTGATCGGTGGCGTCATCGATCTCTATGTCTTCGCCGGACCGTCGCCGGAGATGGTGATGAATCAGTATACAGAATTCATCGGAAGACCAGCCCCTATGCCTTACTGGTCATTTGGTAAGTGACATTTCTCTTTACATTTCATTATCTCCAATTATGATCACACTTGTTTGTGAATTGAGATTTGTGCTTTGTTCTTGAAGGATTTCACCAGTGTAGGTATGGATACAACAATGTATCAGACCTCGAATTTGTAGTTGATGGATATGAAAAAGCTAAAATACCACTTGAGGTTATGTGGACGGACATTGATTACATGAAGGGCTATAAAGACTTCACTTTGGATCCGGTGAATTTCCCGGAGGAGAAGATGAAATCATTCGTGGATAAACTTCACAAGAGCGGTCAGAAATACGTGCTGATCTTAGATCCTGGTAAAATCCAAAATCCAAACACTATATATCTCTAAAAGACTCTTAAAAATGATTCAAGAAATGAACATTTTTGGGTTTATTTGTTGTAGGTATTGCTGTGGATAGCTCTTACGGGACATATAACAGAGGAATGAAAGCGGATGTGTTCATAAAACGAAACGGTGAGCCTTATCTCGGCGAGGTCTGGCCTGGAAAAGTATACTACCCTGACTTCTTGAATCCAGCTGCTGCAACTTACTGGAGCGATGAAATCAAGATGTTCCAGGAAACTCTCCCATTGGATGGTGTGTGGCTTGACATGAACGAGTTATCGAACTTCATTACTTCACCTGTGTCACCTGGATCTTCGCTCGATGATCCTCCTTACAAGATCAACAATTTAGGGAGAAAAGCGCCGATAAACTTTAAGACGGTACCCGCAACAGCTACACATTTCGGAAACGTTAGTGAGTACGATGCGCATAACTTGTATGGACTCTTGGAAGCTAAAGCCACTCACCAGGCTATAGTGGATATAACGGGAAAGAGGCCGTTTCTTTTGTCAAGATCCACGTTTGTGAGCTCTGGGAAGTACACGGCTCACTGGACCGGCGATAACGCTGCGAAATGGGAGGATTTGGCTTACTCGATCCCTGGGATTCTCAACTTTGGGCTGTTTGGGATTCCAATGGTTGGAGCTGATATCTGTGGCTTCGCATATGATACCACTGAGGAGTTATGTCGTCGATGGATTCAGGTAGAGTGACTAATTAATTCTCAGACATAAACTGTAGATTCTGTTTCCTGAGTTCATGTTCTAACTTTGGCTCTTTGACTATCAGCTTGGAGCTTTTTACCCTTTTGCAAGAGACCATTCGTCCAAAGGCACTGCTAGACAAGAACTATACCTCTGGGATTCGGTTGCTTCTTCTGCAAGAAAGGTTCTCGGCCTCCGTATGAGACTGCTCCCGCATCTCTACACTTTGATGTATAATGCGCACGTTAGTGGCGTACCGATCGCGAGACCGCTCTTCTTCTCTTTCCCTCGAGACGCTAAAACCTATGATATCGGTTCACAGTTCTTGATCGGTAAAAGCATTATGGTATCTCCAGCGCTGGAGAAAGGCTCGGTGGCCGTCGATGCTTATTTCCCCGCCGGAAACTGGTTCGACATGTTTAACTATTCGTTTGCTGTCGGTGGAAATTCCGGCAAGAAAGTCAGGCTTGATACTCCCGCCGATCACGTCAACGTTCATGTTCGAGAAGGTAATAATAATTTTTCCGTTCAGTACTACTAGTTTTCCGGTTTGATAACCGAAGCTGAGTTTAACTTTGTGAACAGGAAGCATTGTGGCTATGCAAGGAGAAGCAATGACAACCAGAGAAGCCAGAACGACACCGTTTGAGATTCTAGTTGTAGCCAGCAAGCTTGAGAACATCTCAGGCGAGCTGTTTCTAGACGACGGTGAAAACGTAAGGATGGGAGAGGAAGGAGGGAACCGTGACTGGAGCCTCGTGAAGTTCACGTGCTATGTGACCGAAAACAAATCAGCGGTGCTGAGATCGGAAGTGGTGAATCCAGAGTATGCGTCGAGAATGAAATGGAGCATCGGGAAAGTGACGTTTGTTGGGTTCGAGAACGTGGAGAGTGTGAAATCGTACGAGGTTAAGACAAGTGGGAGACTAAGGAGTCCGACAATCTCTCTTATCAAGACGGTCTTGGACGATGATGATAATCCCAAGTTTATGAGCGTGGAGGTCTCTAGACTCTCGTTGCTTCTTGGGAAGAAGTTCGAGATGCGACTGAAGTTGACTTAAAAACAAGTACATACATAAACCCAATTTGATGATAAAAAAAAATTGTGGATGCATAATGAATAAAGAGTAAAAAAAATATCATAGAAAGTAATGCGATACAGTTATCTAGTACAAGCAAATTCATTAGCAGGACTAGGACTATAACGCTTCAGCAAGACCATTCTCCAAACCTTTCACAAGATTTGCAAAGTAGGTTTTGGTTACCCTGGTCAAATTAGTTAGGTTGGCCCGGAAATCACTGAAGTCTTGTGGCGAAGGGGCTTGAACAGTTTCATCATCATCATCAGTTGCAAACACGTCAAGGTCCTTCTCTACGCATTTGTGGAGCCTCTCCAGACCAGACTCAGCCTCCCCTTGCAAAAACTCGAAGAAATTTTGTCGCTCGCGTAAACCAGATTCAGGTAGATAGTAGCCATACGCAAATGTCCATTGCAGTACCCGTCTGCACTCAATGATCTGAAGCCACGCATCTGTGATAAACTTGAGCTGAGTCTCTGGTGTCTGCTGTTTGTCACTAACCTTCTTAATCGTTTCCGATTCAAATCTCTCCAGATCCTCCATAGCTTTTTTCCTCGACTTCAAGTTCCCATCCCAGCGTTCATAGTAATGAGCGTATCTCTGTAGCAAACTCTTCGCCATCTCTCGCTTCTTCTCATCCGCATCATACTTTCCTTTTTGCTTTTCCGCTTCATACCTGTTGCACGCATAAAACCCACCGCTGCTGGCCCCGTGTTCTTTCCAGTCATTAAGACAAAGCCAGCAAAACTCAAACCTACAAGGAGCTGAGCATGTCATGTGCATGCACCCATGGTTCTTCTCGATCGGCCTCTTACACTTGGGACAAGCCTTTGAGTTGGCAAGTATCCACAACGTGTTCTCCGACTCCGCGCTGTTCTTAACTACCCACTGCGCAACCGTGTCGCAATCCACAGGACTGTGAGCATCCTCACTGCACTTCCAGCAAAAGGTATGCGAACACAAGCATGTGACGTCGTGGTTGCAACTCCCGCCGGCGGAAAACTCAATCGCGTGCTCGCATCCTGGTGAAGGACACCACTTCATCTTTTTACTAGCTTCCACGTAAGACCTAAGAAAATACCTCTCGTACTTGTCCTTGTCTTCTTTGCAAACAAGTCTCTCCACCATATCCCGACCAACCGCAGCGGTACAAGCCGGTTGGGGACATTTAAGCATCAAACATCCTGGTCCGTCGTTGATCGACGTCCTGATGTAACCAGTCCAACACGTAGAGCAGAAAGAATGACCACAAACGATAGATACGATCTCCTTAGGACGATACCACTCAAAGCATATTCCACACTTAACTTTTTTGCTTTTAGGAACCGACGGTCCTTCCTTCAATATGCCAACAGTTTTGCGAACTCTCTCCTCGTCCGCAAACCACTCGTCGCTAACTTTACTAACGTTCCAGTTATAGTGAAGGAGCAAAACGCTCGCTTCGACCTCGCTTATGGACAGGACTGAAACCCGTCCGATATCATCTCTCTGATTCCTGCGGATATCTTCTTCCTTGAGCACAACGTAATTTACCTGAGATCGTCGGTGCGAGTCTTCATCAACGAACTCGTCGTGATTGTCAGCATCATCACTGTCGCCGGCGTTGTTTTGGTCGGTCCCGTCGCTGTAATAATCATCCTCTCCGTATTCCATATCCTGGTCATCGTACATGTCATCATCGGAGTCCATGGTCGGAGAAATCTCTAGAGAAACTTCTGATCTGCTCCTCCTCTTTCTAGGGCTGAGATTTCTATGAATCAGACGGCGAGCTAAGTAGGGTTCGAGTTAAAACATGGTATATTTTAAGAGTCCTTGTACTTAAAGAAATTTTCTTCTTAAGATCATTTTTTTTTATAATTTATACACAATTTACACCGCAACTTTCCTTTTAACTCATCCTTTTCCTTTTTGTATATGTAAATATCAATTTCCTTTTGTATATAGAGACTAGAGAGAGATCAGTACATAGCATATTTGTATTTTTGATTTGTTTCCATTATTTTATTGCATTCATATCTGCTACAAATATTTTTTAATTCATTATTCGATTAATTTTAACTGCTAGTGATATTGCTTAACTTATTAATTTTAAGATTGCTTTTAATTTCAAAATCTGCTAAAAATCCGTAGAAAATTAATCTATTTAAATAAATAAAAACCAAAATCAGAAACAAATAACGACATGAACCGATTCCGAAATATACCACAAAGTCTACGCGAGAATAGACCAGCGGTCTAAGCGTAAACCGTTTCGGCGTCTTCCTCACTTTACTTTTCAAGCCCGTCTTCTCCATTCATCATCTCTCTCTCTCTCTCTCTCTCCAAGTGTCGATCCTCTCTGTGTTCTCCTGTTATCTTCGCACTACTGATTCTTGCTTTTTCCTCTGTAAGCTCGACACGACACGTGGATTATCCTCTGCTTTATTCATTTGGTGGTGAAGCCTCCCTCACTTAATAGTTTCTTCAACTAGCTATAGCTCTGGATCCGGTTACTCATCGAATCAACTTTTCACACTGTCGCATAGTTGATTCCTCTTTTCCTGGTCAGGTGAAGAAATAAGTGACTGGATCAACTAGAATACCACTTCCTTTGGAGATTCCGTTTGCTGTGGTTATCGATTTCGTTTGATTTAGATTGATCGACGTTGTTAAAAATCTGTTTTGCTATTGAAGTAGTCAAGCTGCTTCCGTGACTTCGTTGATTATCGGAGTTTTTAGTTTCGGATTCGCCAGGATTATTCAAGTGGACTTGCTTTAGATCAAGTTAGGAAGCAGAATCAGAATCTGCAAATCAGCTGTTTAGATTTGAGATTGATAGAGATGCAGATTAGGTTAGAAGAAGGAAAAGAAAATGGAATCTCAGTTAGAACAGTGCAGAGCAAAGCATTTCCACCGAAATTGCTTCTAGTGCTAGGTCTATTTCTTGCTTTCGCTGTTACAGTCTTCATCATCAGTGTATCTACAATCAAGTATACGGGAATCCAAAGCGTAGTAACCACAGTCACTTCCAGCTTCGTGCCATGCCGTGAGGAGGAATCGAGCGGTTTGAGTAGATGGATACAGCCTCCTGCTGCTGTGATGCATAACATGAGCGACGAGGAGCTTCTGTGGCGTGCTTCTTTCTGGCCTCGGAGGAAAGAGTATCCGTTTAAAAGGGTGCCGAAGATTGCGTTCATGTTCTTGACTAAAGGTCCCTTGCCGCTTGCTTTGCTCTGGGAGAGGTTTTTCAAAGGTCACAGAGGGCTTTACTCGGTTTACATTCATCCCCACCCTTCTTTTACGGCCAAGTTTCCGGCTAACTCTGTTTTCCACGGCAGGCAGATACCTAGCCAGGTTCGGCTCTTCTAAACCCTTCTTTCTGTTTCATATAGTATGAGAAAATTAGAGCCTTTTGAGGATGCAATGTAGCCAATTCTCTTGAAGTATATAACTGTTGATTGAGTGTATAGTTAGGATTACTAATTACATTAAAGTATCACAAATGTTACTATTGAATTAGTCTTGGTTTCTCTTGTAGACTTGGTTCTTCTGATCACTTCTGAGCTAGTCGGTTATGTATTTTGCAGGTTGCAGAGTGGGGGAGAATGTCCATGTGTGATGCGGAGAAGCGGCTTCTAGCCAACGCGCTGCTGGATATCTCCAACGAGAGGTTCGTCCTTGTCTCGGAGTCATGTATCCCACTCTACAACTTCACGACAATCTACAGCTACTTGAGCCGATCGAAACACAGCTTCATGGGTGCTTTTGATGACCCTGGACCGTTTGGGCGCGGCCGATACAACCAGAACATGGAACCTGAAGTTCCCGTCACCAAATGGCGGAAAGGGTCTCAGTGGTTTGAGGTTAACCGGGAGCTCGCAGCGACGATTGTGGAAGACACGTTGTATTACCCGAAGTTCAGAGAGTATTGCAGGCCTGCTTGCTATGTGGACGAGCATTATTTCCCAACGATGTTGACGATTGAGAAACCAATGGTTTTGGCTAACCGGAGCTTGACGTGGGTGGACTGGTCTAGGGGCGGTCCCCACCCGGCTACGTTTGGGCGATCGGACATTACGGAGAGTTTCTTTGGAAGGATCTTTGATGGAAGAGACTGCAGTTACAATGGTCGCAACACTTCCATGTGTTATCTCTTTGCGAGGAAGTTTGCTCCGAGTGCTTTGGAGCCTTTGCTTCACATTGCTCCCAAGATTCTAGGATTCTGAGTTAGTTAGTAGTAGTGTCTCTGAAGCTCTCTTGAAATCAAATAGAGATCACGGTATGGATGTGATATGGATTCTACGCTAATTTTGTTTGTTTTTTATTTAGTTGAATAGAGACCGTCGTTGCACATCATGATCAGTCATATACAGTTATATAGACTTTACATTTGAGAACTCTATATACAACTATTTTGTTCGAATCACAATGTTTTTTCTCCCGAGTATTTGATTGCTTAATTCGTTTGACCTTTGTGTGTAAACTGTATTTATGTGTTAATCATGGCACATTTCTATTCATCACAAGGAGATAATTGTGATCTAACTAAACAACATAGGGTAATTGATAATTCTGAAGTCTGAATGTCTGAATTATGATTCTCGGTCTCTTACTCGTTTCTCTAAGTCTAACAGGACTACAGGAGTAAGTTGTAACTTGGTGACCTAGTCTTACCGACCAAGTTTTCGCTTTGAAAGCGAAAGCATAACTATATGATAATGGGAACAAAACACAGCTAGGTGGAGACACACTTTTACAACTAATCGAAACTTCTCGAATCCCTCAAGAGCCTGCCAACGTCTACCATCTGTCGTTTTTCTTAAAAAATATATTCAATGGCAAAGTTTATTCTTTATGGGCAAAATTCGTTAAAGTGTTTATAAAAGGTTTTTATAATTTTGATGTGGCTAATGTTCTGTTTTTATTTTATTAGAATACAAAAAAAAATACCATAGTAATTTCATAGTTATTTATTTGTTATAAGTTACCACATATAATCTATGTTTGCTAGAATAGTAAGAAATTCCAGAGGATCCATCGAATTATTGAAAACTAAGATAATGAAAGTGGTTTTTCTATATAACTTCTGTTTACGAGAATAGAAAGAAATTCCACAGAATCCACCAAATTATTGAAAACTAAAATAATGAAAGTACTAAGTAATGCCTTCATGTCAAATTAAGCATTTTGGATTTCAGTATCTCCACGCTTTCTAATTTCAACATAAACCCATTACACTAGTTACAAATCTTTGAAAACCCACAATTGTTTGTTTACCAAACAAAAACAGAATATATCCTCCAAGTTTTAAATTCCCTAAAAAGTCATGAAAATCAACACATTGCTTGAAGAAATTAAGGACTGCCTTTTCCTCTACTACACATGTCGACGTATTACAAAAGTTCTTTTAGCATTTTAGCCGTTACACGACCCATGTGCAAGGTGGTTCCCACTTCCTCACCAAATAACAAGTCTGCGCACCTTTGGCCGTTTCCTTCACGGAACCGCGTGACCATCGACAGCTCATCACATTCTCCACGCGCCATACAACAATCTCTCACCGACCGTTGTGCCTTTCTCGACCGACGAGTTAGATGCACGCGCCTCGTTGAGCGTTACACAAAAGGGCATATTGGTTCAAAGATAAATATCTTGTGTCACGGCGCCGTAACGGAGAGATGACCTGTCGATATCTCAGTGAACACGCGGTGGAATATCAGCCGTCGATTGTCTTGACTCGCGGGACCTATTTGGTCGACCAGCTGTAAAATTGTGCAGTATTCTTAAGCTGGAAAATCCGGTCAGCTAAACCGGGCAGCTCCGCGTTTGCCCGACCTCTTTATATAACAGACTCACCACATTTCACTTCACAATAATCAATCTGTCATTTCGAGAATACTCTTAAGCTTTAAGCAAATTCGAAATCAGCAACAAAAACCCTAGCCCCACTTTTCTATCTCTCTCTTATCATCACATACTCTGAAATGGCGATCTCAAAGGCTTCCATTGTTGCTCTCGTCGCGGTGATTGTCTCCGTTGTTGCTACCGTCGCTTCCGCTCAGGTCGAGGCTCCGGCTCCAAGCCCGACATCTGGATCTGTTGCGATCTCCGCGTCCGTCGTGTCAGCTGGTGTTGCAGCCGTCGCAGCTCTTGTTTTCGGCTCTGCTCTTCGGATCTAAGTCTTTTGAGATGGAGGTTCGTACAGAGATTGTTTTGAGGTTTTAATCCGGTGGTATAGCATTCATGATATTCGTGTGTATTCAGAAGCTATAGATCTCTCTTTCTATTTGCCTCTCTTCTTTTCTACCTACCTTCATATCTATATGAAGATATTTTAGAGTATTGTTGGTTTGTCATTTCTCTAGACGGATTTAGTATGCGACATGGTTTTTGATATTATATGATTCTATTTATTTATGGATGTTTCCCAGAATTCTCTTCTCTTTATTTGCGAAATCGTTTATTATGCTTCTGCGTCGATACGAGCTTGTTCAAACATTAGATTATTATCCAATTCGTTTAAAATCGAATCATTCCCAACCCCAAATTTTACTGAATGTAAATGTTATTGCTAAATCTGAATCTGAACTAAACTCGTACCAAGCTGGTTATTACTCAACTTCCAAAAATTGAAAAGCCTTAACTGAAACCAGTATTTGAAGTTCTATACGTAGTGGTTCAAATTTGGTACCCAACGTCTGCCTTTTCTCGGAATACTTTTGAGTTCCAAAATTAATCAGCACAACTAAAATTAACAATCAAAGTTCATTTCCAAAGTAGTGTACTAGAGTACAAACAAGACGCGGTTTTTGAAGAGTGCGGTCGAATTGTGGAAGAAAGCACAATTTCGTGTAAAATCAATTGACCGATGAGGAAAACCGATAAGAGCTTGCGGTTCCGTTTCAATTAACCCTTGAGGACGTTTTTCATTTTTGGCATCAGAAAGTGTTAAACTTCTAATCGTCAACGGCAAAGAACACTGTTATTAACGGAGTCGAAGCTTTCTTAATGGAAGCCAGTTTTGGTCAAAAATGAGAAAAAGAAGTTGGGAATTTATTTGACGATAGGAAAAGGTGAAGACTTTTTTGGCAGAATTAAAGCATTGTTCAAACGTTGAAGAATAATCAACTGTTGATCAAGTACCGAGATAAAAAAAATTGTGTAACGTATGTGATTCTCAGTAGCTAATCTAGGATCGTCATAGGTTAACAAATCCTTCAGAAGTGCCTATTGATTCGATACAAGTTAACTACGTATTAACTTCCACTAACGCATCATGGTCATTTAGACACGTGTCAGCTTGTGGGATTTGGAAGACAATGACTGCAATTCTATGTCCATCTGATTTACCGTTTGGTTTTGAGGATTCAATGTATTTGGCGCATGATTGGTTCCTTTATTTTGTAGGCCATCTGTTATTACTTTGAGAATATTCATTCATAGAAATATAGATGACCTTTTATCAAGAAGAAAAAAAAGGGGGTTTAGGGTGGGAAAATTTACAAAGAAACATGCAAAAGAGTGTTGGATTATGCAGAGTGTCCTATGCTACTGTAAAGGAAGAAGACAACTAGTGCATTTGTTTTGTTCGGTCTCATGTGTGTAAGAAGTCTTAAGACTTGCTGGAAATGAAACATCACTTTCAATTTTTCTTATTTTGCTATGCTTGGAGAGAAGAACCATATATTCTTCTACACAATTTTCTTTCATGGTGATACTCCATAGGTTATTTTTTCTTTGTCAACAAAGGTTCTCTTGCTTATATTTTCCATCAAACTGGTATATATACGGATCCCTCCTACACAATTCGAAGATAAACTTTTATCAAAAAGAAAACTGAAGATAATTTCAGAACATTTTCAAGTTTTCGCAGAAGATATGGGAAATAGAAAAACAGTTAAACCAGAATCTATTGATAATTGATCATATTTTGGTTCTTTAACCACATCAAATGTCATGGAAACTACTAACGAAGAAAACAAAATGGAATGGTTTATTTGACATAAAGCACAAAACATCAGGGGTTAATATGCAAATTACCAATAAAGAAAAGGAGAAAAATCTGAAGAGAAGAGAAAAAAAAGAATCCTGGAGGAGGAAGCGAGGGTTTTGTAGGTTTTGCATTTCTGGCTCAACCTCCGCCTAATCACTCTGTAAAATTTCCCAACTATACAGATTCGGATATCTCCGGGCATTAGATCGATCCGTCTTGCATAGAAATGCAATCGATTCGTGGCAGTACAAGGTTGCTTCAGAGGCAACGTTTCGCCATCCCCAACACTCTTCGTTTCACTTCGTCTCCGGCAAGCTGGTCTGATAATGAATCGAGGAGTCTAGGATTTGACTCCTTCCCTTCTACCCGAGCTTTGGGCTCAGCAGCGACGTATCTCATTAGCTCGTTGACAAAGGCGATTTCTTCATCTTCCGCACTACCTGTAAGCAAGCCACTGGTTTAGTATTGTTTCCGGATTGTAGAAATGTAGAGGATGATTAGTTGCCAATACAGATCCGAATCCATATTGGTTTGAAATTGCAATTGCTATTGGGTTGGTTTTGCTGAATACTGATGAGTAGAGTCAAGTCTCCTAGCCGCTAGATTCCACTGATTTTGTCTTCCTGAATCAAATTTAGCTCAGAGTCTGTATGTGGTAGGCTTTCGATAGCTATGGTAATCACAAAATAGAAAATGATGATAGATAGGTGAAATTGAGAGAAGAAAATTCTTCATTCTACGCCAATCACAAAAGATCTCATGCCTGTTTATCCTCTTGAGCTCGTTGCTGTTTTCCTTGGGCCTCTCTCGTATGGAAGAACCAGTTTCTTGCCTGGCTTTGGCACAGTCTTTATGCTTTCACAAATTGTTCTGCTTTATAGGTTTATAGTGGATGTTTTGACTCACAGTGACATCTAAATTAGGCTTCTTCGTGATTTAAACACTCTCTGATGACTATGATGGTGATTGGCAAAATGTTCGGCAGAAACAAAACTTTACTTACACATCGAGGTGCTTGTCCACCATTGGAGATGCCGTTCAATCTACCCCTGAGTCAGCTTCTGACTTGCCTCCGAGAATCAAGTTCAAGCGGCTTGATAAGACCGCCAAGCATATAATGCAGGTACAAGTCTAACTTTTGACTGTCGAAAGTCATGGATAAATCATGTTCATGTTTTAACTATGCGACCATTTTTTGTGCAGATTGTAGACAAGGAGGCAGTTGAGGAAGTGAGAACTCGTAGAGAGATTCCAGAGATAAGGCCCGGTTACATTGTTCAGCTTAAAGTGGTAATATACTATTTTGAAGCTGGCTTAGATTGTTCCCTTTCATAGGATTTGCATTTACTTTGCTAGATTTGCCTTTGCTTTGAACAGGAAGTGCCTGAGAACAAGAGGCGTGTTTCAACAGTAAAAGGCATTGTCATAGCTAGGCGTAATGCTGGTCTTAACTCTACCTTTAGGATTAGAAGACTTGTGGCTGGAGTCGGCGTCGAATCCATGTTCCCCTTGTAAGTAACTTTAAAGGAAAAGATTGATTTACGTTGTAAATGAACACTGATGTGAGTGTGGGGCTGTTTGGTGGCAGGTATTCACCAAACCTGAGGGAGATTAAGGTGTTGGACAAGAAGAAAGTAAGAAGAGCGAAGCTTTATTACCTTAGGGACAAGATGAATGCTCTCAAGAAGCATTAGCACCTTTACTTATAATAATAAATTGCTGTTTAGTCTCTGCGTCTTAGAACAAAGTCTTGAGTGTTTTTTAGTGACGATTTGGCTCAAGTCACATATTGGATTGTGTAATGTAATCATGGATCCCTTCAAACTATCATTCCTCTAGCTCTTTCAATAAGTTGGTTACCTTATTACTATGATGAGTTATCTCCACCTTCGTGATAAGTTCGTTCGCATATCAATTTCGTAATCCTATTGCACACAAAAAAAAACCAAAGCGATAAAAAAAAACAAAATTTGAGTTTCGAACTCTCGTTGCTCGGTGGTCTGAAAGCCATCGTCGGAGGATTTTTTTTTTGTTTTTTTAATAATAATAATATTAAAAAATATATAGGAGCGTCCGAACCCGACCCTACTTGTCTGCGACCCGGTTTTAGTCAGTCTATCTCTCTCGAGTCTCGATTAATTTCGAAGGTCCATTAATTTTGTCCAAGGCAAGCTTCTTCGATCGTGTTCGTGTGGTTTCGTTTCTAATTGTAAGCTTCGTCTTATTCCTTTTCTCTAAGGTTTGTGTCGATCTCAAAGCTAAAGAGATTGATGAACCTAATCGTATTGTAGAAACTTAACCTAGATTTTTGGGGTTTTAGCTCGGGGATCGATAGTTATTGTCAAGTTTAGGTAGCGAATTCCAGTTACGGAATCGCTGCTTCAGTTTGAAAGATTGGTTTTTGGAGGCTTCACACCGAATTTCTCAGGTTAATTGGATAGCAAAATATGCATTCAAAATTGAATTTCGAAATTACAGTGTTATTACTCTTCTCTTGTTTTTGATAATAGCTCAAGTTACTTTAGGATTCCAAAAGTTCAGTTTTTTTTGCAATGGAATTGTTAATCGTTTTTATATTTTCTGTAAACTGCAGTGAGAAGGTAAAGTTGTGTAGTTGAAGAATGTCTCTTGGGAGTGCTCAAATGCCTAAGAAGAAGAGGAGTAGTAGCTCCTTGAAGAAGCCATCACAACAAGCAGAGAAATCTGCAATAGATGAAGCTAAACCAGTTCCAATGCCTAAGAAGAAAAGCAGTAGTAGCTCCTTGAAGAAGCCATCGAAACAAGTAGACAAACCTGCAATGGATGAAGCTAAACCAGTTCAAATGCTTAAGAAGAAGAGCAGTCGTAGCTCCTCGAAGAAGCCATCAAAACAAGTAGACAAACCTGCAGTAGAAGAAGCTAAACCAGTTCAAAAACCTGGGAAACTAGGGAAAGAGATCGATGACATCTTTGGTGGGAGAAAGAAGAAGAAGCCAGAGCTCGAAAACACCAACAAGGAAGAGACCAAAATTGAGATAGCAAGGAAGAACAGGAAGAGGAAGAGGAAGGAGCGTGAAGGGCTCAACAAGAACCCGAGAACCCGAGTCAGGAAGAGAACCGAAGACGGTTTACCAGTGTACACTGAAGATGAGCTTGGCTTCAACAAGGCTTATGCTGGTGGTACTCCTCTTTGTCCCTTTGACTGCAGTTGCTGCTTTTAGATTCTCTTCTTTTTTGTTTTAACCAGTTTTGAAGGTTTATTTTAAACGGTGCAAAGTGATTAACTTTGTCTGGTGAAAATGGATCTCAGTTTGTTAAATTTTGCTTCTTGTCTTTGTTCAAGTTTAATGAGAAAAATACATTTTTCTTTCTAGCCAGTTGCCACGAGTTTTATGATATATACAAACAAGACGAATTAGAAACAACGGCAATCTTGTGTTTCATACAATTTCAAAGACATACTGTATATAGCAATAGTCAGCATCTAGCTGATAAACTCATACAAAAACATTTTAAGTTTATTAAGTTTCGACAAACAAACTTTAGAAGAAACAACACTCCTTTACATGGCATCTCCATCACAAAGAAACATGCAATGAAACGTCCACATTTTTATTATCCCAAACTTTTGGTAAAAATCTCTGAAAAAACTCTCTTGAAGAGATTCACTTGTTCCACCAATGCAAGAAATCCTTGCGCCTGTTGATTTTCTTCTGAAGCTGGAGGAGTCCATAGAGCAGAGCCTCAGCGGTTGGAGGACACCCAGGGACGTAAATGTCGACTGGCACAATTCTGTCACAGCCTCGAACCACCGAGTAGGAGTAGTGATAGTATCCACCTCCATTGGCACAGCTTCCCATTGAAATCACCCACCTTGGTTCTGGCATTTGATCATAAACCCTGTCATTTGGTTCAAAAAACTCTGACATTAGAAGTTTGAACTTTAAACAGGATAATCAAGAACAAAAGCTTTAAAATCCGCATATACAACGTCTCTCAATCCTACCAGATCAAGACTGATTTCAGAACATATATCTATGGACTACTATATCGAAAGCTCTGTATCCATGTACCATAACAACAAAAATGGACATCAATTCACTTAGGAATATATGAATAAGTGCGTCAGATATCCATGTACCATAACAACAAAAATGGACATCAGGGCTCAAGGACAATGAAGCAAAGTCATGATGCAAGATCCTAATCAGTCGACAGAAGGAGCTACAAGAAAACATTGTAACAATGGTGTCTTTAACCTCTAAGGATACAAGAGAGACCAAGTTTGATAATTCCAATCATGATAGCTGAGAGGATACAAAGACATGTTTCCCTGATGAACACCAAGCTAGATAATCTAAAATCCCCATATCCCCACAAAAGACAAGCACAAATGTTACATGTGAAGAGAATGTACTCCTGCGTAATATACCTACTCTTCATTCTTGAATACTAAATTTCTCCCAAGTTCATGAATTCGAACCAAAATTTCCAGGAAATCTGCGCTAGACAGTGGATTTATAGAGAAATTCTCAATTTTTTTCTCAATTTGACACAGACCTAGCAAGAGATCAAAATACATGAACCCTAAATCGCCGAGAAAGAGAAATTTCCAACCGAAATCCCTAGTAATAATCTCCTAAACCTAAATCAAGAGGAAAGTATATCTGAGATCCGAGGATATAAATCAGCCAATTATTCCATTGGAAAGGTAGAGAGGCGTACTTGCGAAGAGCCGGAGCCATCTTGTTGGTAAGCGTCCCGGCAACAATCATACAATCGGACTGACGAGGACTAGGCCTGAAAATGATACCGAATCGGTCGAGATCGTAACGAGCAGCACCGGTATGCATCATCTCCACGGCGCAGCAGGCGAGTCCGAAGGTCATAGGCCAGATCGATCCCCTACGAGCCCAGTTCATGAGATCATCGACCTTGGAGATCACAAACTCCGCCGCCTTGGAGAGACCTGGCGGTGGAGCGGAGGTCGAAGGAGGACCCGGTCTGGTGTAGGAAGCCGGCGATGTCGAGGCCGAGAGAGCGGGAAGAGATGTGTGTAGGTGAGAGACCGCGACGGCGCGTTGAGCTTGGAGGAGGAGAGGGAGGCGCGTGGCGGTGTTGCGCGTTATCATTGCCATTGGATTGATTGTGTCTCTCTGAGTTTTTTTTTTCTTCTCTTCGTGGAGTTGTGATAACCAGGCGACTCTTTAATCACATTTACTAAAAACAGGTGGAGAACTATTTATATTAATTTATATTTTTTTTAATCATTTTCTCTCATTTTCATAGTTATCGATCAATTTTATCAAATTATAGTTTTTGGACTATTTCAATTTATAATTCAGGCTTCCGATTCCCTCTCTTTATACGTGCCTTTTCTTTGAATTTTGATAGGGTTTCTCTATTTCCTTCAACTTCCCAAATTCAAATTCAAATTCCTTCTTCGTTCTCTGACATCAGAAAAGGAAAATGCAACCTCCGATTTGCAAACCCAGGTCTCAGAGCGACCTTGGATTTCTGAAACCGCTTCTCAGCGACTCAATCAAGCAGCTCTTGGCTCAGTATCGGAGAGGACGAACCCATTTCTCCGATTTCGACTCCATCTTCACTCGCGTCCTTCACGATCTTCCCGAGCCACCTCTTGAGCTCGTCTGGTTCTACTCCGCGATCAGATTCCACTCCTCGAAACTAGATTTTCAAGGCGATTCCGTTGGGTTAACTTCGAGCTTCTTCCAGCTGCTACTCTCTTTCCCCGTTTCCTTTTCCGATTCATTTTCCGGCGCAAAGAGGGTAGCTCTGTTATCTCCTCTCGTTTACCAGTTGAGTCGTTTAGTTAACACTAGGAGAAAAGACGCTTTGAGCTTGGTAGATGATATCGTAAGCTACGTTAGCATGTACTGTGTCGAGGATCCAGGGGATGAAGAAGATTTGTTAATGGTCTCAGGGTTTAGTTTTTCTGATTTGGCTCGAGTTTGGATTGTGGATGAAGTGGAAGAGGATTGTAGAGTGGAGGATTGTTTGGAGATCTTCATGCCATTTGTAAGTGAAAGACTGCGTCAGGAAATGGATTCTGAGTCCTGTAGCGTTGGTTACTTAGCTGGAATCGTAGCTTCTCAGGTTTTCTTGCTCAGTTTATGGTTGAGATTTGATTCGGAGTTAAGTAGATCCGAGCTGAGAAAGAATCTCCGGGAATCTGTGCTTCAGATGATTTCTGAGTTCCACAGTTGCTACTTTTTTGGTGAGAAGCAATAAGTTTTCCGGATATTCTCAATCAATTGGTTTAGTTTTCAATTATGTATGTGATGTTTTCTACTTTTCTTGATTTCGTTACAGATGTGATTCTCAAGATGCTGTTGCTGGAGCCATGCTTGCATTTAACTTCACTACTGGTTAGTTCTTTAGCTAAACTTCGTTTCTACTGTTTAGTGTTCTTTCTCTGGGTCACATGAAAGTTTCAGGATGAAATGTTCCTCATTTATCAAATGTGTTGAGCTGTTTTTTCATGGGAAGCTTTTTAATCTTTCAGGGTCAAGAGGATGAAGCTACTTTAACGGAAATTGTAACAGAAGCTGTGATTGAATCGGTGGAGAAGCTATTCCTCAACTCTGGAAATGGAACTTTAGAAAGAGGTTTACACTTGAAGAACATTGCTATCAACTGGTTATTTCTTTTTGACAATGCTATGACTTCTCTAAGGTAATATGCCTATAGTTATTAACTATAAGAAGTAATTGCCCCCGGTTACTTGAAATTGTTTTGCTTGATGCTCCAAACAATGACACAGGAGAAATAAAGATCAAGAGGAAATCAGCAGGTACATGAACATGTTCTCTGATTCACGTATTCCTTGTCACTTGATCAATTGGGTAATCAGTCAAGGTGAAGTGATTAGTGATGCAGACACACTGTTAGACTCGACGCCAGCATCCATCATCGGTAAATTGTTTTCTTTATCTCTAATCATATAGCTGTAATGTCTCTCTTGACTAACCCATTGTACAAAAACCTGATCTTCAGAATGGCTTGTATCTCTTGAAGAGCAAGGACTAAGGGTTTTCGACTGTGACCATTCCAAAAACTATGCCAAAACTGTGATTCACAGGTCAAGACCAGATCTCAGCCTCGAAGCCACATTGGTGGAACAACAAGAGGAGTTTGATCAAGATGCAGACATGGCTGATGATCAGGTTGTGTCATCTATCTCTATTCTCAGCAGCGGCACAAGAAAGCGTAAAGAAGAGAGGCTTGACAAGGAGGGGGAAACGAAAGGGAAGCTCTTCAAATATAGGCACAACACCAAGTTTCAACCTTTTGTCTTCTCGGATGGTTTGGTGAATGGGACTGAGGTTGAAGTTTCAGACATGGAGCTATGAGCACTGATGATCCATTTGTAGAAAATCTTTATAATGTAAGAATGCTGCTGAAGTAATTGTTGTCTAGACTCTAGAGATTATAACAAGATCCACGTTGTAACTATTTAGAATCTTCTTATCGTAAACTCTTGAAAGTCCTTCAGGATCAGTGGCAGGTTTGAATCCTCGTCCATCTCCAGCATCAAAAAGTTAATAGTACATTTAAAGTTTTTGGCTGAGCAATTTGTATCAAATGAGAGGTTCTTGAACAAAGAAAGAGAGAAATAAGTTTAAATCTATGGACTCCTACTAGAAACTTCATAAAAATCAGATTTTGTTGTGGTTTGGAGTCTTTGGACTTTAGAATCTGGATCATACAGATGAGATGACAAAGAGTTTTATTCACGAGTTTTCTTATTTCATCACTGCTCTGTTAAAGCCTTAATGGGCCTTGGTTTGATCCTTTTATGAGAACCTTTTTTATGGCTATTTTATCCCAGCAGTAATATTCAACTTTCAAAGATGATGTATCATTCATTGGTTTGTTTTCTATCGGAGGAATGTTCTAAAATTATACAATTGTTGGATTCAATTCGAACAAGAGCATGGATGATTCAAAATTCGTTTACTTTATGGTTTATACTTGAAGTAATGGAAGTTTCCATAGATGGACACGTAGTTGATCTTTGCAACAACTTCCATACAAGGCAGTAGACGTCAAGACGTGATGTAATGAATTGGATTAAAAGCAAAGAAATGTCACTATTTTATGTAAGAAACAAACCAAATGTAACTTTTCAATGTGGATACTCTTTTATATGCCTTTTTGGTGCTAAAATTTTTAAACTACAAAATAGTATGCTTCTTTCTGCGTGTGGACGTATCTACATTCTACACATATTTACTACATAAATATTGTCGGCGAAGATTCGTGTATAGGCATATCTATATGATGAGAAGATTCGTATATTAGATTGATGAGTGATGGTGGCGAGATGGAGACAGCAAATAAATATTTTATTTTCATAATTTTATTAGCCAAACGCTAAGCTATAAAGCTGAGTAATGGCGTCACACGTGCCCACATTTATTCAGACATTAGGGAAACAGTTACTGTTATCACTTAATTGATCATCAAACAACCACCGCATGGTTTATCATTTTAAATAAAATACAAATTCAAATAGCCTTAAATGAAATTGGAAGTCTCCCCACCATTTTAAATTTAAAAAAAAATTGTTCCTCAAAAACTTTTTATCATATGATTCATGCATATGCAAGGAAACTGTCTGGCATATTACTAAGAATATATAAATTAATCACATTATCACAGCGTGACTGATATGATAGATCGAAATGCAAAACTCCATAAATAATCAACTTAAATTCCAAGAATCATGAGGCATACATATGAGAAACCGAATCCTAAATGTAAAGATTAAGAAACGTGGTTGGTGGTTAATCATTAAAATATTTCCATGAAAAACATAGGATACAAAATAAACTGAAAACAGAAGCTGGTGAAGACGCTGATGGTGTAATGTGTAATTATTACTTTGGTAGTACTCAACAAAATATTATATTGGTACAATTATTCGCTGACTAGTGAGTTTTCCTTTTGAATTCATCTCCCGTTTGTTAAATGCGTTGTTGGCTTGTTGCATTGTGACCAATCATATACAATGTGAAAACATGAATATATAGCACAACATAATATTGCAGATAGATTGAGAATATTCCATCGAGTTTGTCATTACTTATTCAACCATTCAAATTAATACACGTTTGATAAATCAAGGAAATTTAACTATACCATGATTTACAAAGTTAGAATATTGCTAATAAAGATTATGAACACGTACTTAATCAAATCATGTCATAAGTGTCGAAGAAAAAAAAAAGTTAGACCAAACGAAGCTGATTCACTTTGTTGAAAGAGGTCACTTCTTCCTTTGACGAAAAATAATTTCCGCAATTATAAAAGCTGGAAACACCATAAATTTTAGAAACTGATATCAATGTCTTTGTTTGTATCTATTTTCATGTCACGGTCAATTTAATTACGAGGCTCGAATATGGTCCTCACTCCTATGGAGCATATAATAAAGTGAATTATGATTAAGAAAATGAAAGTTTTGGAGGGATTTATAATTAAGCAAAAGGGACTTATGGTTTTTACGCTCTTGTTGGGTGCCGATGACACATACCAACTCGACAAGAAAACGACATGTGTGTTCTCACTCTCCGTGCAATGGGCCCCGTTTTTTGCTATACGAAACCACACGGTGTTCATATTTTTAGAACGGGGAGGAGACTAATATTGGGAAGATGACAAAATAAGTTAAAATCGGACGGCTGAGGATTCTCCGTGTCCCGTCTAAACCATTTGGTCTTAAAGTCAACAGTACGCGCGGACTTTCTTTCCTTTTCGACAAAGTTATTCCTTCATTTTGGCCCCTGTACTATTTATGTATCACTATTCTCCCTGTACTATATTCAAAAATTCAATAAGAACCTCATAATGGGCAAGCTTTTGTATATTTATTATTTATACATGTATATTTCAAATTAAATAGAAAATTTCAATTTGAATTCTTGGTTCAGTGCTTTTAATGTTTTTTATATAAAAGATTATAGGAATGAAGCAGCGTCATTTTTTGGGGGTCAATCCGTCAATGTATAAAATTAAGAACCTTGTTTGAAAAGATGAAAAGCAAAATAAAAAAAAGTGGAAAAAAGAAAAATGAAGGTGCCGACACGTTTTTGGGTTATACAATAGTCGATTATAAAGAACGTGGCGTCAATTTGAATGATTAAGAAATTAAGGGGATTGAGAATGTAAAGGTTAGAAAAATAAAAAAACTGTCGGTCCCTTAACCAAGGTTAAGTTTGATCAGAGTATATAGTTAAGCCTTGTGATTATTTTTCGCAGGTCCTACATTAAACCGAGTCGACCGTCGGTGACTCAGTACGGGTCGCGTTAACGAGTCGAGCTGGTTTCATTTTTCAATTTTTTTTTTAAAGTCACAAGTCGTCTTCTATTTATAAACAGAAAAAAACGAAGACAGCCATCGTTTTGTGAGAGAAGAGATATATACAGAGAGAGAGAGAGAAGGCCATGGAAAGATAATACTCTGCTGTAACATTTTTTTTGAAATTATATATAAGAGGAGAGAGAAAGAGATGGCGGATTCGAGCGATTCTGTCTCCATTGATATAGAGGCATTGTCTCTTGGAGGACAGGTAAATTATCGCAAGAGTTTTAAGGATTTTGTTTGTTTTTAGTAAGAATTTTCGGGAAGAACAGAAATGGTACTTTTTTCTTCTTTTTTTTGCTTTCTGCATTCTTCTTTGAGCTGCTTTATTCATGAAAATTCATGATTTATCTGGAATCTGCTCTTTATGATTTTTCTGCTGTAGTATGATTATGATGATGATAAGTGGTTTTAGCAATTTCTGTAATCGTTTTCGTTTGTAATAAAACAATGCTGGGAAATTTTCATGTCTCTATGAAATTGGAATGATGCTTTCGTGTCGGTAATATATCCAAAACTACGAAATGTGTTGTCGATTTTTCTTTGCGGTTGATTCTTGGAGGTTTCTGAGATTTGTACGTTCTGTTTTTCATTATCTTTCTCCATTTCATGGCTCAAAATTTGACACCTTGAATTTGGAACATGTGTATTTCATCCAATTCTTGTTCAACTAGATCATTGCAATTATATAACTCTTGAATTTTATTCACATTCGTTTTCTCATTGATTTTAAGGAATAATTTTTGTTCTTCTTGTTATTCTGATAATGAAGTTATGGTTCTTCTGATTATGGCTAAAATTTAATGATCCCTTTTGTTTGACCGTTTCTTGTTTACTCATTATTCGTATATGATTTTATTGGGAAACTTTGGTACTCTTTTTGTTGTTTGGTTTCTAAAGGGAAGTGAAAGTTTTAGGTGTGGTCCAAATCTATGCATGTTCTTTTTACCACCTTTTCATTTATTTTCATAGAGTAATAATTGGTTACTGAATTAAATTATACTTTTTGTTTTGTTTTGTTTGATAGGAACACCTTGTGGAGACTACTTATGGCCCGGTTTGTGTTGCCGTTTGTGGAGATCCTGATAAACCAGCTCTTATCACTTATCCTGATGTAGCTCTTAATTGTAAGCATCTTCTTTAATCTCAGTAGTTTATTAATATGATTAGAAAACGCAATGCTTCTTTTGAAATTGGTGCTTGTTTGTATAATATTTCACATTTGGTCTTGTGCAGATATGTTCTGTTTTCAAGGATTGTTGTTTTGTCCAGAAGCTAGCTCCTTGTTGCTCCACAACTTTTGCATATATCACATCAGTCCTATTGGCCATGAGGTTGGTAACTGAAGTCTCTGATCATTTACACAACTTTGTAGGGTTTCTGGTTGTTAACCGCTATGACATTCCCTTGTTGGTGATGCAATTCATATCCCTTATTACATCGTTTTCTTCAAGAATCATTGCAGTTGGGAGCTCCATTGATCAGTGTTGATACTCCTTTGCTCTCAGCTGATGACTTGGCAGACCAGATAGTCGAGGTTCTTAACTTTTTCGGGTAAGAAGCCATTTCATTAAGCTGCCTATATATTCTTGTTATACCGTTGTCTTACCAATTTCTTTATGGCTTATTGGCTTTTATCCAGACTTGGTGCTGTAATGTGTATGGGTGTCACAGCAGGAGCATACATTCTGACCTTATTTGCTGTAAGCATTTGTGATCTATACAGTAACAATACCTCTCTTACACTTCACTCAACTTGATTATTCACTTTTTTAACTTAAATTATTACAGATGAAGTACAGGCAGAGAGTTCTGGGGTTAATACTCGTCTCTCCACTGTGCCAAGCTCCTTCTTGGTCAGAATGGTTGTGCAACAAGGTTTTTTTCTCACAAATATATCTTCTTTTGTTTTTCTTACGTGTGGTTCTTGCTTTCATATGTAATTATCATACCGGACGTTCCATAATTTATGCAGGTTATGTCTAATTTACTATACTACTATGGCATGTGTGGAGTGGTTAAGGAATTGTTGCTAAAACGGTACTTCAGCAAGGTATACTCTCATGTGCCACCTACTTATATCCAAACAATTATGGTTTTGGTTTCAAACTTTTCTTGTAATTGATAAGGTTTGACATATGTTATCGTAGGAAGTTCGTGGTAATGCTCAAGTTCCAGAATCGGATATTGTTCAAGAATGCAGAAGAGTTAGTAAAACAAAATTTCTTCTCTTTTTCTTGTAGTTCTGTGATACTTGAACGTTATTGTTCCGAAAAACTTACATGTTATATGTTCTTTAATCTTTCACTGTGCAGTTACTTTGTGAGCGGCAGAGTACAAATGTATGGAGATTCCTTGAGGCAATAAACGGGTAAAGCAACTCTCTCTACTCTCTGTTTGATTTCATTTCCATTTGTTTCCACTTTACAGTATTAATGTTTTTCGGTTTTGGTTGGAAATAGGAGAGTGGATCTTAGCGAAGGGTTAAGGAAATTGCAATGCAGAACTTTAATATTCATTGGTGAGAACTCTGCGTACCACTCGGAGGCCGTTCACATGACAACAAAACTAGACCGACGATACGGCGCATTAGTCGAGGTACCACCATAAATTTAAACTCCCTCTTTTCTCTGACACAAACAAGCTTTATTCTGTTTTCTGTTTTTTTTGTTTTGTTATAAAAGGTGAATAGAAATAAATCATTAGCTTTAAATTGGTGGATATATTAAACAAACAGGTGCAAGGAAGTGGGTCGTTGGTGAGTGAAGAACAGCCACAGGCAATGGTAATACCAATGGAGTACTTTATGATGGGATATGGCTTGTATCGTCCTACACAGAGCGTGAGTCCAAGAAGTCCTTTGAGCCCAACTCGAATCTCCCCTGAGCTTCTCTCCCCTGAAAACATGGGCCTCAAGTTGAAGCCAATTAAGACACGCCTCGCCCTGTAGCATCATTATCTCCTAAAAATCGCCATCGTCGGAGCTGGAAGTGCTCTTCTGCTATGATTCAAGCTGTAGATATATACAGATATATTTGATTGATCATCTTTATATATAGAGAGAGAGAGATAGAGAGTGGGAGAAGAAGAAGAGTGAAAAGAATGGGATGGGGAAGGGATTGATATATGGTAGAGATTACAGATGTTATATTTTGATTCTTTGAAATTGTCTTCTTTTTGTGGTACTGGTAGCTGTTGTTGTTTTGTACATTCGGTTGAATTATTATTTAAGGAAAATAAATTCTCATTATATTTTGGTTATGGTCTGAGCCAAGAGTGATCAAGGCAAGTAAAACATTGGCCAGAAGCAACTTTTGCCACAATATATGAAACTCGTAGCACAAGTTATATTATAACAAAGCTTATGTGTTATGTGTATTTATAAAAAAGAAATCTTAGGAAAGAGAGGCAAACGTGTGCGTTTCTTGAGAAGCGTACGATGGTATTCACTAGTCAACAACATCGCAACGTTGATTTTGAGTTATGCAGTATTGCCGATTACAGTTGAAATAACGACCATTTCCCAAAAAATGCAGAATATTATATTACAAAAGAAAAATCCCAACCTGTTTCATGACAGAAATATGAATTAAATTTTAATTGCAAATTACATCAATGAAAGAGAGAAATACTAATTACAAGGGAAACAAATGGGGTTTGGGGAATAAAGGCAGAGGTGTTAGTTACTCCCTGGAAACAAACAATGTTAGTGTTTAAAAATCTTGATCTTCTTCTTTTTCCACATGTTGGTCAAAATTGGTGTACCAAACTTCACTTGATTAAGAACCATTGTGGTTTTAGGAGCTGTGGGATTGGCGTGACATAAGAATCATCCGTTGTTTACCGCTTTCTGATCTTACAACTTCTCCTTTCTGCTCAAAACCAAAGCTTTCTTTAGTTTGTTTAGTTTATTACATAAATGAAGAAAGAAGCTCGAGACCAACCAAAAACAAAACAAATTCAAACTTACCTCTATGGAACTCTCCGGAGCAAACCATCTCAACAGTACTCCAAGGTGCACCACTGCAGGTATCACTTTGAAAACAAGAGGTGTTGTGACCTATCCAAACCAAACCAAAACAAACTCAGCTACTTAAACACATATAAGAGGAGGAAGTGAAATGATCTGATCATACCAGGCTAAGAGCGGTTGTCCCAAGAAGAAGCAAGTAGAGTTTCCCCTGAGAATTTTCATGACTTTAAGTTTCTTTCTTCAAATACCACCTTATTAAAGGATCCATTGAGGAGCAGTTGTGTTACTTACTTCGATGAGGTGAAGATTTGAGGCACGACTAAGAAGCACAAAGGCAAATTCCCCTATCTGAGCCAGAGATATTCCAACCTGCAAATCAATTTAACTAGGATTTGTAAAGCACATAGTTCCAAACACGATCACACGCAATTTATAAGTAACAATCTTTTTACCAGAAGGGCCGTTTTGTTGTTGTATCCAAATCCCTTGACAACTGTTGTGACTATAGTTGTCTTTATGATAATTACTAATATCACCGAGGCTAACAGTATATCCACATGCGTCCACAGAAAATGGACATTAATCAACATCCCAATGCTGGCTAGGAAAAGAGCAGCAAACAAATTACGGATGGGTTCGATCTGCAGTAAAATGCAAAGGATTATAGTCAGACTGAACAGTAAAGTCTTTTTGGTAATAATAAGTGGTCAAAACCTACTTGCTCCAATGTATGTTCAGCGAGATCAGTAGTTGATATCATGACCCCCGCGGCAAAAGAGCCCAGTTCAAGACTTAATCCCAGCTTATCACTACACTGAAAACATAAAAGACCAATCAGACAAACATGCTAACAGAAAACAGTTCTCATATAGCAGCAGATAGGGGAAGGAATCCACATATGATAGTTTTGATGAACACGTTATGTAAGATGGATACTAGTTAGGAAGAACATGAGGAAGAGGAAGGAAAAGTAGGACTCACCCAGGCTACAAGTAGACAAAACGCAACAGTGGCTAACTGATAAAGTTCATTTGTCTGATTAATAAAGAGAAAAAAAAAAAAAAACAGGTTAATAAAAAAGATCAATTTCGTTGGACCAGAGGATAGGAAAGATAACCTTGAGAGGAACATTATGTACCTGTGACGATAAGCTGACCATTAACTTTAGCAACCAAGGAATACATGTCCGTGATAATATTGTCAAAACAGCCAAAAACGAAAGCAAAATAACCGCTCTGTACAAAGGGGGAAAAAGGCATGATTAACATCAATTCTTTAGAATGCGCCTTAGGAACAAAAACTCTATTAGTCTTTGCTTACACTTTTGCCATTGACAACATTCCGTCAACAATGCCAGAATTTCCCCCAAGAACTGGAAGCAAAGCAAACAGCAAACCCACAGCACAGTCCTAGAAAACAAAAGCTAAAATCAAAACTCCAAATAATTTGAAAAGGAACTCTACAATTAAAGGACATTGTTTGACTGCCATAACACTATACAATCTAGAAAGACAATGGATATCATATGCTGATGAAAAGTAAATCAGATACCTGAAGAATAAGGGTTCCAATTGTGACTTGGCCATGAAGAGAATTAGTTGAATTTTTTTCCATGAGAAACTTCAGCACCTATAGTTTCAAGGCAGAAACGCATGATGAGCATAAAACCAACAAAGTCTGCTAACAGAAATGGTTAGATAAGAAATATAGAATTCACTGAAATTACCACAGCAGTTGATGACATTGACAAAAATGCTCCTACAAATACCCCTTCCGAATGTTTACCACCACATAACTGCAAACAAGACCAAGTACACATGTCACAGAGAGTATAACTGCAGAAGATTTAGGGTGTATACTTTTAATAACAAGTGTCCAACTTTCAAAGACACGACACCTTAAGCTAAATAAACTAAATGTGGCTTATCCATTTGTCCACGAGTAAACAAGAAAGCAGAGAAAATTTTCAAGAACCACTGATGAAAGGATGACGCACCGACACTGTGACTCCGCACAAGAACATAAAAAGAAGAATTTGTAGAAGGCCTCCCAGAACAGCAACTGATCTAACAACTCGAAGCTACATAGCAAGAGGGAAAGTGGTCAAGAGTTTGTTACATTAACATTTCAAATCAACACTAAGCAAATCAAAGACGTTGATCTCACCTTAGCAGTGGAGAACTCTAGACCCAATGCGAAGAGCAGAAATACCACACCAAACTGGGCAACTGTTTCAACCTACATGAGTACCCATATCAGAATGAAAGCGCAAAAACTACATGTAAGATCACATAATGGTGACCTTAAAAAGGAATCTGTCAAACATATAGCATACCTGGACCATCTCACTGATGAAGTTAAATCCTCCAGGCCCAATGATAGATCCTGCTAGCAAATATCCAGTTATCACCTGAATAAGCACAGAATGATCCTCAATAATCAAAAGACCAATACGTCATACTGTAACCTAAATGTAAAATGACAGAGACTAAGAGTAGCACGAAAATCAGACCGGCTGTCCAGCACAAGCAAAGGCGATACCACCGCAAGTAGCAGATACGATTACAACCACCAGGTCTGATATCAGTCTACATGCCATAAAAAGCACAAATCAGATGAGAAGTTCAGAACTTCATGTCTAAAAGAAACTATTAACTTAAGGATCTTACCTCAAGTCTAGCTGCAATACTGGATACTTGGATTTGAAATTGGATATGATGAAGACATTGTCCTGACACAACACCAAAACTGCCACGTAAGAACAAATACACAACAAAATCCAAACTCTGACTTCCTGTGCGAAAGCTTACCTTTCGATCAATAAGAGTTGGAGTGTCCTCAGCTCTGTTATCATTGTCCAAGTTGAAAACATCATGGAGTTGAAACCGCCTAAAAGGAAAATCAGAATAACGCTTAATAGGTCTTCAACTCTACAGCATTATAGAAGGTCATATAACTAGAATTGAATAGCGTACTTGTCCTCTTTAGTCTCATTCTTCTTTGTTGACTTTACTCTTGCTACAGTTTCCAGAACAGCCTGATCACCACAAAGGTACAAGAACCAAGCTCACATTCAGATACTCAAAAGCAAGCCTTTACGATAACTCCAAACAAAAGACATAAAAGAGGGATTTTGAAATTGCTAGAATTTCCTGGAAAATTCGTTCCCAAAATTGCATGTAAAAATGAGGAAATGACACATGAGCCACTGATGATTACCAACCTGTTGTCCAGCTACACTGTTGTTAAAGCTTCCAGGATCAGCCACTGTCATCAATCACATAACCACAAAATTAGATAAAAGACAAAGTTCGCCAGTAAAAGTAAAGACGAAGAAGACAAACACTAATCCATTTCAGGAAACAAATCTCGTTATGCGGTTATTCTCGATCCAGAAGAGCATACTATTACCCACATTGTGATCAATCTAAGTCCCGAATCATTCATGGATCACGGATCCAATTCAAGATCTAACTCATGAATTAGATGAATTAATCAAACACGAGTGGAGAAAAAAAAAAGTGATAGTATGTGAAAATGAAGACTAAAAAAGAATTTTTCAAAAACACGTAATGAATTGCTTGGATCAATTCCAGTTTCCATGGCCATTTCAACTTCCTGATTCTCAGATACGGAGAGAGAGAGAGAGAATACCTTCAATCTGGTCGCTTTCGTTGAACTCCTTTTCGAGAGCGCGATCGATGATGTCGGCGAAGCTACCTTCCTTGGGTTTAACAAGCGCAGAAGCGTTGAGAGATGCGTCGGAGGAGTTTCCGGCGGTTTCGTCTAACAGATCCGAATCAGGGAGAGCGCGGGGAGACGAGACGGAGAAACAGAGGAAGAGGGAAAGTAAGAGGAGAGCGACTTCAAAGGATCTTCTTCTTCCTCCTCTTCCTCCTCCTTCCACCATGGCAGCTCGAACTGAATCTGGAATAAACCGGCCCTCAGTCTAACGCAGGGGAAGCAGAACCGGAACCGGTTTAAACACCGTCGCGAGTGGTTGGTTAGTCGTGGATCCACAGTGGAGCAAGTGAGATGAGAGAGAGGGACAGTGGGAAGAGAAGATTGTGCTAATCCAATGGTCAACAAACTAGTCCATACTCCATAGTACTCTCTCTACACAAGATGATGCGATTAGATCATCATTAATTATTATCTTCATGTATTAAAATAAGTTAATATGGGATGTTTGTGTTGTTTCTTTGCATTATACAAGTGCACCATGTGGCTCATAAATAATGGGTTTTCTGGTTTTCATTACGACAACCAACAACATCTTACATAATGTATCTTCATATTTTTATTTGGAAATCGACTTACATAACATTATTATATATTTTTGGTCTTTATAATTTTATATTTACGAGATTGATTTTCTTCTTTATAAGGTAGCTTATAATTTACAAAAGATCGATCGTGACAAGAACAGAATTTACCCAGAAAAATAGATATATTAACATTCCCCTCTCTTTTTTTCCCAGAATCCATATTCCATCATCGTCATTTGAGAAGAATGGCGGACAAACCAAGCAGAGCACTTGTTTTGTACGGTGATGGGTTGGCCCGATTCGTCGACCCGTCGAACAGCCACATCCATTCTCTCGCTTCCGTAGCTAGCTGTGGCTTCCTGAGCCTTCCTCATGCACCTCCAGGTCTCTCTCTCTCTTCATAAATTCGGTTACTTTTCGTTGATTCGTCAACAATTCCGGTCACCATCGCTAGTTGATCTCTTCCCCTTTAGTGGAACTTCATGATTGCGACTAGTGTGGATCATAATTGAACCGGGTCATGCCGGCCTGAGATCAATTGAATTCGTGAGGCACTTTGGATCCGTTGGGTTAGAGACCGAAACAATCCGATACGGAATGCGAAACTGCATTTGGATTTGACTCAGCAGAATTTGACCCAATTGCTTAAGAATCGAAGATTATGAATTACATATTTTGTGTTGCATTTGGCATTTCCGCTACCGGAAATTCACTCTGGTGTTCTTCATTTTGCAGAAACTGAGAACGAAAGGGTAGTTCGAGAATTCGCCCACTTGCTTGATGCATCCGAAGCTTATAAACTAGCTGTGAGGTTCTTCACACACGCACAATTAACAATCTGAGTGTATATTGATTTGATACATAGCTTTTATTCATGATAGTAGAGGTTAACACTCCATGATTTGTAACAGAGTGGACTAAAAGCTAAGGCAGGTGAAAATGAAATCTCAACTTTGGCTGAAAGGTTTGCAATTTCTCTCATCTCTTATACTTTTATACTCTTTTCGAAATCACTAGCCTGTAGTTGTTACATTAGTGTCACTGACACAAATACTATGGTGCAGGTTTATGGGACTCAAGGCTGCTTTAGTAACAGACAGTTCTGCTCTGACTTCTTTTGGAAAACTGATTGGCTTAGATGTGTTACGACTCTGCGAATTATGCCAAAAGAGTGATACAGTTCCTTCTGATGCCACAGCATCTGAGTTACTAAGGCTGCTTGGATTTGAGGGAGGAAAGTGCTTGGATGTGAGCCTATACGACTCTGTTTTTGTGCATATAGGGGTTGATGAACACAAAGGCGTGCGTAATATCGACTCTTTGGTTGGTAGTATTATTAGAATGGCTCAACCAGGTTCAGAAATTGTATCTCGCTTGCATCTCTCTCTTGTTCTTAGCTATGGTTCTGTCACCGACAAAGATGTTTCAGTCTTTCCTGTCAAGACTCCACAAGAAGAAGGCATTAACCCGGCATTTGCAGGACTTGTCCCCCGTCAGAGCTACACCATGCGAGGTGAAAAGACTCGGGATGATGTTCGGTAAGAGATTCGACTTTTTTACCAAATGAAACTTTTCTGAAGCTATCACTGCGTTCTTGACGGGTTTGGTCATTATTACTGCAATATTGCAGAGACTACTGTCCTATGTTGGTAGCTCAGTGGCAGCACGCGGTGACCCGGAAAGACTTAGTTGATACATTATCATTTGAAGCTCTCCAAAAGGTAAAAGTTTCTACTTTGATGCAAGCTACAATGTGATATTACCGCATGGCTTGTCTGATTCTAAGATTTTGTTGTTTTGTTCTGTTTTCTCAATGTAGCTGTGTGGAAATCTTGTTATACCAGCTGACCGGTTCATACACGAAGTTGCATTCAAACTTTGGAAGGCCCCAAAATATGGAGCTTAAAACAAACACTAGATTGTGGATTGTGGTTTGATCCTCGTTCCTCTGTTGGAATTGATTGTGGATTGTGGTTTGATCTCAAATTTGCTGACTTTACATAACGAGAAGAAACAAAAGATGTTTTATTTCTTTCTTAACTTTTCTAAATTCTCCGTATCATGAACACACACAAAAAGTATAAATTTAACATGACATGGTTAAGTGTTAAAGATTATGTTTCCTCTTCAACAGGGTGGTAGTTAGTACCGCCAATCCAAGACAGCTTCAAATTGTCTTCATAGATCCTCTGGCCTTGATTGTCTTTTAAGATCTTCCTTAGGAAGAGACCATCTCTCTTCACCACCCAAATGCACTCTTCCTCCTCTATGTTATCGCATTGCCACCTGAAATTCCTCTCCCCGGCGAAAACCGGAGTGGTCTGACCATCAGGCGAGCCGAAAGCGGTGAAGAAGGTGCACTGGAAGTATGTGTAGAGGAAGGGTATCTTGATAAATATTGGTGTGAAGGACCAGCTTTTAGATTGGCCCGGTCTGAGTTCATGCTTGCCTAATTTGTTATTAGACGACCAACATTGTACCGAGAGGCGCCTGTCTCGTCCCGGGTATTTGGCGATCTCGTTTCTGATCTCGAACCTTGCTGCTAATGTGGTGAATGGAACACAGGCTGATGCGATGAGAAGGCACCACGTGAAGGCTGTCGTTAATCGGAACCCCATTTGTTCTCTCTCTCTTGAACAGTTCTGTTTTGAAAGGTTATGTTTGTTTTGGGTTTGAATCAAGCTGTGATTGGAGAAATGTTTATAAACATGGGAGTGATTGTCTAATAACAGAAAAAAACGGTAATGGTTTTGGACGTTTTAGGTGAGATGAGTTTTATTTTCCGTTTATTCGTATCTTACTAGTTGTTGTTAGATGACTAACAAACCAAGTTTAATTTTAGTTTTCTTAGACAACCAAACCAAAAATAGTTGTTGCCAGGTCATGACGAAAGAAATGTGATGTTTAAAGCAAAGAACTTGTACCAAAAATAATCATCTTGAAAATCTGTTAAGACTTGAAAAGCCTAATATCTTGTCAAAGGCTTTGAATAAAGACAAAACAGAAACAAAATAGAGGAGGAGGAGAAGAAGCTTTGAAGATCTGATGTGGCAAGCATTACAAATGGAAAAACATTCGATAGATAGGGTTTAACTGAAGATATCAATCATTTCTTCATCTGATATGGATCCTATTTTCCATAGACTAATACAAGTTGTAGAGATAAATATAACCTGACTTCAGATTGATTTCATCAGGTCTTTTTCGTTTTTGTGTTGATGTTATTCTTCATATATTGGTCAAGAAGAAAAGAAACATAAAATTGAGATAATAACAATAAATATGTCCTTAAGGATTTCATGAACAATGAATTTATGGCATGCGAGTGTGGGAGGAACAAACAAGAACAAGTCATTCTCCTTCTCCCCACAAAACTAGACTCTTTTCACAAATCCAAGCTCCTCGAATGTATATAAATCCACATTTCATAAACTAACATTATAACCAATCACTTATAGAAACATTTAGTTAAATAATATACTGATGTAGTCCAAGGGTCGTCTCTCAAAAATCAAAATTCGAATCAGTCACCACCGTGCTTTCTTCGGCGCAAAGCTTCCAACTGATGCGGTGACCAAGGCTTCCACGGCTCAACAAGCTTCTCGACGGGCCTCGACATTTCGAAAAACCATCCAAAAGGATAATACAACTCGTACCCAATGAAATATATCCCGTTACGTCTAATCGCGTATCTACATACTTGTCCGTCGCAAAGAATCGCTGTAGTAGACACCGTCTTGATCTCGATGTTTGCTGTTCCTATGCGCGACCGGAACTCACAGTTGTGGATCTTCACGCCGTTACCAAACTGAGGAACCTCGAAGCTCCATTGAAACTCCGAGGATGGAAGCGATTTGTGCCATCCGAGGTCTTTCTTTGACGATTGGCAACGGTAGAAAACCGCCGGCTTTTTGAAATTGTACATTTCGTTCTTTATGAGCAGTGTGAAATCAACATCTCCTGTTTCAGCTGAGTTTACGTGTAGAATGATAACTTGCAAAACAAGGCACCATGATACTAGGGCTTTCATTTTCTCAGCTTTTTGCCTTGTTTTGATCCTCCCTGCTCTCTCGGGTGTTTGATATAAAGATTGTTATTGATACTATTGGACATTAATAGAAAGGGGTTTGAATTTGATTGTGTTCTACAAGGTTCTGTTTGTTATTAATACTAATCTTGTGTGTTTTGACTCGGAAGTTTCTATCACCTGCCTTAATCAATTTTTAGCTAATCGGATTGGATCACTAAAGTTCCTTCCAGAAGCACAAAAAAGCATTGCTAATACATTCTTAAATTAGTAATTTGTAAATATGGAAAATAATTAGGTAGGATCAAATAGGTGAAGTGCATGAGTTTAGTCACACGGGAGAATTAAGAAACGTGTATAATCATATATGATTTATGACACATTTCAAGAGACATTATACAAGAATGTACAGATATATATGCTACTAGAAACTGTTTGTGTCTGTGTTGAGAGATGAAGAGCTTTTCAAAGAAGATCTGAAGAAGGTTCTCCGCAGAAAGCTTCTGGTTCGAAGGTTCTTGCGGTTTCATCATTGTACGCACCTGGGATCGGCATCGAGTATCTGTCCCTAGGATCCTTATATGTTCTATAAGACGATGCAATCGGGGAATTACTGAGGTTTACCACAAGAATCAGCGATAATCCGAGAATAACTAGCGTGTTTTTCAATCTGGCAAGAACTGGTTTTACCTGAAAAAACACACAAACTTTTAATAGTCCTCATAAACAAAACACAAGACTTTACAAGAATCCCTGGAATATGATAGATGCAGACTGTCAAAAACCAAATTCATGATCAGAACTTTACCGAGAAAGATCCAAGAAGACGGTCTCTTGCCAAGACTTCAGGTATTTTCACCCAAACCTGTTTTGAAGAATCCATAGTTTGAAGTTAAGAATAAACCAACACAATTTTTTGATTCGACCAACATATTTAGAGAGACTGAAGAATGTTAACCTGACCATCATACCACCCAGTTTCTTCATCTGCAACGACAGAAGAAGAGAAAACCGGAAACAAAATGATCATAAACGTTAGAGCTAGTTCTTGAGCTTCGTCAAAACGTTACTGTTCTGATTCATAGGTCGCTAAGTAAAACAGAGAATGTGTCAAACATGTTTTGCAATCACTACGACTAAGGACAAGAGGGGAAGAAATCAAGACCAAATTCGATTACAGAGCCCAATTTGAATTATTCTCATGTTCTTCCGATGATTTTCGTTTGAATTGAAAGCGTTTTGAGTTATAGAAAGCAAACATACACTCGACGGTGGCGCTAAGAAGACGATTTCCGACATAAGCCCAACCGAGATACATCCTTACGACAGCAAGCGTGACAACGAATATCCCGCTAGAGCTGGCGGCGAGAATCCGCTTGACGGGTTCGTATTCGGGTCCGATGGATCCGAACCAGCAAACGGGTAACCCGACGAAAAATGCAAAAGAAGCGCCGGTGACGAAGAGCCTGGAAGAGTACTCGACTAGATCGCCTGAAGCCCAGGAGAAAGGGAATGAGGAGGAGAGAGATTGGTACTCGTTGATCGGCTGTTGTTCCGGCGGAACAGGGCAATCAGCCTCCGGCAACGGTTGTGGAGGTTGGGGTTCGGAGTTTCCGGCGCCAAATTTGATAAGAGATGGGGAAGAGTGTAAGGGTATTTTGGGGAATAATTTGTGGTGTAGGAATCGGCGGTGGCGAGACGGCGGTGTAAGGGAGGAGGACGAGACTAGAGTGAAATGGCTGAGCACAGTAGCCATCGCCGCTTCCGTTTTTTTTGTGGCTAGTTGTTTAAAAAATTATTTCCCAAATGCAATTTTTTTTTTCTGCATTTAAGCATACATCAAGAGTTTTCACTACATTTCATTGACAACTTCTCTATATATGAAGTCATTATCTTTCATTTTGAGATTAAGAAGAATACATAAACAGATCAAAACGTTTCTATATCATTTTTTTTATTTTTTACTTTCATTGTATTCTTTACAAGTTACAAGAATCCCCACATGTTTACACTTAGCAGATTTTGGGGGCAAATCCAAAACTAAAAACGGAAATCCATAGGATTATTGTAATCTTTTCATCTCTTTTTTTTTTCTGTTCATTTACCTAATTTTGTGGTTACAAGTAGCAATAGTGATAATAATAATAGTAGTAGTCATAGTAGTTACAAAGGGTTTAAAAATAGGGCTTTACTTTTTGTTGTTGAGCTCCCACTTCGATTGAACTCCACAAGCTTTTCCCTAACCCCGACAATCTTTCTTTTCATCTCATCTTGACCGTAATGGAAAAAAGAAAGCAAATGGAAAAAAAAAATGGAAATCCCCACCAATTGGCTCTTTGAACCAGACCAGGTGAAGCAAACAGCTTCTCTTCTCTCTACAATATATCTTACATCAAACTTTCACTCGTGTTCGATCTGTTGCTTATGTTTAGCCCCTGAAGCCTCTTTAGACTTCTCATCAGCTGTGTAAACGATGGCCGTAAATGCGGTTCCCTGCACACATATTTAACCTCACAGCTTAGCTTAGTCTACACAAATGGGTGATAACAAATAGTTGTTCCAGCAAAAAACCCCAAAAAGACCTATTTGATCGGATCTAGCCCATTTCTGTAATAAGTGTTTTAGCACGACAAGCTGAAAGGCACTTATTGTAAGAGCTACTTTTAAGGATGTTTGAGTAAAGAAATGGACTTACGTTTGCCAACATTCACGGATTATCTGTGCGACATTTGGATCAATATCATCTGGGATTTCAAGGCGGCGATTCTGGAAACCCACAGCTCCAACAACTTGCATCGGGTTTAAACCTTTCCAGGGGACGCATGAAGTGGCAAGTTCCCACAATATGACACCAAAGCTGTACACGTCACATCTGCGCAACCACACCAATCAGTATTTCTCCAGTTATATTTTGTACAAGATTCTCAATAGTGTTACAACTTCACTCACTTCTCATTAGCTGGTTCATTCCTCAACACTTCTGGAGCCATCCACTCAGGCTGCACATACATTGGCAGGACATTTTATCAATGTGTTTATCTTTGCCAAAGAGATTGCATGATTGAGAATAAATAAGGAATCAAATAAGTTTGAAAAACTAACCGTTCCTGCTGTTGATTTTGAGGACAAATAAGTGTGGTGTTTCATGCGGGACAATCCGAAATCACAAACCTTCACAACCCAATTTTTATCAACAAGAAGGTTTGGAGATTTTAAATCCCTATGTACAACGGTCGGGTGGCTAGTGTGCAAGTAATTCATCCCCTTCGCCTGCAATACCATCAGATAGAGAGCAAGTGTCAGATGATTTTTGGGCAATATATAGCAGTAACTACTAAAGCCTTCTGTTTAACTAACGAGACTCATGTATACCACATCAAGTGCCATCCGCATTCGTCTCTTCTCATCAAGCTGATGATTTGGTCGATGGAGTAATCTATACAAACTCCCCCTGCATAATATCATGAAATTCTAATTCATCGAGTCATGAAGAAGATAAATGAGAGACAACATAATGGTCCATTCACAAATTCTAAAAATAAGAATATGAGGATCAACCTGGGTAGGAACTCTGTCAGAATAGAGAAATTTGGCTGCCGAGTAACTGCTCCCATGAAAAGAACAACGTTTGGATGCCGCAACCTCAACATTATTTCAATCTATCAGAACAAAATAAAAACATTCATAATATTATTAAACAGATCGCAAGTAATTCTACGGAAATCAGATATGTCTATGATTAAATGATTTGGAGTTACTTCGGATCTGAACTGTGTCAATGCATCGCCGGAGAAATCTTGGTCCAGAAACTTCTTAACAGCCACTTCCTGAAACGACAAACACAATCAGTCCAAGAAAGCCATGTATGAAATAGCATTTATAAACTCCAAATTCAAGATCAGTGCATTGAGACACAAAACATAACTCACAGTTCCATTCCACTCTGCACGGTAAACTTCTCCATATGAACCTGCAACAAAAAGAAGTACAGAGAAAGAGCACATTAGATCTTGTAATTCGGATTATAAGGGGCTAGTCTAGTTTATGAAACTGAAAATCATGGATGTTTAGATTTTATCTACAAGCTTAAGGCTAGATGGATAATAAGCAAGTATCAAGCCTCATCAAAAGTCTCTCATGGATACCACTTCGGTTTATAAAAAGTTTTCCAGCTTCTAGGGAGTTCAGTATTTGATAGACCAAACCTTACCAATACCAATCCGCTCGCCAATCTGAAGATCGTCCCACATAATTTCCCATTTTGCAGCCTCGCCAAGAAATGGATTAATTCCTTGGTCATGACTATCACAAGCAGGAAGCTCCCCATCAGCAGTGCCGATCTCCATCTTTTCCGATGTAGAGGCTTTACCGAAATTATCCACATCAAAGTTTCTCTTCATTGACAAATCGACCTCCACTGGTTGTTGGTAAGTCTCAGCTGTCAAAAGTAAGAAAGATTCACCAATTTGTTGTTATTGTAGAGTTGCCTAAATGTACCAACAGTAACCAGAGAAGATAAAAGTATGTGGCAGACATCAATTAAATGGTTGACCCTCACCTGAGGAACAAAGATCTGACAGTTGCAATGCTGTGGGGTTCCTTTCAGATTCTCTCAGCTGATCAGCTAGTGGATCTGCGACCTGTTCAGTGCAAGATTTAATGAGCATGTGGGAAAGAAGTGCATTGACACTAGTGAAAAGATGTGTATCCGAAGAATACCTTTTCTGGATGGCATGCAACACCCGAATTCGAAGAATTGCTACTTTCTTGGCGAAAGTCTTGAAGCATATTCTTCTCCCCCAAATTCTGTGGGTTGACATCCATAAACAAATCTGGGGGAGGTGATGCACCACTTTCTAACAAGACGGCATGTAATTTCTGAGCAAATTCAGGGTTCTTTGCTGCGCTTATGACATACTTTGAGACATTCTTAACTTTAACTTTCTGTGCACATGTCGGTTTCCCAGAAAATGGCGGCAAGTTTTCACCAGATATCTGCTGTGATTGCATTAGCTTTCCAAAATCATGCTCAAACCTCTCCGTTTGATGTTTTTCAACAGCATATCTGTCCCTGTTTTCTTCATGGTTTCCAGTGAAGAAGTTTGCCACCATACCAGGTCTGGAATCTGTTTCCCCCAAAACTGATAATGCTGGCGTTTCAGTTTCCTCCTCAAGTACAGGGCATGAAGGTTGCAATATGTCCAAATCATCAGGAAACACTCTTGTATCTGTGCAAGAAACTGGAAGAAAACTGCTTGGAACCTCGGCAGGGATCAGGGCACCCGGAGCACCCATTAAATCAATAATGTATTCACTGCATGTGAAGAATGAATTAGGACTCTGCAAAAAATCACTATCATTCGCATACAAACTGAACCCAACATCAGAAAATCTACTATCAAAACATAAGGCAGCTGATCACAGCAATCAAAGGATACCTTTTGTCATCTAGTTTAATCAAGTTCACAGCGCCATCATCAGTTCCGGTGTAGTAGCTGCCTTTTACCAGCATACATGGGAGACTAATCCTATCAGCAAGTACCTAGAAACAAGAAAATGAGGGAAGTAGTTAGCATCATCCTACATCTTATAACACTGACCATAAAGAGAACTCAGCAATGAGTAACAAGAACCTTGAAAAGCAAAGCCCTGTGACGTGCAAGACCAACATTAACGCGTCCAAGAGGAAGAATAGTAGTGTTCAAAGAATTCCTTAGTTCATAGCTTCGAAGCATCCACCTTCTCAACGCTTCATCAGCATTTTCAACGGGGCCACCCATTTGCTCTACAACTATATTTGCAATTTTCTGAGTTAATTCGCGTGACACCTGACCATGAGCGAAGTCTGGACATTCCAAAGACAAAGCGGATGCTCTCCTCTCTAGCTCTTGCAGTTCAGGATCAATCAATCGGTTCACCAAAATGACCTCATAATCAACATTGTCTGAAATAGAGATCGCTTGAAGATCCACGAGAAGTGGCATCTTCCCTTGTGATAGAGAATTGGATGAAATCCCATACACATCGTAGAAACCATCTCTGACTTTCTGGTCATAGTTAATGACCTTATGTCCCTACATGAAAAAGAAGCATGATCAGCTAAAGTTAGAGACTACCCACATTGAATAGACGACGATAGCTTCAACCCAGAAATGAAAAAACGTTACAATCAGGATTTAGAAGAACTCGCAACCAAGAGAACACTCCAAGCAGCAGCAGTGACTAATTACAGAAAGATCCTAATTTCTCTAAACCCTCGATAATCGAACGATCAAAATCCATAAACCCCAATTCCAGAGGAATTAACCTAGTCGTCAGTGAAGATAGAGTGTATACCCAATAGCGGAGCGACAGGAAGTCAACGGCGGAATCTGCATCGGTGACCGGAGAAGAAACCCCAAGGCTAATCCGCTTAGCTGCATCAAGCTGAGCTGTATCTGCATTCTCTCTCGGATCAGGATCAGAGACGCTGATCGCCATAGCTAACTGGACTTGATACTCCTCCTCCATCAAATTGAAATCAACACCATCGACAGCCGCCAGATCACGACCTGCCGGCTCAAATGTTTCAAGTCTCGGCATTGTCGCGGAGGCGGTACCAAAGCCGGACGAAGAGACCGAGGAAGTGGAAGCAGGGCTAGGGCTAGAACTGGGAATAGGGCTAGGATCGATCATCGGTCTAGTCGTCTCGTCTAACCTGTGATGGTCTCCGAATCCGCCGCTGCTTCCACCGATGTGGAGCTTCCGTAGAAGATGCTTCATCTTCGACATCGATCGTCAACGACGAACTGATCTCACTTTCTCTCTCTAGAAATCTCCAGTTTATCTCTCTAAAAATGAAGCTTCCTTTCGCTAGTTTTTTTCCGCTATTTTTCTTGAGGAAAAAAAAAACAATATTGTCAAAAGATATTTAACTCTAAAATGAATTAGAGAAAACACAAAAATAAATACTTCCTTAGTTTAACAATAACAATGAAAACAAATGGATAAATACAGCTTAACCTGCGCCGACATCTTCGAAAGTAGATTCGATTAAAATGCGCACTCTTCTTCTTCAAGCCACCTCCACTTGGTAAGAATAGCTTTGACTATTTTTACTCGAGACTATTAAAATTCATGATTAAAGTTAAGTCAACCTAAACAAACTTGAGATAAACAAGAGAGACATGATCGACTAGAAAACAAAAGACGCCATTAGATTGAGATTCTTATTAGACCTTTAATTCATTTTTATGTTCTAGTAGAGTCTCACTTTCAAAGAATTCTGGCTAAACGCATGTGTACGAGTTTGAAATAAACCATGAAACGAAGAGATGAGAGAATTACAATTATTCTGAAGTTAAAACTGTTCACAGGCTATCCTGTTTTTCTCTGTATACCAAGTTCTTAAAACTAAGAAAACAACATTTGATATATATAAAACATAAATATATATATCTTCAACTTCCAAACCTAACCGGAAGAAAAGCTTCCATGAAGCTTCCCAAAGCATCCTCTTAAAGAGCAAGTCTTCTTCTCCTTTTTCTGTCACCCATCAGGCCGCACGCAGGCTCTCTACTCTTAGTCGAGATTCTGCCTTCAAAGCTTAAAACTTTTTACCTTTCGAAAGGATCTCCTACGTCTGCAGGATACTCAGGTGCAGCCACAGCCGCATCAACCTTCTCCTTTAGATTATACTTCTTGGCGATCATCGGCCTTACATCTTCAGCTCCGATTAAGCTTTCAAGAAACGGGAGCAAGTGAAGGAGCTCTTTATCTGCAGGGTCATTAAACCAGCTCTCTATTGGCACCCCATTCTCCACTTGGAACCCAAATGCCTACAACATTTCACCAAGTGTATAAGAATGGAGAAACAAAGTGTATAATACTCATCGTGTAGAGTGATGTTGTGACGAGTTTAATACCTGTGGGGAGTTATCGACGATGATAACACGAGACAAATCACGACCGAGGACTGACAAATCCTTTAGGTAGTTACCGTCAAAGAAAACACAAGAGTCACGGTACACTCTATGGCGAAAGAGCTTCCTCTTAGGGTCAAGCACATTCAGAAGCTGCTCAGCATAAATACTTTGGCTAGCTGTGAATATTATGATCTCAAAGAGACGAGACACTCTCTCCATAAACTCCTTCAGGTGAGGACGGCACCGCACATAAACCATATGTTCCTCTTCATTAAAATGTACAGGGAATGTAAAATCCACCTCATCACAGGGCTCTAGAGACGAGTGCACAAGAGTCTCTGAGAACGAAAATAAACGTTATAGAGATAACAGAAAAATAAGCAAAAACAAACTCTTTTATGGACCGTCCTTACCGTCGAGGTCTAGGACAAGAGAAATAGGAGGGCAGCTTCGGGTCTGTTTAGGGAGCAAGACCGGCCTGAAAGTCGGGACAACAGAGGACAAGTTGGGTAGGTTCTTGATGAACAGGTAAGGATCAAACTCGTCGAGTTCCTCATCTTCTTCTTCATCCTCCATGCAAACAGAGGTTATCAAGGAGTCTTGGCCGCGTTCGTCGTCGCATTCCAGCTTTGAGCTCTTCATTGCTAGATAAATGGCAGAAACTGAATCCAAGTTACAATTTGAAGCTACGGTACTCAATCGATCATAAGGGTTCTGTGCATCCAAATCCCGAGATGAAGCAGAGTCATCGTCTTCCATTAAAAAGCCTATTGTATATGTAATTGTAGAAAACTCTCTCAGCCAAATCCAATTACTCCACAATTTCAATTGACTAAACCAATCTACAATTCTAACAAAATCCAAACTTTCACAGCTAGAGATTAAGTTTACCTTAAAGGAGCTCTCTTTCACCCTGAAGCTACCGACAAGCTGAGACGAGCGGGAGATTTGAGATCCCGAGTCCGTCGAATTGTGAGAACCAGCTCAAATACAAGGATAAATCTGGAGAGAGAGAATAAAAAAACAGATCTTGGATTAGAAAAGGAGCAAGCCCTAGATGATAACACAAGTAGGAACCAAATTATAAAAGCATTGAGATTTCAAAATATCTGAAAGGTGTAAACTTTGGAGCCCAAAATGAGCAAATTCGAAATCTTCCCCCCCCCCCCACCCCCCCTCGCGGAAAGTGACAGAAAATCAATATTTTATCTCAGAACCGAACCGGAATCGAAAACCCATTGAAATCGAATTCAGATAACTTTGAAAGAGGGAGGGGATTTTCTTACAAAGAGAGAGACAGAAAAACAGTTTAATTTTCTGTTGAGAAAACAAAAGCTTTGACTGGAAAAGACGATTAAAAATCTAATCTTTTCCGCTTTCTCCGCGAATTTCTCGGCGAGGAAGCAAAAGAGACTGGAAATTTTACAACGAAGCCACCCAGATGAAAATCCGAGCTGAGATTAGCTAAACGGAGAAGGAAAATAGATAACCCTAGAGACGGTAACCCTAGAGTACCTCCGATCAAAATGATTTCCTTTCTTCGGCTTCTCTCTCTCTCTCTCTCTCTCTCTCTCTCTCTCTCTCTCTTCGAAATAAGAGTAAAAAAAAATCTGGAGAAGAAAAGAGTCGACTTTAGTCTTTAGTTACTGTCTACATATGGGATTAAAATTTGCAACTAAACGCCCTCATACTTTGTAAATATCTCATTAGTAACCTCAAAAGTATTCAAAATGAAAACAAAACCCATGCACTTCGAGTGTAGACCGGAAAATGATGACGTCGTATTCCTTACAAACTTTTTAGCTTACGAGTTGTGCATACGTTATCTATCGCAGTTACTCGAACAAAAACGCATTAATTATGACTCTGAGTATTTCGTTAGATAATTAGTGTAAAGTATAATTTCTGTTTAGGATTCCTATATATAGGTTGATCTATTTTTAATTGGTACTTAGTTTGATTCCTGTAGAATTGTGAAACTTTGCTGCGTGTCATCAACTAGTCACTGTGCAGATTTATTACTAAACACATAAAGATATCTTTGGTTGTCTTTGGTCTTCTTTTCTTTGCTTGATTTATGAGTGAAGAAAGATAGTTGAAGAAAAGTTATGAATGAAATGTAGATAAATCCTTACGTAAGGATCTAGATTGCAAATTAAACAGAAAAGAAGTAGAAACGACGACGTTTGAGTGTCCTCGTCAAACTTTGAGAAACAAAAGAAATTGATCGTCGTCAAACCCGTCAGACTCAACGAAATAAAGAGATTCCGCCGCACGCACGTTGTTCAAATCGAAAATTCGAAAAAAGGCGACACGCAATAAATCTGCCCTTTTTCCTTAACCTCGCTGGAAGAATAATCAATCATACCCAGAAAGTGAAACAGAGAAAGTAGTTTATACTTGTACAAAACCATTCCAAAAACAAAAGCTTGGACCTTCACAATTTTAATGGTGTGGTTGACGAATCAACAGATCGGGAGATGGAAAAGGAAACGAATTTTTGTTGGGTCGTTCCTCTGTTGGCTAATCCTTATGTTCATCACTCCCAAAGTTCCTCTTAATTCCTTCCGTCACCACGTCTTCGCCGATAAGCGTAATTTCATGGGTATCTCAGACACACACACTCTCTCTCTCTCTCGCTTTACCTCTCTCTCTCTGTCTGTCTGCATGTGTGTAATAACGACAGGTGTTTTGTCTTGAATTTGATGAACAGGAGTGCCAAATACATTGAATGTGATGACCAACTTCCCCTTTCTAATTATTGGTGTTCTCGGCTTCGTTCTCTGCATTGGAGGAAGCTTCTTCAATATAAGGTGCTTCTCTCTCACTTTCTCTCTTCTCTTTGAAATTTGAGTAATCTCGATTGCTTATGATAGCTCAAGTATGTATGTAATGCAGTTTGAAAGGTGAGATCTGGGGATGGACACTGTTCTACGCAAGCATTTCAAGCTTGGCCTTTGGCTCTGCTTTTTATCATCTCAAACCTGATGACAACAGAATGATCTTTGACACTCTGCCTGTTCGTTCTCTCACCACCTTATAATCACTTTCACTTTACTTTTTCTTGTTCTGTTTTAGTTTATTGTGGAAAAAAAAAAGCTTTAGATGAATCTTATTTTAGTTTTGCAATTGAAGTGCTGTTTCTTTGTTAATGAGTGAATCTTGTTTAACTAGATGGCGAAGTTGTTTATGCTCATCATTTTTATTGGTTGGTTATGAATAGCTGTTTTTGTTGATTCAATGGCGGTAAAATTGCAGATAATGACTGCATATTCGTCTCTTTTCTCTAGTTTTTTGGTTGAGAGAGCGGGAGAGACAGTGGGACTTAGTTGCCTCGTCTTGCTTCTATTCATATCATTTCTCAGCGTTGGTTACGCCAGGTAACATTACAAACCGAAACATCATTGCCTAAACTCCTCCATGTATATATTGTATTACTTTGAGGATTATTTAGTCAGGTATCGGATTGAAATTATATGCACCTTAGTTGATGGCAGAGTGTTTAATGATCTCCGGTTATGCATGACGTTCCAGTTGATTCCCTGCCTTGCGATTCCCGTCATGGCGGTTTTGTTACCTCCCAAGTATACTCACTCTAAGTTCTGGCTCTGCGCAACAGGTTCTTGGACTGAATAAAACCATTCTTGCAGTTTTACTGATCGAATCCGTGCTGTTCTGATTTTTGGTTTATTATGAATGCAGCGGCTTACGCTATTGCAGAGATTGAAGGACTTGCAGACAACAAAATATACAATGCGAATCGATATATCATCAGTGGACATTCGCTGGGGCATTTGTGTAGAGCCTTGGCTACGGTTTTACTCACCGTTATGCTTTTGAATCGGAGCATTCGGTTTCATAGGTACACTTTTTTCACTTGTCTCTCTTCTGTTCTCTGATCTTAGAGTTCCTTCAAAACCTGAGAGGATTCTTTGTTCTTCTTGTGTGTTTTTGATGAAACCAAACAGATTAGGTGATCTCAAAGGACATCCTTGACATCCATTAGTGACTACTTCTACCCTCAAGTTTTGTTTTGTATTTCGGATGCTTTTCACAGAATTTGTTGGGTTACTTGCACAGATTTTTGACCCCTTACCACACTTGAAAGCTTAGTTTGTTTTCTTTCGTGACATCATTGGTTCCGTGAAAAAAACTTGAAACGGCTTTTGTATTGAATTCGCTTGAAGTTTAGTTTCAACTTTTCAAGTCTTGTGTTTCGACAAGAAAATTCACTCGTCCTGATTTGTGTCCTTTTTCTTATTCATACGATCAATTCTTTCAAGACTTTGGAACGGAAAATGAAAATCCAAGACAGCAATGGCATTACGGTCCTGATTCCGAATAATCATACAATTCAACTAAAATAGCAACAATGATGGGTAAAATCTCAGAGATCATAGACCTTCGAAGAAACGCAAGTGGTCATCAAATGTCTCAGCATGCCTGATCTTAGTGATCGAACCATCATCTTCAACCTGCAAACACAAATCCGGATTAAAGTGGTTAGAATTCTCAGGATCTTGATTCTCATGTGCTTTCCCCAGAAAACAAAGAACAAGAAAATGTGTTCGTACCCAGTATTCCGGAGGACGCATCTTGAGATTGTAAGTTGAGGCCATGCTCATACAGTATGCACCAGCGTCATGAACCACCAGACCAGCTCCCTGTAAATGAATACACAATAAACTCGTTAGATTCCAGATTACTTGAGGAGCTGCAAAGCAGAATCATGATTCTTATCTCACCTTTGGAGGAGTGGGAAGCTCTCTGTCTTTGCCCAAGAAATCAGCAGATTCACAAACAGGACCCACTACGTCGAATTTGGCAACCTCTGCTTCAGGTGGTGTAGGAGAGACCAACTCAATGTGCTTTTTGTGTTTAGAAAACAAGAACAAGATGATCTTTTAGCTATATAACTAAAAAAGGGACCAAAAATCTGCAGATGATGTTATGAGAAGCGCATTCGATTTACCTGATAGGCATCATACAGACTGGGACGGATAAGCTCAGCCATACTTCCATCGATGACAATGAAGTTTTTCGTTCCATTCGTCTTCACACCAGTTACATGGTTGACGAAACAGCACGTGTTCGCAATCAGCGACCTCCCTGGCTCTATTATCAGATTCAAGTCTCGTGAGAGAACAAGCTCTTTCACCTGGAACACGTCAAGTAATGTAAGGACTCTACCAATACGAGAAGGAAAGAGTCTTGAGATGTTGTTCTTACGGTGTTGATGAGATCCATGGGTGTAGGAAGGATAGCGCCGGTATGGTAATAATCAATCCCTAAACCACCACCAATGTTCAAGTAACTAACTTCAAAGCCTTGACGTCTGATTTCATCAATGTATTCCACCATTAGAACCGCAGCATCCCTGAATATATCCACCTGGAATATACAAAACAAACCACATTCATCAGATTACATCAAAGCACAGCTTCAAGCAAGAGTATAAAGTACTATAAAATTGGAGGTACCTTTGTAATGGTAGATCCTAGATGGCAATGAGCTCCAACAAGCTTCAGCTCATTGGGATGCGCCTTAACCTCGTCTAGGAACCACTGAAGCTTCTCGTTCCTGATACCAAACTTCGAGTTCTTGTTCCCGGTAGCCACATATGGATGCACCTGAAGAAATCGTAACAAACAGAAAAACTCACTCATTTCCAATTGGTGTAATACTAAGACATGATGCTAAGACATTGAAATATTTAACCATACCTGAGGATCAACATCAGGATTGATACGCAGCAGAACATTGACCTTCTTACCAGAAATTCTTGAAGCCTCCACGATATTATCCAAATCAAACTCACTATCAACGTTTACGAAAACGCCTTCTTGAGCAGCTAGAACTAAATCTTCCAACAGCTTCCCATTTCCATTGAAAATGCACCTAATCATTTTATATCACAGCACCATTAGACCAATTCAAACAATCCGTATCAATCTTCTCATATTCAGACTCCAGTCAATCGATGTTCTGATTTACAATATGGTATTAAAGTCAATTAAAGGTAACAGATATGCTCTTCTCACTAAATCAACCTACTGGTTTCTGAAACTAAGAACTCTAAAATGGCATTTGATCGTATGAATCAATCTAAAATCTTACTTTGTGGGATCGAAACCAGCACGAAGCGCAAGCCTGAGCTCATTTCCACTGACGAGCACAGCACCACAACCCAAACTCCTCAAATGCTCCAAAATCTTAAGGTTGTTATTAGCTTTGATAGCGTAACCAATGACGGACGATCTCACACCTTCCAATGCCTCTTTGTAGGCCTCGACGTTCCTTGTGATCTGCGGTTTGCTATACAAGTAGAAAGGTCTTCTCTCGACGCTCTCCATGATATCCTCAACCTTGGTTCCCTCGCAATAGAGGAATCCATCTGATGCTTTCTTGAAGCAGTGCTTAAACGCGGCCTCGTCTCCGGACTCCTTCGTCAGCGTCGTTTTCGCCGCGTTTTGGAATACGGCGGCTTTCACTGAGAGGCGTCTAAGTGGCTTCAATGTGGACTTGAGAGACAGAATCGGGATTCTGGAGAGCGAGGATTGGTTCAATTGGTATTGATTTAGGGTTCCGCGGAGAGATGAAGGCTGGGAGAGAAGATGAGTAGCTGCCGCCATGGCTGAACGATTTCGAGTTTGTTTGTGTGGGTGCGACTGTGTGTGTACAGTGGCACTGAAATTAGGTTTTCTAAAAGAGTCAAAGAAATTAAGTTACACGTGGGCACGTGTAGTTCCTGTCTGATCCGGTTTGGATAGATCACCGATTTAACCGGAAACCGATGGTTTAAACTTTTAATCGACTAGTTGAACCGTCTAACAGCTAAACTGGAGGAAACAAATGGAACAATGTGGTTAGTGCAGATCAGAAGGTGAGTGATGAGTAGTCTTCCCGAATTTAATTTACAACCAAAACTTTGGATGAATAACTTAGCTTAATGTGTAGTTTACTTACTGTATTAAACAACAATATTTCAAGGACTGTTAAAATCTATAATTTCAATTTGTTGGGTCGAATTATTCAGAATGCAGATTTGGATATTTTATCTTGAATTGATAAAGAGTGTTTATAAAGTATGGAACGGGGGCACTTATCGATCTTCCACTGAAGTTACAAGATTTACAAATTCGTCGTGAGTAGTGTCAAGTGTGGTTCTAGTCTTCGAGAACACGTTACTAGAGTGGTGATAGGTAACAATGTAATCCAAGAGAATCCTCTCAACTTATTAAGCTTTGTGTAGTTGTGTTTTTAGGGAAAAACATCAACAAGGCGTGGACACTGGATGTGAAAGGGTAGAAACTAAGTATACTTAAAGCTATCGAGTTATTTTATGGCTCTTAATCTTGGGAATTGAGAGCTCGGAAACAAAGGATTAACAAAAATTAAAAGCAGAGCAGCATTGCCGATGAAATAACTATTGACTTGGGATTTACTCTCTGAACAAAAGGGGTTATTCTGATTATTTTAAAACCTTCGGATCCCTAATCTATTTATTACTCCAGTATCTGCATTTACTCAAATTTATTTTTTTTCTATTTTTTAACGTGCACTGACTTAAATTCAAACTTGTTCAATTGCGTGCACTCCTTTTATTTTAAGAATAAAAAGATGAACTGCTACCACTATCTGTCGGTGGATTATTATTTCCGTCATTTTGTTTTCATATTATGACTTTTTTATTACGTCTACAATGTTACTCTTTCTTCTTCTTTTTTTTTTTCTTTCTTCCTCATTTTAACAAGAGGATACTTTTTTTTCCAAACATATCTGATATCTCCTAACAATTATGATACTCAAATTCTATTGTTGAGTTAAAAAACTTAAAAAAATCAGCACAAGTTTATAATTCAAGAGTTTCGTTAGCTAAACATATCATTGTGTACATTTGTTTCCAGAAAATTAATTTTAGACTATATCACTTTGGGCAACATTGTATATACTCATTTATTAATTATTTTACCACCCAATAAAGATTCCACAGACTTGGCATGGAAGACACAAAAAAATCTTTAGAAAAAAAACTGAAAACCGAAAACAAGTTATCAAAAAAGAAATAAATAATGATTTTTAAATTAATGATAAAAAAAATTATCACAATTTAAAGCTACTAAAGATTCCAGAAAAACTCAGTGTGGTCTCTCTCTCCTTCACTCTATCTCTATATCTCTCTCTCTCTCTCTCACTTTTGTGCGCTCAGATCTGACCAGTAGAGAAAGAATCGGAGAAGAAGATGACTGACCGCGTCTTCCCAGCTTCCAAGCCAGCAACTAATGGAGTTCCACCAAATGGTGCCTTAGCACCTCCTCCAGCTCCTGCGGCTGTTAACGGTAACGGAACAGCAAACGGAATGGCTAATCAGAAACCCCAAGTCTACATTCCGGCTAACCGTCCGATTTACCGTCCACAACCTTACAGTCGCCACCACCATCATCAATCTCGGCCAAGTTGCCGGCGAATTTGCTGCTGTTGCTGTTTCTGGTCGATTCTGATCCTTCTGATCTTGGCTCTCATGGCCGCAATCGCCGCCACTGCCATGTACGTGATCTACCACCCGCGTCCGCCGTCGTTCTCCGTCCCGTCGCTTCGAATCGGCCGCGTGAAATTAACCACCGCCTCCGATTCCTCCGTCTCGCATCTCTCTTCCTTCTTCAACTTCACTCTACTCTCCGAGAATCCCAACCAGCACCTCGCCTTCTCCTACAATCCCTTCACCGTGACAGTCAAATCCGCTAAATCCGGCGAGATGCTCGCCAACGGCACCGTCCCGGCCTTCTTCAGTGACAACCACAACAAGACTTCGTTTCGCGGCGTGATCGCGACGTCCACTCCTGCGCGTGAGCTGGATCCGGACGAAGCTCGGCATCTGAAATCAGATCTGACGCGCACACGTGTGGGGTTCGAGATCGAGATGCGAACGAAGGTGAAAATGCAAATGGGGAAGCTCAAGAGCGAAGGAGTAGAGATCAAAGTGACATGCGAAGGATTCGAAGGAACAATACCCAAAGGTAAAACTCCAATCGTAGCAACCTCCAAAAAAACTAAGTGTAAGTCTGATCTGAGTGTGAAGGTCTGGAAATGGAGTCTTTAAGAGGAAACAGAATTTGATAATTTCACAATTGAAATTTCCAGGTCTTTTTTTTTTTATAATTTATTTCTTCTTTCTGGATTTGTAAAACTTTTGGAATGATCCAAAAGAAGATTTCTCAGTTTTCAGTTGGAAAAAAATTTGCAGAGGAAGAGTCAGAGAGATAAGATATTGTTGTTAGTCGTAGAGAAGGGGCAGAGGAGAATTCACGGCTACTAAAAAATTTGTTGGATTTTTGTTTTTTCTTTTGGGAGTTTCTTATATAAATTATGAATGGATACAAATATAAATGTAATATAAGGAATGGAGTACTAAAAAGCTGGAGATGGCAGTGATTGCGTTTGTTGAGATTGAGAGAACAACTAATAGTGAGCATTAAAGTAAAGATCATTGGATACAAAGCATGAACAGAACCTTAAAATTTTTGCAAAAGGAAAGAGACAATATTGATGAATACAACAATGGAAGAGATGCGTTAAATGTTAGATGTTGAACCATCTCATCTCACATAATACATCACCATTTAAGAGAACGTACATGGTCTCACTTCTTTATTTCGTTCCCGTGATGTAGTGTATAGTACACAAGATTAGCAGAAAAACGTATTTGCAACATATATACTCGAGGATGGGGAGTGCTTGTTGTAATATCAACATAGACTCCATTCGTGAATGTTATGTAGTTTAATAGACAAGTCAAAACTCTAAACTGCCATCAGAATCTCCTAAAAGAAAAGTTCTTACCGACCATGTTGGTCTGAAAATGCTCTTTTTTGTTGTTGCTAAAAGACAAGTTTACCGACCATGTTGTTTCTAAAAGACATCTGGTAAGAAATGAGAAAAACATGAAAAAGAACTGGATCAAGGGATTAGAGATGTGAAAAAGGGACAAGCGCGGGTTCGGGATCGTGATCGACATTATGACATCGTAAGCTGCTACATTTCTCATTGTCCTTACACGATCGATATATGAATGCATGCATGATCTAAATTCATGACATGAACATGTGCATCAAAGGTGTATGTGATCAAATATGATAAAAGACTTTTTTATCCACTTACATATGTGTGATAATGAAAACGAAAACATATAAAAACTGAATTTGTGTATTTTCTAGAAATGTAAATAGTTTATATATTTTTTATAGAATTTAGCTTGTTTTCTTTTTTTTAACCACAATGAGGCCCAAGTCGAACCAATTCAACCAAAATGTCTTTTGCCAGTGAAATTTTGAAGCCCAAGACATATCCTAAGCCTTGTTCACTTTTCTTCTGTTTTCCGACATCATTCGGTTTCGTGGGGGCAGCGAAGAACAGAGAAGTTAAAGAAAAAGAAAGGATTTATTCCGCCGTAGAAATCCTAAACTAGCTTTTACTTCGATTCTCGAAAGGGAAGAACTTGAGAATATTTCTATAATCTATGGCGGAGAAGCTCGAGGCCGTGAAGGTGTTGTACTGCGGAGTTTGTTCACTTCCCGCGGAATACTGCGAATTCGGTTCCGATTTCGGGAGATGCAAGCCTTGGCTCATTGATAACGCCCCGGATCTCTATCCTGATCTCCTCAAAGGTACCTAAAATTTGATCAAACCCTAATTTTAAAACTTTCGACCAGTTTTGATTTAGGTTGTATTGCCTCCTCGGATTTGAAAAGCTTAGAAATCCATACAACCTGAAAAATGAAACTCGTTGATTTATATAGATATATGCGTGTGTATGTTCAATTTGGTGAATCAGTCGATAAGCAGGTCTTAAAATGATGTCATGTCACGCTTGCGTATTTGGAATAATGTTCCTCGTATATCATTGGTTTATATAATGCTGTATTGTCAGTGCTAATCTATCAAGACTTTATCGCTACTGTTTTACTGGTTATTGTCAACGAGCTCATCTGATCAGAAGACTTAATAACATGAACTTGGTATTCAGAAGCTAATGAGAAGGGGGCAGACAAGGTTTCCGACCAACTCCAGTCGGTGGGAATCGCTTCTGGTGCTGCTGATGGGGCTGTCTCTTCATCTCAGGCTGGTATGTAACTGTACATGCGTGTGCCTTTACTGCGTCCGTATATATCATGTACTTAGTACATGTAGTCTAATGCGTACACGTATTTGTTACTCTTAAAAAAGAATAAGAAATATGTATAGAGTTACTAAGTGGAGTTGATGCCTATGTTGAAAGGAATCGGCTTTGTCATCGAGTTTTTACTAAGAAACCGGATTTTCTGATTTGTAGGAGGGACATCCAAGAAGGAGGAAGTGAAACGCCTACCTGGTGGAAAACTTAAAAAGAAAGTAAGTATTGTTGTTATGTAACTTTCCTCCCGCAATACAAAACAGACATGCTTGAACATTGCCCGTAGAGATTTCAATCGACTTTAATATCAGCGTTTTACTGTTTCGATATCCTTTTTGGTTTCATGCTAACCTGTTTGTCTAATTTTCTGATGCTTACTAAACAGGATAGACAAGAAGTTATCATTGAAAAGGTTGTGCGCAACAAGCGCAAGTGTATCACCATCGTGAAAGGACTTGAACTGTTTGGTGAGTTATTTACTTCTTTTGTGAGATATATCTTAGTATTTGGAATTTGGAACAAACCTCAATCTTTTTGACCTTTATAATTTGTTCATCAGGGATAAAACTCAGCGACGCGTCTAAAAAGCTTGGGAAGAAGTTTGCCACTGGAGCATCGGTTGTCAAGGTAATTATCAAATAGAAAAATGCTAGGTTATGGACTTATGGTGATTAGATATATTAGTGATGTTATATCCTGAGAAACGTATGAAATCAAAGTCTCTATATATAACTTTTGACCCCTCACTGGATCAGAACACCCCTCTGTTTTATTTCCCTGTGTTTCCTCTTATGCTTAATAGGTTTTTTTATATTTCTGCGTTTCAGGGACCAACTGAAAAGGAGCAAATTGATATTCAAGGAGATATATTCTATGACATCGTTGAATTCATTACAGCCACTTGGCCCGACGTAACATAACTTATCCCCTTTTTCTTCTTCCTTTTCTCTGCATCCATTCGTATGGATAATGACTGTTTCAGAATCCTATTGCCTATTTTCCAGGTACCTAAAAGATCCATTTTCTTCATTGAAGATGGGAAGAAGGTTCAGGCTGGTTGATGATCTACACCTTTTGTCATGGGTTTTTGGCATGTCAGGTTCATGTAGACGAACTTAGTTTTCGATTCCTCCAATGTGTTCGGAGGAAATCGCTTTGCGATAATAACTTTCAACATAACGTATAGTTTGGATCATCATACTATTTTCTTATTCGGTTTTCCATAATTCTAGAACATGTTTCTCCATTTACATTTCTGTTTTTTGGTGCCATCAATATTAAAAAATCCGCCTTGAAATTGAAATGATGAAAACTTTCTTGATTCCATGACCAATTTTGTCAACAACTGAATTTGTAGTAAATTTTGAATCTTGATCACTGATAAGTACGGAGGCCAAGATTTGAGTAATAAGGTTTCTAAACTGTTGAATTGATCATGTTTTGTGAGATCAAAGAGGTGGTCCAATAATTGATATCTAACTGATTTACCAAACGAGACCACACGAGACGTTAATTGACATAGCAGCCTGTAATGAACAAAGTAATTTACATCCTCGACTTAATCGGAACAGCTGAACAACCATCATCTCTCTTGGGATCCACTCTGAAGAATGACAAAACAGTAGAAGCAAGCTGATGCTGGTGAGAAGTGAACTCATGATCAGCTCCTTCAATAAGACACAGTTTATGATTCTTTATGTATATGGCGAATTCGGATGCTTCTTCTGCAGACACGATTCTATCATTTGTCCCATGAACTGTTAACACCCTGAAAATATAAAAAAAAAAGCATCATAAGTTCCTCTTATCAGACTGAAACCAAACGAGACAAATCCTTATACGGAGCATGATGACAATGAGAATGATTGGAGAATTTGCATTTACCTGCAGTTTTCATGGATTGAGAGACATGCTTCATGAGTATTGGTTGTGAGACGGTCCATTAGACTCTCTTCGGTTACCCGGTATTCAAACTTTCCTGCAAAAGAAACCGGTAAATGCCAAACACCACCATGTTTCTTTTCTCTGGCTCTGAACAATGCCAAAACTACAGAGAAGCTTGATTTACCTTTTCTATTCCTAACATCGATGAAGCCATTCTCTGTGATTCTCTTAGTGAAGTCCTTACCAAGCCGTCCTTGTATTCCCCTCTCTAGAAAAAACCGTCCTGAGATGTTGACAACAGTCTGCACATCCTTGTACTTTGCTGCATATAAAAGCACCACATTCCCACCTGACAACAACAACAAAGCAACAACGTTCCAGTCTACATATTGCCTTTTTCTTGAAATCCAAATCCAACTTAAGTTTACAGTTTTTGAGACCTTTACTGTGTCCGATTATTGCAGAGATTTCACGGTTTTCACCACGCAAGTGTTGCAGAACAGAGCGGAGGTCTTCAGCTTCACGGCGGTAGTTACCATACTGAAATGATCCTTGGCTTTCCCTGAAGAAGACCACAAACATCGTGTGAGTCAGCAACAAACACTTACTTCACCATCTTTTGAGTTTTGCGTTTTAAAAAAAACATAGTAAAGATGGAATCACCCGTTGCCAGCGAAATCAAACCGGAAAGAAGTGATCATGGCTCTTTCAAATACATTGGCAATTGTCACCATGGGAATCCGATCCTACACGAGGGAAAGCAATACATATCAGTTTTCGCGGAATCTGAAACTGGAACCAGAGTGATGAGAATCCTATAAAGAAAAAAAGCAAACCTTTGATGACTGAAATCCATGGCAGATGACAACAGTCTCGGTAGAGCCGGTATCATGTAAAACTCCCACGAGTTTCTCACCATGAATGTTCTCAATTTCAACTCTCCGGTGTTGAATCTCTGCTATAAAATCCAATAGAAAAAACAAAGCTTGTTCTGAGATTTCTATGATCAATCAAAAAGTGACTCCAAATCAAACATTCAAAGCCGATGATGGTATTAGTTCAATATAATTAGAATTGCTAGCTCTAGGAACAACTGAACAGAGCCTAATCACAAAGCTCTCCTATTCAAATCGAAGAAAGAGAGAGTAGAATCCAAATAAATGATAGCCATTGTCAAAATGGTCTAAGCGTACGGATCAAAACAAAGTGATACAATACAGGGGTCATGGATTGAGAAAGGAGATGAAGATACCAGAGTTGTCGATTCGTTCATGGCTAAATTGACTCCGGCGAGCCTCCGACATCGTCGCTCGGAGGAGGAGAAATCTGCGAGTTTGAAGTTTCGATATGGCTCTCGTGAGTGACCGTGGGCCCGTGTCCTTACAAATTACAATAGAAGGCCCACCGTGACTGCAACTCTTATTTACACTTATCGTCCCTATTTTTTTTTCTGTTTTTGTTTTTATTTATTTACGTTGTTTGTGTAACAACTCCAAAATATACCACTGTCACTGTTTTCTAATTACTTATTAGTTATTATCATTAGTTGTTTCATGTATTGTAACTCTATTCAACAAGGTGAACTGATTTTATAACTTTTACATAAAAATGCTGTCTCCTTCACCTTGTTTCAAGGCCATAAGGAGAATTCTTTAAATACATATATACAAAGACCATCGGCTAAGTTGATTTTAATATATACACATTGTTTCTAGAATCAATCGGCTAGTCTTTTACTTTGTTTTAACAACTTTTCTTATCTAATTCTCAAGATACAGTCACAAACCACAATCGATCCGCTCTTAAATCCCCAACGCTGTACTTTCTCATATAGTTAAGGCTTAAGCCATATATAAATTGTAAAATGACGCCGACTCCTTTTTAAAAAAATAGATGTAGAATGCTTATATTATGGGAGATTTGTGAATATACCCCAAAAGAGAGAACTATTGTCCCCTTACACTTTTTTTGAAATTTATCAAATCTGGACTCTAATACCCTTACATATGCTAGAAATATGATATAAATATATTTAAAAGTTTTAAAAAATTAAATAAATTAAGTAAAATGATTCTAAGGTTTAGAGAATATTTTCACAATTTGTTTTTGAAATTTGAACCTCAGAAAAATAAATAAAATTTGCATCTACCAAATTCATTATTCAAAGTAGAATTTGTCTTCTACTAGAGACTCTCACATCTATCCCTCGTAGAACATAAAATCTACCAACTGTTCAGCCATCTACCATCGTAGAATTTGCTTTCTACTAAATACTCTATACTCTACGAGTTGGTAGAGTTGTAGAACATTTGTTCTACGTTGTATACGGTTTTCTACCGTTGGTAGAACCTATATTCTAACCTACACATTGTTTTCTACCATCTCTAGAATCTATATTCTATCATAAACAATTTCTTCCACTATTTGGAGAATTCGTGTTCTACACAAAATACTATCTTCTACTATTTGTAGACTTTGTGTTCTCCTGAAAACAATGTCTTCTACTGTTTGTAGAAACTATAATCTACATTAAACACATTTTTCTACGAAATGATAGAATTCAACTTCTACGAGAATCTAAAAAATATAGTAAAAATGGTAACTAAATATTAGAAAATATCTTCAAAAACTATATTTCCTTAATCTACTTTGCCAGAAGAAAAAAAAGAATTCTCATCACGTTCTTCTTCTTCTTTTTTGCTTTTTCTTATCATTTATATAATTTTCTTTTAGATTATTTGTTTTAATCTATTTTTCTCAGGTTATTCTGTTGCATATCTATATAACATATGGAGACTGAGTGCAATCAAATGGTGGAATTTCGTTGTTGGTGAGGCAAAAGGAACTAGATTACTTGCTTTGAAATATATTTTTCTTTTCTTAAATAATTAATTATTTATTTGTTTATTACACTAATCATTTAATTTCATTTATTAATTATTTATTTATTTGAAAAAATCATGAAAACGTAATTTGAGGGTTAAAATTGGATTTAAAATTTAATTAAGGGTAAGTGGACAAGATTTGGCAAAAAAAGAGTAGATGGACAACTCTTCTCTTTTTCTGGAGTATTTTGCCAAATTTCCCTTATATTATTGAAAGGAGACTTCTCTTTATATACATAAACAAAGACCATGGACCAAGTTGATTAAAAAATATACTAAACCCGCCTGCCGAAGTTTCCTCAGTGATCCGAAAACCTTACATTATTAACGAAGACCAATGACTAAAAAGCCTAATAATCTTAATAAATTAGGTACATACGTAATCAACTACTATCTTTAAGAGTTTCTTCCACGATACTTCGAAAGAAGTTGTCAATGTCAACGCTATAATGGTCTATTATAAGTAGAGTGAAGTTTTATGACGATTCTACAATCATTTTTCTTGGCAACATCTCAAGATTACTTATAAACAGCCACACACATATACATAAGACACTATTTTCGCAGGATCAATTCCCGTTACGGAGTAAGATCATCAATGGCTGACCATGGAAACGTCCAGAATCTTGTTCAAAACGACGTGCTTAACCGGACTTCCTTCCATTTCCAACCTCAGAGAAACTGGATCAACGGTTCTATTTCTTTCTTTTTTCCCTCTTATTTATCTGCATCTATCACACTGGCAAAGATCTCTAGTACTGTTAGTTTCATATATAAACCTATCTGTGGTTAGTTTCTACTATAATTTATAGTACAATTGATTATTGAATGGGTACCTATTAGTTTGGATAGCTGTTTGTTGAATAAAAATTAATATAATTTGTCGCAATGTTTTCTAAGAAAAACTAAAGTTACTATACGTTTGACAAAAACATATGAGGAAATTAACTTGTAGATACCTTTTTGTGTGTAAAACTAGATGATGATACCTTGACGAGCTTACATTTTGGTTATATTAATTATAATCTATAATTAACCGTCGTCTTATTTTTCATGTCACTGGTACATGGATGCATCTTGGAATCTCTGAAGATCCAAACGGTAAATAGTAATTCTACAAACTCTTAATTTGTGATACAAGGAAGAAGGAACCAAGAAAATTAAGTTTGTACATGATGACATATTTATGTGATAAATTATCTTGTTTCAGCGCCAATGTACTACAAAGGATTCTACCATATGTTCTACCAGCACAACCCTTTGGCTCCCGAGTTCAGTAGGAAAAGAATCATATGGGGACACTCTGTTTCACAAGACATGGTCAACTGGATCCAACTCGAACCAGCCCTTGTTCCTACTGAGTCATTTGACAGAAACAGTTGCTGGTCTGGATCCGCCACGATCCTCCCTGATGGCAAACCTGTAATTTTGTACACTGGACTCGATGAGCCCAACAGACATCAGGTTACAGTTCTTGCCGAACCTAAGGATGTTTCAGACCCTTTGCTCCGTGAGTGGGTAAAGCCAAAGGGAAATCCTGTGATGGTTCCGCCAAACGACGTCCCTTTTGACTGTTTCCGTGACCCTACGACCGCGTGGCTAGGGCAAGATGGGAGATGGAGAGTTCTCATAGGAGCTAAGCAGACAGACACTGAAAGAGGAATGGCGATTTTGTACCACAGTGATGATTTTGTCGAATGGACAAGGCATCCGGTTCCTTTACTTGCATCAGACGTAACCGGAATGTGGGAATGCCCTGATTTTTTCCCTGTTTCCATCACGGGTCAAGAAGGTGTTGAGACTTCGGTGAACAATGCTAGCGTGAGGCATGTCTTGAAGTCGAGCTTCGGAGGCCATGATTGCTATGTCATTGGTACATATTCTTCCGAGACTGACGAATTCTCCGCGGACTCTGAGTTCACTAACACGACTGCGGATTTGAGATTTGATCATGGAACGTTTTACGCCTCGAAGGCGTTCTTTGATAGCGTTAAGAATCGGAGGATCAATTGGGGATGGGTCATTGAGACTGATAGCAAGGAAGATGATATTCAGAAAGGATGGGCTGGCCTTCTGGTAAGTTTATAATAAATATTTATTAGGGTTTGGAAGTAGTTAGTTATAGAGATATTGTCAAGAAAAATTTGATGAATTGGTTTGTTTTTGGATTTAGTCTCTTCCAAGGGAAATGTGGCTGGACACAAGTGGAAAGAGGCTGATACAGTGGCCAATCGAAGAAATCAACAATCTCCGGACTAGACAAGTTACCTTGGATAGCAGGCAACTCCAAGGGGGCTCGATGCTTGAAATCTCAGGCATCACTGCTTCGCAAGTAAGCTTTCACATATGTTTTTGTTGGGAATAAAGAATCAACCGGCCAGTATTTTATTATGGTTTGAGAATTTCTTAGTTTTTTTCTTGTTGTTGTTAAAGGCCGATGTAGAAGTGAGTTTTGATCTGCCTATATGGGAAGAAAATCCCGTCATACTGAATACTGACCAAGTTGATGATGCGGTCTTGTTCGACCGTGACATCTTGGTCGATTGCGTTTATGGGCCTTTTGGGCTGCTAGCGTTGGCTAGCAGTGATTTATCCGAACAAACCGCAATCTTTTTCAAAATTATTCGTCGAGGAAACGGATATTCGGTTATAATGGGCAGCGATGAGAATAAGTAAGATTTCTCCTTTACTCTTAAAAAATAAATTTAAATGTTTCTTTCTCTTATGTAAAATCTGATGTTTAAGTTTAACAAATGAATATGTGTACGTAGGTCTTCGTTGAGAGACAACGTAAAGAAATCTACTCATGGAACGGTCCTAGACATTGATCCAAGCCAGACTAAGATCTCATTAAGATGTTTGGTGAGTTTAACAGTTCTTTTATTTTCGCGTTTTTATCTTAAACAGTTTACCTTGTAATGAGTAACACCTGTGTTTGTTGCATAGATCGATCACTCTATTATAGAGAGCTATGGAGCAGGAGGAAGAAATGTGATAACCTCTAGGGTTTATCCCAAATTGGCAACTGGTGAAGCAGCCAAGCTTTACGTTTTCAATGATGGAACAAGGGGTGTGACCATGTCGTCCCTGGAAGCTTGGAGCATGCGAAATGCCGATGTCAATACCAACGCAATTTAATTAAACTCTTTGGACTGCCCTAAAGTTATTGGTGTGCTTTCCTAACATTAAAACAAAACAAAAAAGAAGTTATTGGTGTGTGTGTGTTTTTTTTTAATCGAAGTTATTGGTTTGCTTATTAAAATTTTATTTTAAAGAAGTCGTTGTTATCTAAGTGGAATTCCGGATTTTAACCAGTGTCTCTTCTTAGAAATGTGGTGGAGATGCCTCAAGATCTTTTTAAAAGTGAAATTGCATCCATTGATTATTTATACACTTGTCTTTTCTGTATCCTTTAAACTGTGGCCATTGTAACTCACCTTCACTTATGTTGCCTTTAATCATTTCGTTTCTTTCGGTATCTCACTTTCTCATATTGTCGTTATATATACTGTTTGTGTATTACATCATTTAACTCTCATTGGTCATTGTGACTCTGCTTTTTCAATGATTAAACACATCAAACTAATTTTACAAGGTTATTCAAGTTGATCCCTTTATTTTATTTCATTTTTTTATACTCTGAATGCTGATGATATTCCGTTGCTGCGGTTAGGCGGCACAACTGCAACGACCATATTTCGAAAAAAACTGCATAGGTATTTCCGTTTGATTCAACTACTTTATATTATATGCTTATGTTAAACAAAGCTGAGAATAGAGATAATAATAAATTCATAATATTGTCGATGTCTATGCTTCAAAAGAGAAAGAAGTTGTTTTGCCTAAAGGCTAACCAAGCCCCACCACTGAGGAGCTCCCAAACTACGTGAATATAAAATCTATGTGCGTGTGGGGCAAGTACATATCTATAGGTCTTTTGGGTTAAAATGTGACAATTGTTGTTCCACATAATTTTATCTAAGTTCGGAAAAAACATAATTTTATCTGGAGCATTATTTATATATATACAGTATATGTATATGACTAAAATTTAAGAAAACTCAAAAATAAGAAAATCTAAACGCCAAGATAAAACTTGGCGCATAACCATATTCGCAAACGTCTCAGCTTGGATTTTACCGACCACAAATAATACAATTGCGTGATTGACTTATAACTAGTTGATTAGTGGTTGAGAGATTATTCTTGAATTTCATGAATTATACTTTTTAATCCAAAACCAGGTAGTGGTGATTAGTGAATGATAAATACAACGTTTACACTGTACACTTCCGGTGGTCAGTCAAAATCATAAAATAATATGGAGAGAGTCTCACGTATTGACGAATCCGACGGCAGTGATTGTGTAATAATTGCGAGTGATACCTACTTTTTGATACTAAAGATTCTTGGTTCCAAAATCTCTTCCGGCACAAATAAATTTAAAATTAAAACAAAAAAAAAACTGAAAAAGATCTCATTAACTCAAAAACCTAAATTGTCCAAGGAAAAGATAGTAGTCAGATTCCGTGGTAATCAACGGATTCTAGATTCATAACTTCGAGGTCACCATTTAATAGAGACAGGTCATCGATGACCCAAAGTTTACAATTATGATACTAATGGACTATTTTTTCAGTTTGTTTCCCCCCAAATTAACCAAGAAAAATGGCCAAATCAGTACTTAATCTCATCTTATTTTATTTCATGAAGGATCGATCAATTCTTTAAAAAAAAAAAATCGAAGTAAAATTATAATTCGAATATAGTAACATCAACATAATTCAATACGGAAATTAAAGAAACATAATTTTTTTACAAAACATATATTTTTTGATGGAATAAAATCGCACACACGAGATGATCTAAACCAAGAGTGACCAAGCTAATACAATTAAGAAACATAAAGAGTGGATCATGAAATTTACAATTAAGCCTATAACGCTCCAACTTCAACGAGTTTAGGAACAAGATGACCACTAAGGTGTAGTGCGACAAGAGACTCAATCCCGCCGACGCAAGCACCACCGATGAAGAGCACCGGGGCGGCTTGAACGGCGAGGCAAGCAATCTCTCCGTCGTCGATCTCGATCACTGTTGGGTGGACTCCTACTGTCGATAGAAGCTTCTTCATGACGTGGCACATGCAGCAAGAGGAAGATCGTGTGAATATGATGACCGGGTGCTCCGATATCAGCCGTTCGATCTTCGACTCTGACGTCTCCTCTTCGTCGAATGATAGGCTCGTCGAGGAGGCGGAGGAGACCGGTGGTGTTGCTGGAGGAGGAACCGCAAGGTCCAGTGAAACGCCGTCGTTGGAGCAGTTCCGTAAACCTCGCATCGTCTTCATTAGAGAGAAAGAGAGAGAGGGAGAGGGAGAGAGAGAGAGAGTGCGAGTTTGTTGATGTCAACGCGAAATGAGAAGGACCATAAATGGGGAGATTGGGTGTCACTGTAATGACGTAACCATTAGATAATAATTTATTTTATTTGTTTATTTGTCACTTTTTTCCTTCATGAGGTCAGCTTGGTCACTTCTAAATAAACTGAATATTCGAATACTTGAAAGAAAATAATTTGTAGGTCCACTCTTTTAGAAGCCAGTAAATACTAAGTACTGCAAGCTTTCTCAAATTAAAACCAGAAACGAGATTAATATACTTAATTATTTGAAAGATATGGGTTTTAGAAATAGACTGTCTGAAAATATAAAAACATGTATGTACAAGTATTACAACTATGTATTATAAAAAGAAAAAGAAACCTAAAAAGGTACTCCCTCCGTTTCAAATTAGTTGTCGTTTTGACAAAATGTATCTGCAAATATTTAGACGTATCTGGACGTGTTTTGCATTGCTGATACGTCCAAATATTTGCAGATATATTTTACCAGAATGACAACTAATTTGAAACGGAGAAAGTAACACGTTTTATTTTTGAGTTTTCCATGAGATGTGGCGTACGTGGTGGACGAGATATTCGAAGAAAATGTATATAGCTTGGTATATACGCTATACGGCAGCATCATCGTCAGTCTTACGACTTCTTGCTGTTTATTAACTAAATGTTTTTATCAAATGCAAAGGACAAAACACACAAATTGACTATGATTCTCTGCTGGCAACATAGATTTGTATATTTTTCTTATTCAAAGTTTGGCTGGCACATGTGCGAACGTGTTTAATTACATGATTCGAATTCGAATACTTGCGAATTAGGTCTGTAAACTACTTAACCAACTGCTAACACTCAGGGTTTCAGCACCTGTAATTTTAGCCGCATTTAATACAACATTATATGCGCGTTTTACAAGCCATTAATTAGAATTATTATATACCTTTACATGAAATACGTATACTTAATAAAATACATGCGGTATAAAAGAAAAAGGTATGTTCGTTTTTGAATCTTGTTAACACTACTGAATGATTTTTTTCAATCAAATATTTTTAAACAAGTTGCAGATTTAGTTAATCGATTTGTAGTTTAAAAACAAATTATTTTTGTTTATTAGGGAATTATAGTATAGTAAAGTGTGAAAATCGCACGTTGAGTGGGGACATAAAAATGGAGCGTGTAACACACGTAGAGGGGAAAAGTAGAGTTGAAGAATTAGAGGACAAGGAAGTGGTCACATGGAGTTATGGATTGGGCATCAGTCACCACTCAAAAAGTAAAATAAATGATGCTGACGTCTTTTATTTGTGTTACCTCGGGGTAATCTGGAGCCACTTGACGTCATCAGAATCAGATAATCAGACCATGTTTCAGCTAACGTCGACAACGGTATCTCACCAAAATATTTTTCTTTAATATACTAACAAAGGACAGATCGATCGTACATAAATATTGGTGAAGGACTTTATAAACAAAATTTTAGTGATGAAGTCACACACACATATGCCATATGGCCCATATCTAACGCCATTACTGAGAAATGTTAGCTATGATTTTCGATTATATCGCCGAGAGAATTATTAGCGTTCATTGATAGATTATTTACGAATATTATAATAGGAAAAAATTGTTAAACATGCTTAACATGTGCTTATCTACCAAGTTTACAAACAAATATGTAACTGAACATTTCTGGCTCCTTTTTTTTTTTAATCCTCTATAATGCATTTCGTTCCTAATAAGTACATTCTAGTTATCTTAATATTCCTTAACCCAGGCAAAAATTAAAACAATAAAAAATGAATAGTAATTCACTAAAAAACTATCAGATTTTGGTAGTTCTTTTGGGGGGACGTCGGTAGCTATCTATTTGTGACCTTTGATAATATGCAAAAGAAATCTGTAGCACTTTCTCTCTACCGGAAAACAATTTTAATTTAGTCAAAACGTGATTATTGGTGCGACTTTAACGAGGTTTGACATGAGTGACAAAATGTGCAATTGGCAATGAACGAAGGAGAATCTTCCCAAAGAATATGAACCAGCCAAATGTGAATCTTAATATTCCGTATTTTAAGTTGTTATTGACTCATTGTAGTCGATGCATTAGTCAGATATTTTTCTCTACCTTTTAATTATATCTTCGAGATAAAAAAATCCAAACTAATACTCAAATTATCTATTTTATGCAAGACTAATATCCAAAACTAATACTCAAATTATCTATTTTATACTCAAATAGAGACTAATAAAAAAGCTTGGCGTCTCAGTTATTCACTTACAAGGTGGTTGGCCCGCGCCTGCGCGGGCAAGAGATGTTTCAGAACTCAAATCCTTTCAATTAATATTAGATTAACGCATTTTATTTTTAATTACTTTTCATATTTTTGTAATGTGTTTATTTTCCAAGGAAGTAATAGCTTAACATTTTGTTAATTTGATATGAACTTATAAATTGTGAAAGCCAAAAAAAAATAGTTAAATTTTGTAATGATTGTTTTCTTCTCCCTCTTATTCTTTTTCCTGATCCCATCTTTTTTTTTTTCTATTCGTTGTCATCATCTTTTTTTTTCTTCTTCTTTTTCCAAATTTTGTTCTTCAATCATTTCTTGTGTTTCATATCCTCCAACTTACTATTCTTCTTTTTCTTTCTAATTTTCTTTACATTCTTTCTCATTCCCCTTCTCTCTATCTTTATCATCTTCGTCTTCTCTAACATCATCTTATTCTAGTTTTTATTTATCTCTTATTTGTCTTTTTCCCTTCACATTTTATTTTTCTTCTTTGTTTTCTTTTTCCTCTTCGAGTTTTCTTCTTCTTCTCGAAGTTTCTCATCTTCTTATCCACCATCTTCTTTTATTCTACTCGTGTTTTTATTCCTTCTTGTCTATCTTATATTTCACTTATCAATTCATTCGATAGTTTAGATTTTCAAGGATTCGTGAAATAGTTTTTATCTTTATATAGTCGAGATCTTTTAAAAATCTATATTTAATTTGTGTTGTTATCTTTTGATTATGGATTTGCTTTTATTGTTTTAGTTTTTTTCTATTTATGAGTGTATTTTAGAATGGTAGATATAAATTTATAATCATGATTTTTAATTTTGATATACTTCTATTATAATTCAAAGTTTTTAAAATGCACAAAAACTAAACCCTACACCCATCAATATAAACCCTAAACCTAAACCCAAACCCCACATTATAAACCCCCCCTCTAATTAAAGAACTACACCCTAAACCCAAATCCACATTATAACTCCCCCTGAACCGCACACTTGAATCTCACATTACAAATTAGTTCTTGATTTGCTTTTATTTTTATTTTTTATATTTTTTTTAATTGTTGTTTTCTTATCCTTTTATTCTTCTCTAGTGATCTCATCTTCTTCTTTTTCTTCTATTTTTTTATTCGTTGTCATCATCTTCTTTTTTCTGCTTCTTCTTCATCTTCCAATTTTTGTTCTTCAATCGTTTTTTGTGTCTTCATATCCTCCAACTCACTATTCTTCTTTTTCTTTCTAATTTTCTTTACATTCTATTTCCGATTTTTCTTCTTCCTCATTCCCCTCTCTCTCTATCTTTATCATCTTCGTCTTCTCTGACATCATCTTATTATAGTTTTTATTTATCTCTTCTTTGTCTTTTTTTCTTCTTCACATTCCATTTTTTCTTCTTTGATTTCTTTTTCCTCGTGTTCAAGTTTTCTTCTTCCTCTCGAAGTTTCATCTTCTTTTCCATCATCTCTTTTCTCTTACTCATGTTTTCGTTCTTGTCTATGTTTTGTATTTCACTTATCAATTCATTCGATAGTCTAGATTTTGTTAATTCACAAATTCATTAATATTAGCTTAACATTTTGTTAATTTGACATGAACTTATAAACTGTGAAAACACAAAAAAATTAGTTAAATTTTGTAATGATTGTTTTCTTCTCCCTCTTATTCTTTTTCATGATCCCATCTTTTTTTTTTCTTCCATTTTTTATTCTTTGTCATCATTTTTTTTTGCTTCTTCTTTTTCCAATTTTTGTTCTTCAATCCTTTCTTGTGTCTTCATATCCTCCAACTTACTATTCTTCTTTTTCTTTCTAATTTTCTTTACATTCTTTTTCCGGTTTATCTTCTTCGTCATTCCCCCTTCTCTCTATCTTTATCATCTTCGTCTTCTCTAACATCATCTTATTCTAGTTTTTATTTATCTCTTATTTTTTTTTTTCTCTTACATTTTATTTTTTTCTTCTTCGTTTTTTTTTCCTCTTCTTTGTTTTCTTCTTCTTCTCGAAGATTCTCATCTTCTTATCCACCGTCTTCTTTTATTCTACTCGTGTTTTTATTCCTTCTTGTCTACGTCTTATATTTCACTTATCAATTCATTCGATAGTTTAGATTTTCAAGGATTTGTGAAATTTTTATATCTTTATATAGTCGAGATCTTTTAAAAATCTATTTAATTTGTGTTGTTATCTTTTGAGTTTGTATTTGCTTTAATTGTTTTAGTTTTTTTTTCTATTTGTGAGTGTATTTTAGAATGGTAGATATAAATTTATAATCAGTGATTTTTAATTTTGATATACTTTTATAATAATTCAAATTTTTAAAAATGCAACAGAAACTAAACCCTACACCAATCAGTATAAAACCTAAACCCAAACCCCACAATAAAACCCCCCCTCCACCTAATTAAAGAACCTACACCCTAAAATAAAATCCACATTATAATTCTCTCCTAAACCACACACCTAAACCTCATATTACAAATTAGTTCTTGATTTACTTTTATTTTTATTTTATTTATAATTTTTTTTAAATGGTTGTTTTCTCATCCCTTTTATTCTTCTCTAGTGATACTATCTTCTTCTTTTTCTTCAATTTTTTATTCGTTGTCATCATCTTTTTTTTCTGCTTTTTCTTCATCTTCCATTTTTTGTTCTTCGATTGTTTCTTGTGTCTTCATATCCTTCAACTCACTATTCTTCTTTTTTTTCTTTTTTTTACATTATATTTCCGATTTTTCTTCTTCCTCATCTTCGTCTTCTCTAATATCATCTTATTATAGTTTTAATTTATCTCTTCTTTATTTTTTTTGCTTCACATTCCATTTTTGCTTCTTTGATTTCTTTTACCTCGTGTTCAAGTTTTCATCTTCCTCTCAAAATTTCCCATCTTCGTTTCCATCGTTTTTTTTTCTCTAACTCATGTTTTCTTTTCTTTTCTTTTCTTCTTTTCTTTGTATTTCACTAAACGTAGTTTTTATAATATGAAAAAACTATTTTACTCATATTTTATCTAAACCTTACACCCTAAACCAAATCCCACATTATAACCCCCCTCTCCCCCCTCCTACACTCTAAACTCAAACTCACATTAACCCCCTTCCTCCCCCCTTTTACACCCTAAACCCAAACTCACATCATAATCTTTCACCCTGAGTCCCATACACACATTATTTTTGGATTTACATTTTTTTTAATAAGTTTTTTCTTGTAATGGTTATTTTCTTATGCCTCTTATTCTTCTCTACTCTTCTTCTTTCTCTTCCATATTTTATTCGTTGTCATCATTTTTTATTTTATTCTTCTTCTTCTTCTTCTTCTTCTTCTTCTTTTACTTCCAATTTTTGTTCTTTAATCTTTTCTTGTTTTTTTTATATCCTCCAACTCACTATTATTCTTTAATTTCTAATTTCCTTTACATTATTTTTCCGTTTTTTTTTTCTTCCTCAATCCCTCCCTCTCTCTCTATCTTTATCATCTTTATATTTCTGTGACATCATCTTATTCTAGTTTTTATTTATCTTCTTTGTCTTTTTTTCTCTTCACATTCTAGTTTTTCTTCTTTGATTTCTTATTCCTCATGTTCGAACTTTCTTCTTCTTCTCGAAGTTTCCTATCTTTTTCTGTTTCTTCCATTTTTTAATCGTTGTCATCATCATTTTTTTCTTCTTCTTTTCCCAATATTTATTCTTCAATCTTTCATCATTCCCAATCTCTTTCTTTGTCTTTATAATCTTCGTCTTCTTTGACATAATCTTATTATAGTTTTTATTTATCTCTACTTTCTCTTTTTTTTCCCTTCAGATTCCATTTTCTCTTCTTTGATTTCTTTTCCTCGTGTTCAAGTTTTCTTCTTATTTTCAAAGTTTCCCATATTCTTTTCCACCGTCTTTTTTTTTTTTGCTCTCTTGTTTTTCATTCTAGTCTACGTCTCGTAATTCACTTATCAATTCATTCAATAGTTATATTTTCAAGGATTCATGAAATATTTTTCATCTTTATATAGTCGATATATTTTAAAATTTTATTTGTTATGTTATCTTTTGATTTATTTTTTGCTTTAATTATTTTGTTTTTTTCTATTTCTTAATGTATTTTAAAATGGTAAATATAAATTTATAATCGACAATTTTTAAATTTGATATAATTCCATAATAATTCAAATTTTTAAAAATGCACCAAAAACTAAACCCTACACTCATCAATATAAACCTTATACCTTAAACCCGAACCCCACATTATAATCCCCCCTTCCCTAAACAAACCTACATCCTAAATCCAAACCCACATTATAACCCCCATAAACCGCACACCTGAACTCCACATTATAAAGTGGTTCTGGATTTTTTATTTTCTTTTTTTTAAAGGAAGTTTTCTTTTTTCTTTTTAATCGGTAATTTAGTGTATTCAAAAAAAAAGTATGAAAAACTAAACCTTACACTTATCAATATAAACTATACTTCGTAAACCCCAACCCCTTTTTATCTTCGTATTCTTTTACTTTGTCTTCTACTTCATTCAAATTTTTTTCTCTTCATTTTACACCTTTTTAAAAAAAAATTTATCCAACTTTTTTTGTTTCATTTCCTCTTTCTTCATCGTCATCTTTTATTTCATGGTTTTTATTTGTTTTGTTCAATTTATTTACAATTTGTTTTGCAATTGGCTTTGTGTTATTATTCTTCACCTTTTATCTTTTGATTTTTTCAACTTCTTTATTGTTCAAATATTCTTCAATTCTTTTCTTCTTTTGTTTTTTTTTTTCGTTTTTTCCGTCTTCCAACTTTCGTCTTTTCCTTATTTTTATTATGGTTTTTCTTCTTATTTCATCTTGTATTCTTTATTATTTTATATTATCAATCTTTTTCTTTTTTTTGTAACAAAAAAAATTCTTTAATTATTTTTGATTTTTTAAAAAAAGTTGTTGATTTTGTTTTAAATCTGCTATGTTATTGTTAAGGAAAAAATGAATAATATATATACTTATAATTAAAGATTATAAGTTGTGACATATAACATATACTTATAAATAAATCCTCAATAACCATAGCATCACTATTTTTGTCTCAAAGAACCACAATATGTTAAGAACATTAAAAAAAAAAAAATCACAATTAATATACGTGGAAGCATCATAACATATCAAATATCATACACATAACCAATATGTTCTTTTTTTTTCTTCTTCTGCAAATTGCAATCTATACATCAAAATAAGAAATACAATCAGGATAGTTAAACTATAACACTTAATGACAACTGATTTGTACATACATTGATCTGAATTTATTAATGTTATATTAAAACTGAAGAGAAGAAAAAACAAACTGATTTTTTTTTAGTTTTTTAAAGTGAAGAGAAAATAAACATTTGTGATGGTGATACATTCGTTATATATATTCTTGTTGCTAGATTTTCTGTGAAACCTGTGAATCTCTTCCTTCTAGGTTTAGATGATCTGATATGTTGGCTCTCTGCAAGATACACAAATCTTATGCTCTGTGCAAGAATATTCTGATTCTTTGGACATGATGAAAAAAGAGCTATCTCTTCCTTAGATAGTCTTTGACTTTAGGAGACTCCAACTGGATTGGTTATTGCAAGATTAATGATTATTATGCTGTTTTTCGATTTCTCAGTTGATATAGTTATTGTTGCAGAACTGTCCTACAAAATTCACCCAAATCTTTCTTCAGTTCTTGACCAAATTTCATCACCATCGATAGCTTTTATTCACAGAATGCTGTTATAAAGGAAGAACTGACTAAAAGGGAGCTTCACAGAAGTTGGTTATGAAATCTAGAGATATCTATTTATATAGGATAAAGTTGGTTATGAAACCTAGGGTTTTCTTTTTATTTTTCTTTCTAAATTTTCTATTTTCTTTCAAAATTGTAGGGCGAAATATAGTAATTATGATTTTTATCTAAAATTATTTTATTGAAAAATCAAATTCGGTTTTTTTTAGAAAAAATGAAATTTTGAAGATTTATCTAAAACTATTTTAGTGAAAAATCAATTTCGTTTTTTTTAAAAAAAAAAGAAAATTCGAAGATTTATTCAAGATTTTCATTAAGAGTAGTTCCGTAATTCCGCGGCTGAGAATTAATATGGTGGCTCCATTCGAAATTCTGACTTCGCAAATAATAGTATGATTTGTTCCGAGTTTTTCCTTTCTTAGTAAGACATGTAATTTAAATATTCTCGATCAGCCAACTTATATTTACTTTCCTCTTGCGATCCAATATATAAATATTAACGCAAAAACGAACATGAATTTTGTATGATATAATTCATTATGCAATAAAAAATTACAGTATAAACATTTTTTTCTAACGTCTACAAATACATTGACAATTAAGTTTTGACAAATGAATAAGAAGCATTAATGGCTCGACAGATTCAGTTCATGACGTCATGAACCGTTTGTCCCCGTAATTTTTTCCTTTTCTCAACGAGAGAAAACTGTCAAGTTCTGATTGATTGCGTCACGTCCGTGTCTTTTTTTTTTTTTTTTTTTTTAATGTCTGCGTCACGTTGGTGCCATAGTTGAATTATGATGTCCAAAGCACTAATAATCATGTTTCTTTATAAAATGCCGACCAATAAATTGTTATTATATTTTGCCATTCCAATACATAATTTTTTTGTTCTTGTAATTAAATTACATAATATAATATCACATACAAGCTAGTATTTGCAAAAAAAAAACATACACTTTAGTAGTAGAAGTTAAAAAGATCAAATTATACACACACACACACACAGGGTTTAACACAGGGCTTGAAAGTCATATATGTAGACCTTGAGCCACACAGAACAAAAAGCCTACGAAACGAAGATACAGCTTGGACGACCAGAGTTTACAACACCTTGTTCATTTTCTAACCCTGTAAGTCGCTATTATAATGCTAAAAGCATGAATAATTAGTCTTTGAAGGATGAATTAGTCTTCTGATTGGGAAAGCTTAGCCCACCAAATATTCAATTGGGCCGAAACTCAATACATAATTTGTTTTAACGGAGGCTCGAACCGAATTTGAGTTTACACTGTGTTACGAGTTCTTGATGCGCCATGTCACCACTTATGCGCATGCCTTTAAGCTTAATTATATAGTCTTTTAATTCAATTGTGTAATTGAACATTTGTGGTATAATATCTAGTGTAACGCTTCAACCGTGTGGATTAGGAAACGTTATCGAGATTGGGTTAAAACTTAAAACGGAATCACAAACTCACAAAACTTTATTATCAGCTACAATGATGAACTTTAGAAAGATTAGACAGTTTTGTTGAGTTTTACCAACCTAATAATGCCAGGGGAAACAAAGGAAGTCGTTATTATTGAGCCACAGTAACGATGAAACAGAGAAAAATTAGAAAATATCTGTTTTAAATTAAGGAAATACCACTACCAGACGAGGGGTTGAGTTTTACAAGCTAATAATATCAATAGAAGCTAAACAAGTTGTTTCCAAATATAACTATCTAGTCGTGAGACCTGAACGTCGTTATATATACAAGACCAATGTTTTGGTAAAAAATTATCACCAAAACAAAAAACCGTGAGATCTTGAAGGATCTCTTGACGGTTTTTTTCCCTTAGCAGGAAAAAAATGGGCTCTCAAGTCTCATGGTGGCCTTTTTTGGTGATGGTTGCTGTGTTGGTTCTCAACGTGGAGTTCAGCATTGCGGACGGAGGTGCCGATGAAGACACCAAGGTAATAATCATTACGTAATTAATAATGATTGCGTAAGTAAGGTGAAAAATTAAAAAAACACAAACCAATTGGGTAAATGAATGGTTAATGTTCATATATACAGGTCCATATAGTATTCCTAGGTGAAGTAGAGCATAATGACCCGAAGCTTGTAACGGCCTCACATATCAAGATGTTGGAATCCGTACTCGGAAGGTACCAACAAACCAATATTCTTAGAAAATATTGTTGCAAGTAAAAATAAATGAATACCACAGAACTAATTGTGGATATATATACAGCAAAAAAGAAGCGAGGGAGTCCATAGTTCATAGCTATCGGCATGGTTTCTCGGGCTTTGCTGCCCATCTTACTGATGCCCAAGCGAAAACACTGTCTGGTACGTACATATGAAGAAGCGCATACTTAAGATATACAAAGCGAGTTGAATATATATATATATATATATAAGAGGGTAATTAATGAATGAATTTTATGTCCTCTGGTAACTATGAATAGAGCATCCGGATGTAGTTAGAATGTCCCAAGATACTTACTTCAAGCCACAAACAACAAGGGCAATGGACTACTTGGGGCTTTCTCAAAGCTTACCAAAAGGGCTTCTCAATGATGCCAAGATGGGTGAGGACGTCATCATCGGTGTCTTGGACTCAGGTAATTACTTTGGCTCAAAAAACTATAGTTATAATAAATTTGAGAGGATTAGTACAATAATAGGGACGTGTTGTGTTGATCACAGGTGTGTGGCCAGAGTCGCTGTCGTTCAGGGATGAAGGGTTAGGACCGATCCCGGCAAGATGGAAAGGGCAGTGCGTGGATGGTCCTGAATGGGACTCGAAGAAGCATTGCAATAAAAAGCTGATAGGAGCGAGGTATTACACGGAAAGCTTCTTCAAGTACAACAAAACAGACAGCAGAATATCGGAATATGAGTACGTGTCGGCCAGGGAAGGCAGTGCACACGGGTCACACACGGCCAGCACAGCGGCGGGGTCGTTCGTGGCAAATGTAAGTGACAACGGCTTGGGAGTTGGAAAAGCTAGAGGAGCAGCGCCTCGGGCTCGTATCGCCATGTACAAAGTGTGTTGGCAGAAATCAGGTGAGCCGGCTTGCTCGGTCGCGGACATAACAAAAGCCATGGACGATGCCGTGGCGGACGGCGTGGACGTGATTTCCATCTCCTTAGGAAGGCCGAACCCTGTGCAGACGGAAGTCGAGGATTATAATGAGATCGCCTATGGAGCCTTCTACGCCGTCTCCAAGGGGATTACAGTGGTCACCGCCGGTGGAAACTTCGGCCCACATTCTAACACAGTCCAGAACATTGCTCCGTGGATCATAACCGTGGCTGCCAGTGGCCTTGACCGTTGGCATCCCACACCCGTGACACTAGGCAACGGTGTGACCCTTTTGGTAAAGAAAAAAACAAAACTATATATACCTAGCTCTCTCTCTCTCTCTTTCTTCATAATCATAATCATAATCGTAAGCTACTACTACTTTTTTTTAGGCAAGGACCCAACACACTAGCGGGGAAATCCAAGGGGATCTAGTGTTCATATATTCTCCTCAAGATCTATCGCCTGGCCTGGATGGCAAAGTGGTGCTAGCTTTCTCATCCAAGGAGCATCAGCCAGACGCATTTACATCGCACTTTCTTTACGGCGGTCTCACTGAAGCCAAGGCTCTAATTCTTGTTATGCCAAATGACGATACTATGCCAGACACACAGGCTGAACGACCCGTAGTCTCCGTCGACTTTGAACTTGGAACTACTATTTACAACTACATGAAGAACACCCGGTATTTTTTTTATTATTATTTATTTTATTTTATTTTTATCTACATTACCCTCTTATTGTTTTTTCTAAATATTTTACCTCAATAATTTACAGCTCCCCAACCGTAAAAATAAGCAATGCACGGGAAATCACCGGGCCAATTGTATCCACTAGGATTGCTAAGTTCTCAGGCAGAGGACCCAATTCCGTAAATCCATACGTTCTCAAGGTAACCCTAGCTACTTGATTAATTTTCATTCCTTTTCTCCATCAAAACACTGACGACAATATTATACTATTTGATGCAGCCCGATATCGCAGCACCAGGCATTGGCATAGTGGCAGCTGCAACCCCGAACAGAATGAACGGTGCCTCTGGATATATGGCACAGAGTGGAACTTCAATGGCAGCACCTATCATTGCCGGAATCGCTGCACTCCTCCGATCTGTCCATCCTGACTGGTCTCCTACCGCCATTAAATCAGCTATCATCACTACTGGTATGTTTCTTCCTTTTGCTACATAATAATTAACCATTACAGCCGACTAGCTAAGTGTCACTAGCTAGGTTACATGTTCATTTATAATTTTTTTTTTTTTTTTGCGTAATCTCTAAGGTACCAAGACGGATCCCTACGGAGAACCAATCTTTGCTGAAGGTTTATCACGGAAATTAGCTGACCCATTTGACTTTGGAGGAGGATTGGTGAGGCCTGACAAAGCAGCAGACCCCGGTCTTGTCTACGACGCTAACATGGAAGACTACAAACGTTTCCTATGTGCTTCCAGCTACAACGAGGCCCAGATCAATAGATTAACAAGGACGCAGTCCAAATGCTCCAGCCCAAGGCCCTCCCTCCTCGAGCTCAATTTGCCTTCCATCACCCTTCCGTTCCTCAAGGAAGACGTGACTGTCACTAGAACCGTCACCAACGTAGGACCTGTCAACTCCAACTTCAAACTCATCCTTGAGTCTCCTTTGGGTGTCCATGTCACTGTCTCACCTAAGAAACTTCACTTTAACTCCACTCACAAGAAACTCAGCTTCAACGTCACTTTCCACACTACTCACAAAGCCAATACTATGTATTATTTTGGGAGCTTGACTTGGGCTGATCACCGTCGTCATGTCAATGTCACCATCCCATTATCTGTCAGGACACAGATGCTCATGAATTTCGACAACAGCAGTTAAGTTTCAAATTATTTGCATCTGTTTCTAAGTATTGACTCAAAGTGTTATGTGTATGTAAGAGTGTCATCATTAACATATATAAGACAAATTATTGCCACCTGCCCACCTGTTCTTGTTTTCTTCTGCTTTAAAAAAAAAGTACATAACCAAGCTCAATGAACACCTGCAAAGCAGTAACTCTCACTCTTGATCCATTGTCATGAACCTCTTCATTGGCTTTGCAAGTTTTGGAGTCTTGTCCAAAAAGCTGTGTTCGTTTTTGTTTTTGGCAAAATTTGGCTATCCAGTTCCCTTCATACGATATTAAATTTGTATCCACTAAATCCCAAAACAGCATTTTATTTTAATGATACATTATTAGTTTTTGTTTTATAAATCGTTTACAAAAAAAATTATTAGGCTTAGTCAAGGTTCTTGGTTGAACAAAGACAAATAAAATTACGACAATCTTTTGTACGTTTGTTCCTTTTAGCACATTGCTCTCCGCAGTCCAAACAAAAAGCAGTTTGGATCTCTATAGTCAAAGTCTTCATATGTAATCTGATTTTCTTATCTCTGAAAATCAATTTGGAGACTCTCTGCCAAATTTGAAGAAGGATTTTTGGTTGCACAAAAGCAAAGAAAATTAAGACAACTTTGTAGCCGTTTTTTTTTTCTTGAGCAAAGGTATACACACTCGTGACAAAAAGCAATTGGATCATTAAAACCTTCATCCGCATAATATCCTCCTCCATCGGGTCTCTGGAAATCAGGTTGAGGAGGAGTCTTTGCTTCACAAAGACACTTATCATGACAATCTTGTATCTGTTTGTTTGCTTTTGCGCAACTGTATGCACACTCCTTACAAAACTCAGCTGGATCATATACCCACTCATGTTTCGGGTATATTTTTTCCAAATAAGTTTGGGGACTCTCTGCCAAATTGGAAGAAGGATTCTTGGATAAACAAAGGCAGACAAGATTACGACAACTTTCTACACTTATGCTCGCTGAACTACAATGATATGCACACTCATTACAAAAACCCTCTGGAGTTACATTCTTAGGAAAAACAAAATAAACCTGTAAAATAGGATGGTCATCATGTTCACCTATAAATAAAAAAATATCGATAATGCAATTAGTATATTATTGTAACTAAAAGTGTAAAAATATTATACATATTTATCCTAAATAGCCTAGAGTTAACTTACGTACATGATGAAACAATAATAAGCAAAATGAAAAACAAGACTGTTTTCATTTGCTTTTGAAATTTTGATATTTTTCAACTTTTTTTCTCTTACTAATTTATTTTGCGTATGTGAAGTCATTAAAATAAGACAATGTCCTAGTTATATGGTTTGTAATTAAGTTACAAAATAGTTAATGTCTGATCAACGTTTTTGTTATAAATGAGAATGTAGGAAACGTACCATATTAATGAAGTTTTTAATGTGAAAGCATTAACTAAAGAAGACATATTCATTAGGCACACATGGATGATGCAATGGGGGAGCCTATTAGTGTTACCAAGTCTCTATTAGATAGATACAAGATGAGAAAGAGCAAGAGACATTCTTGTTTGCTTACTTATGCAAAACTAATACTTCATCCAATATTTGGAACCAGATCGAGTATTCCCATAGAATTGAACAAAGGTGGTGTATAATAACTGATTTGTAACTTCAACTTCATTCTATGAAGTGTTATGGTTTTACTTAATCTACATTTTAATTCGACTGATAATATAATAACCGACTGTAGAATCATCTTTCGTAAATTATGTGACGTAGACATACGCGACTAAATATAAGAAAGGGCAAGTACGGTAAGTGGGTTCTAGGGTTTAAGAGCAAATACTTTTTTTTTAAGGAATACCATTATTTTTCTTGGAGGATGAAGAAGAGTCGAGAATGTTAAAATGGATGATTTTATTAGTTTAGAAACTTTCGAGTCTCAATCAATCAAGTGGAACACTGGTACAGAGAGGACAATCAATTTTGGGTAAGTCATGTTGGGAACATCTCTTTGCAAATGTCTTTTGAAAATCAATTCAAATATTTAAAGTTTAATGTATTTTAATTTTTCATTTAACATCATCATCCAAATATTTTATCTTTTTCTGAGTGCTATATTTAAATAATTGGAATAGAAACGAATCATGCATGTTCCGCCAGTTTAAATAATCGCAAAGAATTTCAATTGGATTTTGGATATCGTGAGCAAAGATACGGCCATGTACGAAGAAAATAAAATGAAGTAAAAACAACGATTTAGCCTTATAGGTGCGTGCATTTGTGTGCTGGTATATATACCAAATCGCCACGGTCAATGTTAACAGAGACACATACTATATAATATATTTTTAGAGACACCAAAAACTATTTGTTTTGTTTAAAGACTGATAAATCTATAAAAATAAAGCTATTGAAATATCCTCTGGTGATTTGAAAAACAAACAAATCACGTTAATGAATTGGATATATTTATATATAGTATAGTTAATAAAAATACAAAAAGGCGACAGATTGGCGTTGGACGAGGGAAGGAGCTGTTGAGGCTCATGTGGGCTTCCTCTGTTCGCCATATCTACGCACACACAAGTAATTTCGTGTACATGTATTTTAAAAATCATTTCGTGTTAATTAAACGAATTCATCTACAAACTCTTTATTCTAAGAACATTTTTGTTGAGGTTTATGGGATTTTTATGAGATTTTACCGTAATCAGTTAAAGTTTGGTTTTAGAGGACAAAACATGTAAATACTTTGGAATTTTTGAGGAAAAAACAAGAAGTTCCAAACCTTCAACTCATAATTCAACATATAATTATGCTTGAAAAAAAATTCAGATGTAAAATCACATGTACAACTATTTTTATTTGAAAAAAAATTATAATTTTCAAAGTTGCATTTTTTTTCATAACTTGTCTAGTATATTTTTGGTAATTTTCAGTAATTCAGTGAAGTAAAATTTTGATTGTTTAGGCAAATAACATTTTATATTAAAATAACATTTTAAATACAGGCTCGCTATCTATTTCTTCCAATCTGGATTAGACTTGTAATTTTGCTTTTGTTCCTCCTCATCGATATTTCAATCTCGTTTGCATATAAAATATCGTCACCCCCAAAAAGGTTTCGTCTTTGTCACTTTATTTCGCTCCTGCGTTTCTGCGTTTATCCACCCTCCCTGATTCTATCCATCTTCTGCGAAAACCTCTGTTTTGTAGATTGTATCCATTAATGGAAGACGAGCAGCGAAGCAGATTCAGAAAAATTTGTGTTTTCTGCGGAAGCCACTCTGGTCACAGAGAGGTTTTCAGTGTTGCTGCCATTGAACTCGGCAATGAACTCGTTCGCTCTCTCTCTCTCTCTCTATCTCTCGTCTCTTCTCGTCTTCTTCTGATTGCTTATCGTTTGGTTTTGTGATTGAAAAAACATCAACTTTTCAAATTCATAGAAGACAGAAATCAACGGAAAAAAATCCGAGCTTTCTCTCTATTGTTGAAATACTTAACAACGAAATTTTAAGATTACTTTGTTCCTTCGCATGACACTTTCCACACAAATGGGTTTGTGATTTTATTTGCCTATCAGAGATTACGAATATTGTAAGCTCTTGTGATGTTTACTCATTTTCCCTTGTTTGTTGATTTACTGAAATCTAGGGATGTTGTCGTTTGCGTCAAGATGAAGTGTAAAAACTGGGTCTTGCTCTGTTTTATCTTCGTCTGTGTGATTGGGATTTGGAAATTTGTAGGTGAAGAGGAAGATAGACTTGGTTTATGGTGGAGGAAGTGTTGGGTTGATGGGTCTAATATCCAGGAGAGTCTACGAAGGTGGTTTCCATGTACTCGGGTTAGTTCTTAAGAGTCTCCAATCAGCTTTATAACTCTCTCAAATCTCCTTCATTTCCAAACTCCTCTAAGTGTTTTTGATTGGATTCTCTGTACCCGCAGGATCATTCCCAAAGCTTTGATGCCAATTGAGGTATGTAGATTCTTCTTAAAGCTCAGTTTTTTCTTTCTAATGATGAATGTGTCTCAAAGCTATCTACTTGTTTGCACTAGCCCTTGGTTTTACCCCAATCTTATGACTTTGGGTTTGATCAGATATCTGGTGAGACGGTTGGAGAAGTGAGAATAGTTGCAGACATGCACGAGAGAAAGGCTGCAATGGCACAAGAAGCTGAAGCCTTCATTGCACTCCCTGGTGAGAAATACTTGTTTGATACTGAAAATTCTTGCAGGCGGTTTAAAGTTTTGTTCTTGAATAGTGTAAACAACTGCTTTTTGTTTCAGGAGGTTACGGAACAATGGAGGAACTGCTGGAGATGATAACATGGTCACAACTTGGTATCCACAAGAAGACGGTATCCTAACAATTCCTTTGCTTGGTTGAGGAAGAAGCAGAGACTAATAATGATTCTTATGTTGATTCGTTTTTTGTGATTGTTTTTTTGCAGGTTGGTCTATTGAATGTTGATGGATACTATAACAATTTGCTTGCTTTGTTTGACACTGGCGTCGAAGAAGGCTTTATCAAGCCAGGAGCAAGAGATATTGTGGTTTCTGCACCAACAGCCAAAGAGCTTATGGAAAAAATGGAGGTACATTATAACTTACCCTTCCTTGTTTTTTCTTCTCCACTCTCTATCTTGTACAGAAGAAATAAATAGTTATCTCATACAAATGCGGTTTGGTTTTGTTTAGAGTTTGTGTTATGATTGTAGAATCAACCATTAAAATGTTCATATTCTTGGCAGGAATATACGCCTTCACACAAGCATGTTGCATCGCACGAAAGCTGGAAAGTTGAAGAACTCGGAGCTTACCCGGGACAAGAAAACAAGCCGCAATAAAAGTTCTCATATTTCTAGCATATGCCTCTTTCATTTCAAGTTTTAGTCTGATTTTAATTTGCAGAATCCACAATGTGTATAAGAAAACTCAAGTCTTTGTTGCAATTTGAAACAGCACATTGGGTCCCCAATTTGAAAAGTGTTGCTGATTATGTTAATTAAGTTTGGTTTTTTTGGAGAATGGTGGTTTCTCTATACAGAACCCAAAAAAAAAAATTGTTTGTTTGTTAATGCTAATTGTGGTTTCCTTCAAAGAAAGAAAAGGAGGAATCTTTTTTGATTGTGGGTGATGCAGAAAAGTCCCACAAGAGTCGTATCGTAGTGAATGTCCATTGGAATAGGAGTGTGGTCCCTTTGTTTGTTTCATTCGATGGCTTCAATAGAAAAGCACAAAATGTGAATGATGTGTGACCAAGTTGGAGATGGATGGGTTTCTTCTTTTTGCTAAGTGCATTTTGTGGTGGGGAATGATTGGATATCTTTTCCTCTTTTCTTTATTTTGTGTCTCAATCTTCATCTCTCTCTCTCTCTCTGAGTTGGATCATTTTGATTAAGCCATTGACTAGTTTTAAAGGTGATGATGATGTCCTTCATGGTAATGGTAGTAAAAATATTATTATAGAACTCTACCACTATTAAAAACTCTAATCATTTACAAGTGAAACTTGAGTTTTTCTCTTTTCTCTGTCAACGGGACCAAAAGAGAAAAAACAAAGCTGAATGGGGGTGTGGGGGGATTGGGACCCATTGTGAAGGTATTAAAAGAAAATAGGAGATGGAAAAATACTAGAAATAGTAAAATGTGAGTGTGTCACTTCATTGTCAAACATATTTGTCTCCCACAGTTGTGATGTATGTCTTGATTTGGTACCAATATAGGATAAGCCCCAACCTAATTTGATTGTTGGTTTCTCTTGCATTATGCATCTCACACTTTCTTCCATCTCTTGTCCCTCAAATTGGTTAACCTGTCTTTTTCTCTTTCAGTGCCCACAACCTACTTGCCCATCCATATCTTTTAGTCTCTTCCTCTTAAGATATTAATTTGATACGTACAAGACAAGACAGACCATGGAAGAACAAAGACTTAAGAGAAACTTAAGCAGTGGTTTAGAACCGGTTAATGATGGGCCATTGTCAAGCTCCACTCAAGTAACTAATGGCAATATTGATCGACATCAGAGCCTCATGATGACGTCTGGTTTTGTTTTTTAATAATGATGCCTGAACCAGCACCAAATCGCACAAGATCATTCAAATGTCTGGGATTTGAGCCAAAGAAAACAAAAAATTAACATAAACACCATCATTTGTATATCCCAAAAATTCATAGTTTGAACAATTAGAGCAACACAAACAAGGGAACTCATATTTCATATTTCACATTTCAGATACCAAACTACGTCACAAAATTAATCCCAAGCTCTGACTTTCCCCACAACGAAACCTGAAAATCTGATCCCTGAGTCGCAAATTCGGGAAAGAAGAACCACGTAGTTGCAACGCACCAAGTCCTGTGTTTCTGAATCCGTTTAGTCTTTCTCTTTTGATGGGGTTGATAACAGATGGTGCAATGTTGCTGCTTGGATAACCGCACTTGGGTTTGTATCCTTTGGTCCGTGAGAAGCTGTTCGCCTTAAGCTGAAACCTCTTTCTCCACTGCTCTGTCTCGAACGCCGGAATGACCGTGGAAGATGTCTGATAAGCCTCGATGAAGTCACGAGTAATACAACACCCAACATGATAAGTAACCTGCAAAAAAAGTTTCAAGACTCTCCAATCATCCAAAAAAACTCTTTAACTTCTGCAGTTGGTTCTATGTTCATAATGTGCTATATTGCAAAATCTCCTTGGAGAGATTCATATGTTTCAGCTAGCAAGTAGAACTAACCATCCCAAGAGAAGTAAAAGTCGTCCAGATGGGGAAGTGGGCAATTTCTCGCCCAGAGCAAACATTCCTGCAACCACACCTGTCACAATTGATGCCACAGCAGCGCAAGTTGATACTACAATTGCTCTCCCGTGTTTAAGTCCCCGAGTCTGGTTAAGTACAAACAAAAAGAGAAGACTAGAATCATGGTGCATTCCACACTACTAGTACTATGCAGATAAGACTACGAGGAAGTGGAAAAGGACTAGCACGGACAAAGTACTACCTGGTAGAAGAATCCAGTTCCGCTACAGCATATACTAATGGAAATGCACATGGGAATGAACATTGCAGAAAACCCCTGCTCCACAAATACGAAACCCATCTTTGATACTACAGATGCCATCCTGTCATCAAAATGATTTATAAAATGTTGTCAGCTATAAATACAGATCAAATATAGTATAAGTCTCTTTGGAGATGTTACTGCAGACACCCTAGCACATTGGTCTTATATGTTTCTAGAATCAACAACACATTCATCAGAGGCTCATAACATAAACCAAAACGTATGTCCTTTGATGTTTATGGGTAGCGAAAGATACCCGAATAAAATCCCAGATTCCAAGCCATATATTATCTCTTCCACGACTTCATATTCCCCCTGCAAACCAAAAGACAGTAACATTAGAGGTGGTACTAGCTCTTATAGCTAAAGAATCTCACCAATTAGAGAGTTAAGAGGACAATATACCAGCTCCTGTTCTCTGCGCTGGCGTTTGAAGATATGAAGCCACGCATTTAGTAGCACCTTTGTCCCCAAAATTCAACACACCATTTATCAGAAACATTGCCATTAGTACCACACCAGTTTTGTGATGAAAAAAACAATATATAAACCCAATTGTTTTAATGGTCAGACTTGAAAACGATATATATAGAGGTCAAAAATACTTTCTTATGAATATACCATGGATGAAAGGTACCTACAAACAAGATGGCAACAACAAATGCTAGCCACAGCAACTGGAAGACAGATATTAGCGATGCTTTTTGCTCCTCACCACCAGCACCGACTCCTACAGCGCATGGACAAACCCTCGATATATCATCTTATACAACTAACAGTATGCAGAAGATAGCAAACACTTTTCAAAGTATTGAACATGATTGATGATACCTATGGTGCCAATGCCAGCTACGGTAATCCCAATCCAGTCAAAAACATTCATGACTTCCTTCAAGTAAAAATGCGAAAAGACGGAAAGAATGGCAAGTCCACATCCCGAGACTGGTTGAACAACAGACACCTGAAAGCAAGTTTCCAAAATTTTCACAGTTAATCAGCAGAGACATCTCAAAGGCAAGCAAATAGAAGCTCGGGAAAACTTTGCTTACAGGGGCAAGTGAAAGTGCTCTCAGCATCAACAAAGCCCCAAAAATGTCCATAAGAAAACCTAAAGCCCAAGGTTTGTTTTCAGCATATGCCCTTATCACCTGAAATCCATAAATTGTGATAAAAAATGTGAGCTTCCCAAAGAAAATTGACCACCAGCTATATGCCATGATTGAAATGTGAGCTTCTCAATGCCATGATTGAAATGGAAAACCCACGAAGCGTTGAGCATCCCCAACGTTTTGAATCACAATTCGGATCAAATTGCTATAGAACTAAGCAAGCCAGGGTCAGAATAATTGAAGCAACGAAAGTTTGACTCCGATCCAATTCCCTAATACTCGAATACAATAATTATTCATTCTGATACAAAATCGAATTTGACCTCTAAGCGCAAGAGATCCGAGCAATCAAACGGGAATTGAAACTCGGAAACAGCATGCAATCGAAATAGAAAGCATAATAGGGAGAGAGAGAGACCTTAAGCTTGAGGGAGAGAGGAGGGAGGATAATAGTGCCCTTCTTCTGCAGAACCTTGCCGATATTGTTACCGGCGGTGGCCGCGAGCGTCAGGCAAATGGATTCCCACATCTCTAAAAAACGCCGACGAGAAACGAAAGCGAATCCGAAAATTAATGGAATGCTTTTCTTTTACGTTATTACATTGCCCCTCTCCGATTTTCTATTTGTTGACAGGCCGTGGAAAATAACTGGAAATAGTAATTTTCCTCTTTTTAGCAATTTTAATTATATTCCTTCTGTAATAATAGTATGGTAACAAAATTAATCTTATCATGTGATCAACTTTTCATTGACTTCTTTTCTGAATAATTAATTTTAAGTTAATTGCGTTTAATACATGTCCAGGACCAGATTATTATTTTCACGTTTCTAAAAGTACAACTTTGTTGTCATGTCCAAACATTACTTTCTTATATTGGCTGGTGAATTGCATTAGTAACGTCTTTATGATAACTTCGAGATTGAAATCCGAGATAATGCATTTTGTTGACAAACTTGTATTGAAGTGGAAATAATGCACAACCTTTTAAAAGGTATTTTTATTTTTCTACCATTCAAACACGCCCAAATTGATTGTTACTGTTGAATAAAAGCAGAGCTTTTTGGTAGAGAGTTACGCAAATGGATGATCATGGAACATAACTAAAAAACTAATGTCTGAAAGATTGATGAGCTTACGGTAAACAAGATTATATACAAATGATAAAACAAGAATGAATCACATGTCATGAACTTGGGGCAACAATAGACTTTTCGCAATCTACTTTCAAGTTCTACAAGTAGTTTCATCTTGATGAATCAATTGGCAAAAAAAAAACTGAACACTGAGGAAAATATGTAAACTATGATCATATATAATTTATGGCGATGCCATCACAGTTACATTCAAGATTACAACACACAAGAGATATATAAGAGAGAAATAGAGAGAGAAAAACCAAAAAACAAAATCATAATTACTTGAGAAAATCAAAATCATGATAGAAGAAGAAAAAAGCAAAGCTCAAGAAGAAGAAGAAAAACGGAGAGGAATATTTCACCACCAACCATAGACGACCTGTGTGTATCTCTGCTTGAGCCATCTGAAGCTTTTTCTAAAAGAGCCTTTGACTTTGCCTTCAACGCTATACATCTTGTAACTCGCGACCCGTTTCTTCCTCTGGAGCTCCGGGTCGGTTATCCCCCACGATTTCGACCTCGCTATCGACTTCTCCTTTTTCAGATCGTTCTCCGTCGTCGCGTACGATGCGCTATAGCTCCTGAAGTCGCCGGCTCCAGGACCACCTTGGTAAGGCTGGATCTGCATCCCTCCGTACGGTCGTTGACGGGCGTAATCTTCCATGGAAAACCGGCGAAGTTCGAGAGAATCTTTTGTTCTCTGGTTACAGCTCAAAGAGAATAATTGCAGAGACAAAAGGGAGGAGAATAATGGCGTGTCTTTTGAGCTGGTCTCAATTTCACACTCGGACGTTATTTCATATTTTTTTTGGAAATTTGGCAAAATACTCCAGAAAAAGAGAAGAGTTGTCCATCTACTCTTTTTTTGCCAAATCTTGTCCACTTACCCTTAATTAAATTTTAAATCCAATTTTAAACCCTCAAATTACGTTTTCATGATTTTTTCAAATAAATAAATAATTAATAAATGAAATTAAATGATTAGTGTAATAAACAAATAAATAATTAATTATTTAAGAAAAGAAAAATATATTTCAAAGCAAGTAATCTAGTTCCTTTTGCCTCACCAACAACGAAATTCCACCATTTGATTGCACTCAGTCTCCATATGTTATATAGATATGCAACAGAATAACCTGAGAAAAATAGATTAAAACAAATAATCTAAAAGAAAATTATATAAATGATAAGAAAAAGCAAAAAAGAAGAAGAAGAACGTGAGGAGAATTCTTTTTTTTCTTCTGGCAAAGTAGATTAAGGAAATATAGTTTTTGAAGATATTTTCTAATATTTAGTTACCATTTTTACTATATTTTTTAGATTCTCGTAGAAGTTGAATTCTATCATTTCGTAGAAAAATGTGTTTAATGTAGATTATAGTTTCTACAAACAGTAGAAGACATTGTTTTCAGGAGAACACAAAGTCTACAAATAGTAGAAGATAGTATTTTGTGTAGAACACGAATTCTCCAAATAGTGGAAGAAATTGTTTATGATAGAATATAGATTCTAGAGATGGTAGAAAACAATGTGTAGGTTAGAATATAGGTTCTACCAACGGTAGAAAACCGTATACAACGTAGAACAAATGTTCTACAACTCTACCAACTCGTAGAGTATAGAGTATTTAGTAGAAAGCAAATTCTACGATGGTAGATGGCTGAACAGTTGGTAGATTTTATGTTCTACGAGGGATAGATGTGAGAGTCTCTAGTAGAAGACAAATTCTACTTTGAATAATGAATTTGGTAGATGCAAATTTTATTTATTTTTCTGAGGTTCAAATTTCAAAAACAAATTGTGAAAATATTCTCTAAACCTTAGAATCATTTTACTTAATTTATTTAATTTTTTAAAACTTTTAAATATATTTATATCATATTTCTAGCATATGTAAGGGTATTAGAGTCCAGATTTGATAAATTTCAAAAAAAGTGTAAGGGGACAATAGTTCTCTCTTTTGGGGTATATTCACAAATCTCCCTATTTTTTTTATATATATTTTTTTTCTGACTTGTTTTAAGGCAAGAAAAATTATACTGATATTGAAAACTTACAAATTATCTTCAGTATTTGATTTTTCTTTTTAAGAAAATTGCGTTTTTCATCCCACCCATAAGATAAGAGTATAAGACTGTTATGTTTAAGTTTATAAAAAGTATCAGACGAGATTAAGAAAAATGGAAATATGAAGATTTTTTAATTGACTGTTGACCTTTGACCAGTGATGTGAAGAACGGTCAATAGACAATAGCAATTGCAACTTGTGAGTAATAATAGTGTTGAGAAATACAAAATTTAATTGGCGTGGTTCACATATTCGTGGGAACGTGACTGCCAACAAATAAACAAGACCAAATACAACTTTAATCAGTGGCTATATTTTCTCCATGAGGCAGGAGCTATCATTTTGCCGAATGAAAATTAAATTAATTTAGAAGTTTAGAAGTTTCAGAGAGTGAGCTGAGATAAGCTAGTATCAATCACTAATTTCATAGTTTTATCAAATAAAAGTTACATTTTTAATCATAATAGAAGGTCCATGACCGAGTCAATATTAACTTACCAAAACATCTGGATGGCGACAGATGAATATGCAGCGAACGGGACCTCTCTTTGGTAACCTCTGTCTTATGCTTGGGCTTTCACCTCAGGAACTTAGGCCCAAGCCCATAGGCTTCTTTGACATTTCCGGTCGACTACTCAACCGGGAACGGATAAAGTCATAAACCGAGAATCAAAAAATCTAAAGGGAATCTGTTTCAAATCTAGAAGAAGGGATAAAGTGATGTGATCGATGAGCAGCGTGGTTCTGATGTGAGGATGTCCACTTGCCGATGTGGGTTTGGCCGGCAAATTCCTTTTGACACGTGTTCCTTCAGGGGCTGTCCTCGCGCCGAAAGTGGGAAAGGAGTATCTCTTAATATTAAAAATAAAGTTTGTGTGGTCACACTCTTGTACTAACACCCCCCCCCCAAAACAAATGCTAACATACATCAATACATCAAAGCATTAATTAGTACCGTCATTAGTCTTACGAACATGCCTTCTAGATCTCTAACACCAACGGAGTCAGTATATCTATCATCTATATGATTCAATACAAAGATTAAATTGATGAATTCATTGCAATATATGTTTCCATAGTTTAATCTATATAACAATAGGTGTCGAAATGCATTGCTTTTTTTGTACTCTCTTTTACTATTGCTTCTTTTTATCCCTTTTGTCGAGGCTTCAACTTGAAGCAACAACGAATCCATAATGGATCCAAATTAGAAGTCAAAATGGTATGTCCCTCAAAAGTCGATTCCCTTATCGTTAAATCTTATCATAGATTTGGTCATTTGGCCAACGATTTTGAAGTGCACTGATGATCGCAAGTCTAGTCGCTAGGTGAAAAAGTGTGATAAATAAATATGAACAATGCATAATAAAAAAGCACAACCAAAACCAAAGATAATTTATAGGTTATGGTGCTATTATGTGTGTTTTGCCCAAAAAGGAAAGTTGCCAAGGAAGTACGCGCACTTCCATATTCGGCATTATTAGCTGATGAGGTCCTGACAGAGAGGGACAAAGAAAACCTAACTTGATTGTACGCACCAATGCTGCAACTGCACCAGGTGTCATCATTACATATTCGCATTCCAGCAGAATCTCATCTCACCCTGAGTTTGGAGATTAGAAAAGAAAACGTAGATATTAATTAAGGCTAAGTCAAAATAAAACGATTAGCTAAGAAAAGAAAATAAATAATTATAAACCAAAAGAAAAACCTATATAAAACTTTTCTAAAGGTGTCTTGTTTAATTGATTTACTACGTTAAAATAGAATTACATGTTATTTACGTATATAGATTAAATCATTTGTGAACGACGAATCTGATGGATGAAATTTTATTGACAAAGAGCATATAGAATACAGTTTTTAAATTGTTTTGTTGAAAAGCATGCATGCTTTAAGATGCTTTAGCGCCGTATTGAATGTATGGGTAGGGGTGTGGCTGTACTTTTTCATGATGAGGCTCTGTTGATTTGTAATTGGTCGCTCTAATTTTGTATTCCACTAAATTATAAAAAGTCATTTATATGCTTTCCTCTACAATCCTTAAATCAATATATCTATTCCTATATATTATATTTTCGGAAAAAGAAAAACAAAACAATTCCGATATGTTTTAATATATGCCAATTGAACTTCAGTCGATGTTCTTTTCCCATTTGATAATCTTCATTCATATTCTGTTCCACAGTTTTTGGACCATTGGTTATAAATTACTTTCTTTTTCTTGTTGGATCATCGTGTTCCTTTGTTATAAATTAGTCGGTTAGCATTAACATTTACTCATTTTGGGATATTCCGTTAGTAACTTGCCACCAAGAGAGCA